CGCACAACATTCACTCACTGCCTGGTTTCGTGGTGGAACTCAAGACTGAACGAATGGTATCGGCGCTTTACTAATAATCCTGCAACCGGCTTCCACCAATGAGTATGAGTAGTGCACAGAGGCATATTCACTGCTGAAGCACCTGTCGTTTCCACGTACTAGCCGCGCACGTTTGGAATGTCGCAAAGAGAGAGAGATAAATGCCTCGAACAAAAGAGTGAATCACGAACCACGTCAGGCAGCACTATAGAGCATGTCAAGAGCGGTGAATGAGGGTGGCACAAGTGCGCAAGCTTGAAAGCTAGAATGAAAGAAAGGGCATTAAGAGCGCAAAGAGAAACTCGCTTTGAGCATAGAGCGGAATTCGACTTCCGAGTCGCAAGCATGTCCTACGCACACTCTCTTAAAGAGACGATATGCGAGAAGTCAAATTCACCTACGCAACACTGACGCGCGACTTCAAGCTGAGGCCGCAGCCAAGTTACGGCGCACCGTACGGTTTGTTGCCTGCAAAGCCGTCTTCGAATCCACGAATCCAATCACCCGCCGACTGGCTTCTGCACGTTTTCCAGTCCACCCTCAGCATGGACGATAGCGAAGCTATCCCTTCCTACCACTCGCACAAGCTGTCGCCGTAGCGTACTGCACAACACCACCCCGGCAGCGACCTTGAGGACGCAGTAGTGTCTATATAGTTGTTTCCTCGCTTGTTCTTTTCACGCCTCGTGAAGTCCGAGTACGACAAGCTCCGCGATGGCATCATCTCGAGCGACGGCAGCCTGTCCGAAGTGCCGCTGGACCGGCGCCGGTCGTCGACGACTTCCAGGATCAAGAGCAACGTCACGCGTTTCTTCCGGGGGCCCAGAGGTAACAGCAGCACAACGCACCCACCGCCGGCACTCGTATAGACTGCGCGAATCTGTAAACCTCACGGCACGAAAACACACCCCCTCGTGGGTAAGGACTGCTGCACTGACAACTGCGTAAACAGTTCTTGAATGGCAGTGTCGTTGAAGATTGTAGTGATACGCACGTCATATGGGGGAACCTCAGCGCCTCGCTCTGCGTTTGCCAGTTTAACGTCTAACTTTACATCCAGTGAACGCCTGCACTGCAGCAAGTATAGGTTTCTCTGACGTCACCAAAACTACCGTTTCGGAGTACCGACATGTTGGGAAATGATGTTTGTGACGTTACGTTGATGGTATCGGGACTTCGCATGCAGTTTTTCTTTTATTTTTTTCTTTTGTTATTCACGCACAGAGGCCAGTAACGTTCTGGTGGTGTCGTTGTCACATTGAAGGGGGTCATCCGCGCCAAGTGATAATGCTACTTCGACGCATGTTGGAAGACCAGAACGCTAACAACCTGCTTTCGTCGCTTTACTTGCCGGGTATCTATAGTTAAATACAACTAATATGTATTTCGATCACAACAGTCATCAAAATTGATAAAAGTTGGCAAGACACTTCCGCGCGAAAACGTTCCAGGCGCAGCACTGCATGTTGGCAGTTGGTGGGTTAGCGAAAACAGCCGGATTCCCTTAATTGGCGCCTCATTAGGGCTGGCCGGTCATGTGCGGGGCACACCCCGCGGGCTTCCACCCCGGGGTTCTGTTAGATGGGTTACGGTGGCGCTCGCTGTCCAGCCACTTAAAAAATGGGTGCACACGTGGCGCGTTTAGTTGGACGTGCGTGACTCCCCAAAACGAGATACGATATATCGACGACCATGTGTCGCCCTCTGGGTCAGCGTTTATGGCGTGCTGCGGATACTTTAAAAAAAAATACTAAATGGAAGGTAAGTTGAAGCAAGGTCAGCTTATGCGTGCTTTGTCGCGTTTCGTAACCGAACTAAGTGCCGGCTGCTGAAGAAGCGTGCAGTTGGAGTGTCTTATCTTATGCAGTCGGAGTCTTATCAATCCAGTGTGACAGTAAACGACATGTGCACGATTAGCATTTGCCTGTGTTGTTTATTCCGGGATAGGTTGGTTTATTTCATAAGCTCTTTTAGTTTTTTCTCTCAAAATAAATGGAAGAGCTTCGTGGACGACGTACAAAATTAATGACTATTACATACTGGGTTGATAATTTCATTATTATACTAGACAGGTGTGTGCGTTACAGCGTATACTTGGACGAGGAACACAGTTATGTATTGCTCGAGCGAAGTTGGATTTTTCATAATTTCGGCCCGGTGAAACAGGTGTGTGTGGTATAATTATTTAGCGGATGCGTGCCTGATAGTCAATTCGAGCCAGTATACCGGTCTACATTTGTCAGCTACAGAAGAGCTGGAGCTTCCGGCAAACGCCAGAGTTACCGAGCCTGTGCAACTGGCTCCGCGTGGACATCACGACAGGTAACGAAGGATTCCGAAGGGATAGAGTTCGGCAGGCGCGTCGATTGGTCATCGCTAAACGGAATGCATGGCGCGGAAGAAGCGAACGGCGCAAGACAAGCGCTCGTCGCGTCGTCTTCTCGTCCTGTGTTCGTTTCCGGGCGGTCAATTTAGCTTATAGCGAGGCAACAAATAGCGCTTTTTTATGGTACGCGCGTACGACGTTGTTGACGGTACAGAGTCCATTCGCGTGCCCAACCGTGACGTGGCGCCACCGGGCGACTGAAAGAAACAACAACGCCGCCGACTGGCAACGACGACCGCCACCACCTCGTCGGGTCATAGGGGTGGCCTGCTGGCATATAATGCTGCGTTCGATCCCGTTGTCACGGCGAGAGAAGAGACCCTGTAGCGGCAAAGCCAATGTCAGTGTGCATGCGCGCGCGCCTTACGGCCGACGGTTTCACGACCGTCGATCGTGTTTGCCGTCAGCTGTGTGTAGGCGCGGGTCCCTCCTCTCTTCCTTCCTGCACAGCTGCTCGCGTTGGCGCCTCGTCTTCTCGAAGCCAGAAGAAGCGGAGGGGAAGCCGCCGAGCTCTCTGATGGCGTCCGGGCACGACAGGGACGTCGCTTCCTGACCCAGATTTGCGCGCCGCACGCGACCCCATAGCGTCGTCGCGGCCGGCGAGATGTGGAGAGGAGGAATGGGGAAGAGACTCGGGCCTCGTAGAGGGCGTGAATAAAAGAGCAGGTGTAGATGTACGCTAGCTGAGAGAACAACAAAAAGAGAAAAAAAAGCGGCACAGCTTTCACTCGGCGGCCTTGGACCGCACCTGCCAGCCAGCGTGGTCTCCCTCCGCTGAAACTTGCTTCCGCAGCGTGGGGGAAACACTTTTCCCTTTTTTCCCCTTTCCTTGCCTTGCAAGTGCGGGAAGTCGACTAATGCATTCCCGCTTCCCACTCCCCAATCCCGTTCAACGCACAGCCAACGGTGGTGCCGCCGATCGCATAAGGGGCGTTCCGCGCGCGCTGTAGGCTCAACACTGACCGCGAAGATTCCCCCCCCCCCATTTTCCCTATTCTTTTCCCCACTTCCTTTCATTCTTCCAGCGGCCTCGATTTGAATGGGCAGTGCGCGGTCCCCACAGATCGGCTTAGGACACGCGTGATGGTGGCAGGGTCGAAGGCTTGCAAGCGCCCTTGATTGCAATGTCTACGGGTTTTCTCCTGTTTCGCTTTTTTTTTTTAGGAAAGGGGCGAAGAAGGGTAGGAGGGGAGGTAGCTTTTCAATCACCCCTTTTCATGCATACGCTGATTACTCACGCACTCAGCATGTAGGATCTGTGCGAGTTGCTGAGCCACATTCCACGCTCCATTTCGGTTTAGGAACTACACTTTTTGCGCTTTATGACACTATTGAGGTCTGTATACTGCTGCGCAATAAAAATTTCGAAATTCTAATATTTGACAAGCTTATCTGTATGCATAGTCAATGCACATGCCTGTATATTTTATATACATTTTTCATGTTTTAAGAACATATTGTCATATTCAACAGAGCTGTAATTTATTGCCTACTGTGTGTTCTTTGATAAAAATTTTGAGTTCACTTTTATGATTGTGGACCATTGTTAAAACCAGTGCAGAGTTTATGCTAATCTTTAGTGCCATTTCAGGAAGTTTTGTTGCAGTTGCATTGCTTATATGAACTAGTAAGGGAAACGATGTCACTGACTGACTGTTCATAGTAGGCACCACCTGTTTGTGTGATCTTGGTCACAGCAGCCAGCCTTGCCACAGTGAAGTAACCTTGCATATGTTACAGATAAGAACATTACGCCGCTGGTAGGATCGACTGAATTTGTTGTAGCTATTTTTATTCCTTTTTTTTAATTAAAGGACTACTTCATGTTTAATTTGTTCATTGATGTACCTACCTTACATCTATCATTGCAGTGGTGCATCGTACTGTGGCATTAAAGTTTGGCACGGCATAGGCTTTTATTGTTCTTCGAATTGGACACTGAAAATTTGGGATAAAATGTCGGTCATCAGCTCTACCTTCACGTTAACTAGCTGATAAGCTCAAAAACATGTCTTGCACCTTTACGATAGTGCATGAAGACCAACAGCAGTGTGGCATTTTTAGTTAATCACTATGCTTCTAAGCAGAAAACTGCTGAATTATTCTGGCCTTAAGTTTCTATGCTGTTTTAAAGTATATGTGTATTTCAAGATTGCCAGTATAAAAATTATTATCTGTTTACTTCATATTATTGGAACTCTTTCACTATTTGTTGCTTATCCTTTAAAACAAAACAAATTGCTTGTCGGAGAGTTGCAGTAATTATGAATGTCTATTACTATCAGAGCAGTGAAAAAGCATTGTAAACATAGCATTCTAACAGAATTCCTCCACTTATAAGCTTCATTTTCTGTCACATTTTATTTTTTTTACTTAGTCACAAAGGTTTCTAGATGAGTGAATTTTTCATGACCTTTTGTGATAGCGCAGCATTCTTTGCCCAGACACTTCGAAAGAGATTAAGGTGCACTTTTTGTACTTTTATTTCTGTTCATAGGCTCTCAGACATAGCTTGGTTGCTTGTACTAGCACTTTGGAGCATATAATTAATCTTGCTTGTATGCATATTTTTCAGAGACGGAGAGGCGCATTCGGGCTAATAATCCCGAATACAACAGCCAGTTTAATTATGCTGTGAGTACCATGCCCTCTTTGTCACATCTAGCAACAGCATGGTGTGGTTAGCTAAAGGCTTCCTGTCAGTTAACCTCCCTGTCTTTATCTTTGTTTTTCTCCCTCTGTTTAATATGCACAAAAATGAAAAGATGAACACAGGCTTAAGTTCATGAGAAGCATATAATTTATTGTATATCTGTATAGCCAGTGTAAGATGTCTGGATATCCAGTGTCCTTTTGTTTTATAGTGGAGCTGTTAATCTTTTCGTTAGGTTCATGTGCAGTCATTAGAAAGCCACTATCGTCAGGAATGACCTGTGCCTTATATGGCATCTCACGTCATCTAGCAACTGGCATAGCATCTCAGTATGAGCTCTCCTGCTGGGCCAATTGTCTGGCACGAAATTCAATTATTTTTATACTAATTTTGACCTTGCTAATTGACAATAAACTAATTGTCTTGTTAATTAATATTGCACTGATGACACATTGTCAGTTAAGAATACATTAAATCACGCAATGCTAGTTATTGCCTTGCTAATTAAGGTCTTGGTCTTTCTTATTTGCACCAACTCCACCGTTCTTTCACAAGCTCGGCACCCCTAGTACAAAGCTGCTTTAATTTTTTTACTACCTTAATTATATGTACTTTTGTGAACTAAAGTTGTAGCCTGCCAAAGCTTTGATATCATTTTTCAATTCAATAAAGTTCTGTCGAATTTTCCATGAATGCAACTACTGTGTTGAGGCAAGCCATCATCTTACTTGTCTGTGCACTCATTGGACATGTGTTCTTGTTTTGCAGAACAACTACATCAAGACATCCAAGTACTCCCTCCTGACGTTCCTGCCACGAAACTTGTTCGAGCAGTTCCAAAGGCTCGCCAACTTCTACTTCCTATGTCTCCTTGTCTTGCAAGTAAGTGCCACTCTATAAAGTGTTGACCACTCATTATACAGTGTACACTGTACTTCCGTAATGTTTTTGTAAATAGGGGACAATAAACTGCACTCTTTTTTCTGTACTTGTAGTGATGAATTCCACTGTGGACATGAACACTCACTATTTTGATCTTGTTTCTCATCCACAGATGATCCCGCAGATCTCCTCCCTAACCCCGTGGACCACCGCCGTGCCTTTAGTTGTGGTGCTGTCTCTGACAGCTCTGAAAGATGCTATCGACGATATTGTGAGCAAAACTTTTTTTTTGACATCATGCGTGATTATAAAATTGAAAATTTACTAAACAAATATTTTCTTGGCCTGGCTTTTTTTTTTTTGTCTTTATTTCTCAAAACTTGCTGTGTGAGCTTACGAGGAACAGAAATTTAATAAAAGCTTGTTAAATCACTAATTACAGATTGGGCAAAAGTGGCCCACAAGATGTGTTGGGCATAAAAGGGGTAGTCATTGTTCGAGTGCATATGTATAAAGCACGGACCTACTAAAAGTGTAGGAGCAGAATACTTTATACATTGTACCTGTTCTTTGATTGGCAGGCACAAGTTCTAAGTTTAAGGACTATGTCAGGTATGACAGTTCTACACAAAAACGTTCCCTTCTGAAAAAAGTTTAATCAGTGTCATTATTCCACGCAACACTTTGCGTGGAGCAATGATAACTAACTCTGTCACACATGTCGACTTATCCTCCACGCCGCCAGTACCTGATGGTGATTACATGGTGGCCCCGATTCCTGCAGTGATGCTTACGCATGGGGTTGCTGTGCCGCATATGATTCTGACAATTAAGAGAAACCGCACCTTCCTTCCACTGGTCAACTTTTCACTCACCACCCAAGTTCTGCCACAGGGTGAATTTTATGTTGCAAAGAAGTGAAAACTCATCTGAATCACCAGATTCAGTCAGTTTATAATTGGATACAACTTTAGAAGTCAGCGGCATTTTCTCCTGAAAGGCCGACGGGCGCAAGCCTGCACCAGTAGAGCACACTCTTTAGACTGGCATCATGAGCCATATGCCAGTGCCTCCACATCCGGAGAACATTTCCAAGTGCATGAGTACAACGATTTCCTTAGTCACGGAGTTTAGCAGCTGCCGAGCTTTGGTCCTCTGGGTGGGCCTCTTCTGACTTTTTAAGTGGTGTCCGAGTATAGAGTTATCACCTTGAAGCCTAACAAGGAATTCTCTTCAAAACAGCCTCACGAATCCCAACCATGCATGCATCGCTGCCGTGTCTCGGCAGAACAGGTCAAAATAAAATTTCTCTCATCATGGCTATGCTGCTGTGGAATGCCATTAGTGGAACCTTTGCATCACCCCTTGTGCCAGCTGTGTAAGTCTTCTAGTGTCACCTGTGTATGTCAGCAGACGCAGCAGTCGCTTAAAAAGGACAAATGTCGCACAACACGTGGACTCAGACAGAGCAAGACCATTGACCAGAATTGTTTATTGCTTCATTGCACTTTCTCGCAGCATTTCCGCCTCCAATATTCCAGTTTTCTTTTATAATCGTGATGACCATATTGGTTCACAAAGACTAACTTTACTGCACTTAACAACACTTATGGCATGCTAACAGCGTCCGCACTTACCAATCGATGAGTACTTTGACATACTCACTAGTTTCTTGTGCCAGCTTCACAAGATATGTGTGAATTAAAACGGACACTTCTGTCCTTTAATATGACTTCATGTTCTCAGACATCATGCCCTGGCCTTGAGTGGTAGGGCAGTGCTCTTTGAATTATTATTGAACATTTTCTTCTTTATTTGTTACATGTTTAATGTAGTTTTACGACTGTTTTCTTTTTTTATTGCATCTCTACAACGCACTGTCTGTGCATCTCTGCCTGTGCACTTGCAGCAACGTCACCAGAGTGACAACCAGGTCAACAACAGACTGTCCAAGGTGCTTCGCAATGGCCAACTCGTGGAGGAGCGTTGGCACAAAGTCCAAGTGGGCGACATCATATTTATGGAGAACGACCACTTCGTGGCTGTGAGTAGTCCATTGTAGCTCCAAGTCTGTGCCTTCATCAGATGATCCGGCTTGATGGTGCTTAAGTCAAGTGCCGACCCGGCAGAAAGTGTTTACAGCATCACATTGGTGCGGCGTCATGCCATGTTAATACATGACCTTCATTACCTAGTTTTGTAAGCGAGTACGTGGAACCTATTTCACCTACAACCTATGCAAAGTTATTGCATAGGTCTAGTTTAAATTACTATTAGCTATTATTATAGGTAGGTAGCACTTCAGTAAAAATATGCCATTGGAGCATTTCATCTGGTTGGAAATGCAGACTGTTATGCATGCACAAAGTTGTTGCAGGTTGGAAATGTTATTGTTTGCATTTATTGCATGATGTTTCTTCATGATATTTCTGACTCAGATGATAACTGTTGAATCACTGGATGTATCATGCCTTGATGGACATAAGAGCATAACCTACAAAATTTTTATATCCGGTTTTGCAAGTCACAAGTCAGTGTTCTGAATCTGAGAAAAATTGCATGTATATTAAATAAACAAATTTTAAGTGATGGCAATTTTTCTCTTTTATTCTTCACTGCATTGATTATTAGTAGCACACATGTTGATGGCATTCCATGAAAAAAAAGTATATCTCTCATGCAGATTGTCATGCTGAGCAGAGTCACTCAAATGGTAAAATAAATATGAGAAATTTTCATATAGGTTTTCTACAGGAGCACTAAAAAGGAATCTTTGAATGAGCCTAAAATTCAGCAATTATTTCTCTGGGCTTTCTGTTGAGATCCCAGATGAAAATTTAGCAATGCATAAACAGGATTTGTTGTGTAACTGTACCCTAAGAAATCTAGAAATATTCATGACATCGCATTCCTTGTTTTTTGATTTCATTATATTGTAAGAGGTGAAAACATCTCTCAAGAAATTTTGCCAAAGGATAGTTTGTCTGGCATAAGAAACCTGTGAAAATAATAGTGTGGCATGACGTCGCAATGCATCTCAGTGGCATCTCACAACATGTGACTCTATGCTTTCCAGGCCGACCTACTGCTGCTGTCTACAAGTGAGCCAAATGGCCTATGTTACATCGAGACGGCAGAACTTGATGGGTATGAGCATTGCTTTTATTCTAATTGCTGTCTGATGAAGTGCTTAGAAAATGAATCACACTGCGTGGTTTTGTAAACAATAATGGAGCTGTAAAAGCTAGCTAAGTGGGAAAAGTGCTTCATCTGCTGATGTATTCAATCAAATTTATTGCATATGGTTCACCACATGTCACTCACACAACATACCATATAAACTTCTTTGAGTAAGAGAAAGATCATTTCATGGAGTCATCCCTAGGTTTTTTGCGGAGTAACTCTCCTCATGTCATGTTATTTTTATGATTTTTACGCTGTAGCTGAAGTCTGTTTTGCTACAATGCAGCTTGATAGCTGCAGTTTTTGGGGTTCTTCCGTTATGTGAGCATGAGCCATCATGCTACGTGGAAGCATGAACATGACTGCATAAGTTAGAACATAAATATACTCATTTCACATCTGCCAGTGCTTGGGCCACTTTCATCATTCATTCACTGAGAAAATCGCACTATTGTTGCACAACACTGCCTCATCAGAATGTCTAGTACCTGTAGCATAGCACACGCTTTGCTTCTTGGCAATTGTATTTTACACTGGAGTAATCGTAAGGAAGCATGCCAAGGCAGTGCACTATGAACTTAAGAGACCTTGTTGTTCAATTCTGCCTCCCTTTTTTTTCATGCAGTGAAACTAACCTCAAGTGTCGCCAGGCCACTCCTGACACAGCTGAGATGAGCAATGACAACCAGCTCCTGGGGAGGTTTGATGGTAAGAAATATTGCTGGGTTCCTACTTTTTACTTGATTTTGCTCTGCAGTGAAATATAATTAAAACATTCATGCTTGAAAGGTGCCTCCAAGAGGGCCCTCTGTTCATATTGAGTCTTATTTCTTGGTAGATTTAGAATTGTTCTTTGTACACATCCCACATTTTACTGAAGGCACAATTCATGAAACTTTTTTTATGGTTAGTTTTAACTGTTTCTTTAAGAACACCATATGGTCAAAATTAATGAATATCTCTACATTGTTGATACAAAACAGCTGCCAAACACGGCTGCATAAAAGAGGAGGATGAAGTCAGTTTTCGTTGGATGCTGGTCTGGCGCCATCTTGCTCGTCGAGTTCTGTGCGCTGTAAATAGATCATTAAACAAGTTACTCATAACATTATTGGTGGAGGTGAACGACCCCCGTACTTCGATGGAGACGCGCAGCGGTCGCACCATCGGCGACCTTTCGACTGCTTCGACTGCTGGTACTTCCTCTACGCCGCTCTCATCAGTCCAAGCCACCACCTATGTCACACTCCCGCACCTCCGGGATCCCGGCACTTTCTCCGGTGATGGTACGATCGAACTCGACACTTGGCTGAAGCGGTACGAGCGCGTCAGTGCAACTCACCGCTGGGATCCTACGCTCATGCTCGCCAACGTGCTTTTCTACCTGGACGGCACTCCCCGAACATGGTTTGAAAGCCACGAAGCCGACATAACGAGCTGGGATCTCTTCAAAGAAAAGATACGTGACCTGTTTGGTGATTCATCTGGTCGTCAGCTCGCTGCAAAGAAGACTCTTGCCACACGGGCCCAGTCTTCTACCGAATCGTACGTCTCCTACATTCTTGACGTTTTGGCCCTTTGTTCCAAGGCCGACCAGTCAATGTCGGAAAACGAAAAGGTTAACCACGTCTTGAAAGGCATTGCCGACGATGCTTTCAACCTGCTGGTTTTTAACAACGTCTCGAGCATCGTCACCATCCTTAAAGAATGCCGACGTCTGGAACAAGCTAAAGCCCGCCGTGTAGCCCAAAACATCGTGCGCCTTCCGAACACAGTGGCCACTTCTTCGTGTGACGACGCCTTCCACCAGGCCCCTCTATGTGACAACCTCACATGCATCATTCGTCGAGAGGTCGAGGCAGCACAACCGGTAGCCACGCCACTACCGACGCCTGCGCCTTCCCCAACCACGATTTCTTTGATACAAGCCGTCGTTCGTCAAGAGCTATCGAATGTCGGCCTACATCCTGTTCCTGCCGTATACTCTGCTGCGCCTTTTTTTCGTCCCCCTTCTGCTCCTCGCATACAACGCAATCCGTCCGAATGGCGTACCCTTGATGACAGGCCCATATGTTTCAACTGTCGACGCGTTGGACATATTGCACGTCACTGCCGCAGCCGCTGGGCTCCACCGTCCCATTATGCACCTCTGTATCACAACACTTCTGCTCGCCAGTCGTCCCCATCTCTTTCTCCATCAACGCCGACCACATTTTCCGCTCCTACAGCACCTCTGAGCAGACCTCGCTACGACCGGTCACCGTCCCCTGCTCGTCGTCAGTCCCGGTCGCCCCCACAACGCCGTGCTGCCTCCCCGACCTATTCGCAGCATCTCCGACCGGAAAACTAGGCCGTGCAGCTTCTGGAGGTGGAGCTGCGTTGACGACCTTCGTAAGAAATCGTCGATTAACGTTAACAACGAACCGAAACCTTTTGGACGTTACTGTCGACAATGTTCGTGTCAGTGCATTGATAGATACTGGCGCGCATGTGTCCATTATGAGTGCTAATCTTCGCCGCCGACATGGAAAAGTTGTCACGCCCGCCCTCAACCAAGCTGTACGAGTCACCGATGGAGGAACTGCCGCAATTCTTGGCATGTGCCCTGCGTGAGTGTCTATTGGGGAGAGAAGCACTGTCGTTCTTTTCGCCGTTATCGAACATTGCCCTCATGAACTCATTCTCGGTATGGATTTTCTAGCCACGCACTCTGCCCTCATAGACTGTTCAGCTGGCTCTCTCCATCTCGATTTACCCCTCTCTTCCAACCCGCCTAGCCCACCGCAAATTAGCCTCTGCTGCATTGATTTCACGCGCCTCCCTCCTAACTTTGTCACACATGTCGACTTATCCTCCACGCCGCCAGTACCTGATGGTGATTACATGGTGGCCCCGATTCCTGCAGTGATGCTTACGCATGGGGTTTCTGTGCCGCATATGATTCTGACAATTAAGAGAAACCGCACCTTCCTTTCACTGGTCAACTTTTCACTCACCACCCAAGTTCTGCCACAGGGTATCTTCCTGGCCAAAATTACTGCTCTCCAAGATGACCATGTCGAGCCCTTCAGAGTTGACGATTGCTGCAGCTCAGTCAGTGGTTCCACTCCATCACGTTCTTGGGGCGCTGACATCGAGCGAATGGTGTCATCGGACCTCACGTCTGAGCAAGCTGCAGCGCATTGCCACGTTCTTGAGGGCTATCGTAGCATTTTCGACTTTGCCAGCAACTCTTTAGGCCAAACGACCATTGTCACCCATCGCATAAATACTGGCCATGCAACCCCCATTCACCGACGCCCCTACCGTGTGTCTGCGTCGGAGCGTGCAATATTACAACACGAAGTCGGCAAAATGCTTGCGAAAAAACATTATCGAGCCTTCATGCAGCCCCTGGGCTTCTCCAGTCGTCCTTGTTAAAAAGAAAGATGGAACATGGCGCTTTTGTGTCGATTACCGTCACCTTAACAAAATTACCAAAAAAGACGTTTATTCTTTACCTCGCATCGACGACGCCCTCGACTGCCTGTACGGTGCCACTTATTTTTCAACTACTGACCTTTGGTCAGGGTACTGGCAGATAGCCGTCGACGAGATGGACCGCGAGAAGACCGCATTCATCACTCCTGATGGTCTTTATCAGTTTAAGGTGATGCCCTTTGGACTCTGCAATGCACCAGCCACATTTGAAAGAATGATGGACTCATTGCTCCAAGGGTTGAAATGGTCCACCTGCTTGTGTTACTTTGACGATGTTATTGTCTTTTCGCCCACATTCGACTCGCATCTTGATCGTTTGTCAGCTATTCTGGACGTGTTTCGTCGAGCCGGACTCCAGCTTAACGCCTCCAAGTGCCGCTTCGCTCGTCGTCAAATTTCCGTGCTCGGTCACCTTGTCGATGCCAAGGCGTGCGTCCAGACCCAGAGAAAATTCGCGCAGTCACGAACTTTCCCGTTCCGAAGACCACAAAAGATGTCCACAGTTTTGTGGGGTTGTGCTCATATTTCAGACGCTTTGTTAAGGACTTTGCGACCATTGCACGCCCACTCACAGACATCTTGAAGAAAGACGCCTCGTTTACCTGGGGCCATGACCAAGCGTCATCGTTTTCGCAACTTACGACATTGCTTACAACGCCACCAATCTTGGCTCACTTTGATCCATTAGCCCCAACCGAGGTTCACACGGACGCCAGTGGACACGGCATAGGAGCTGTGCTATTGCAGCAACAACGCGGACACGACCGTGTTATAGCCTACCCAAGTCGACTGCTATCTCCAGCCGAGCGCAACTATTCCATCACGGAGCGCGAGTGCCTTGCCCTTGTATGGGCAGTCGCCAAGTTTCGCCCCTACCTGTACGGGCGCTCATTCCGTGTTGTCACGGATCATCACGCGCTCTGCTGGCTAGCCTCCCTGAAGGACCCCACGGGACGTCTCGCTCGTTGGGCTCTACGCCTTCAAGAGTACACGTTCTCTGTAATGTACAAAACAGGGCGATTACATCAGGATGCGGATTGTTTATCCCGCTACCCTGTTGACGAAGCAACCGATACCGACGCTATCACGGACGTTTTTTTCCGTGTCGCAGCTGTTAAACATTGGCGAAGAGCAACGTCGGGATGCTTCTTTACGAGCCATCATTGACAAACTGGAGTCAACGCCTCGCGACCCGTCCCTACAAATGTTTTTGGTGAAAGACGGGATCCTATATCGCCGAAACCTTGATTCCTTCGAATCAGACTTGCTTCCTGTCATCCCAGCGCACCTGCGTTCCACTGTCCTGCATCAACTTCATGACGTTCCCATGACGGGCCATTTGGGCGTTTCTCGCACGTACGATCGGGTACGACGTCGGCACTCCCGACCAGCTGCGCTACCGACGTTGCGGACTTTTTGCTGTACGACATAATATCACTGCACGGTGCTCCCCGTCAACTTCTCACCGACCGTGGCCGCACGTTCTTATCAGCTGTCGTTCATAAAATCCTGAGGTCTTGCCATACCAAGCACAAATTTACTACTTCGTACCATCCCCAGTCAAATGGCCTCAGGGAGCGCCTTAACAGGACCCTAACCGATATGCTTGCCAATTACGTTGCGCCAGACGACCATGATTGGGACATTCATTTGCCGTATGTGATGTTCGCCTACAATTCATCTCGTCACAACACTGCTGGATATTCCCCCTTCTATCTACTATATGGCCGGGACCCAACTTTACCTTTAGACACGTTACTACCTGCGGCCAATGAATATGCTGGGGAAGCCATTGCCCGCGCCGACCACGCGCGCCAAGTCGCCCGTAATCGTGTACAGGCTTCACAGGCGCGCCAACAACAGCTCTACAATTCTCACCATAGGGACGTGCACTTTTCTCCGGGTTCTCTCGTGCTCCTCTGGTCACCTACTCGGCTTGTGGGACTGTCTAGAAAACTTGTCGCCCTACACTGGACCATTCCGTATCGTTCGCCAAGTGACAGACGTCACGTACGAGATTGTTCCAACCGATCCAACAATGTCATCGTCAGCTCTGAGCGACACCGTTCACTTGGCTCGGCTAAAGCCCTGTTACCTCCTTCGACATCATCTGCGTAAATTTAGCACCGGGACGGTGCTTCTACTGCCGGGGGTTATGATACAAAACAGCCGCTAAACACGGCTGCATGAAAGAGGAGGACCAAGTCAGTTTTCGTTGGATGCTCGTCTGGCGCCATCTTGCTCGTCGAGTTCTGTGCGCTGTAAATAGATCATTAAACAAGTTACTCGTAACATATTAATACCTCACATATTACGTGCTTTTTTAACTCATGGACTTGCTGTGGAAAAGTGAACATGTTGCTGTAGTTTAATAATGTAGTGTAATATGGTAGGCGTAAACTTTTTAGCACTATACATTTAGTTCGGCCATGTCGACATCTAACAGAGGGGTCACACTGATGCCTCCAGCTGAAACATCTATGGCACCAACCTCAATACTGGGCGTTGAGGGTATTTAGATGTTGCCTCAGTCTTGGGTACTCTGTCGAGTGCCGTCAAAGAGTTCTATGCTCCTTTCTTCTTCTCCATCTCTTTTCCAGGGGAGATTATTTGTGAGGCACCGAACAACAACCTGAGCCGGTTCGAGGGTACCCTGTTCTGGCAGGGTCAGTCGTATCCGCTGGACAACGACAAGCTGCTGCTGCGGGGCTGCGTGCTGCGGAACACCCACTGGTGCTACGGGGTTGTGGTGTTTGCAGGCCGGGACACCAAGCTCATGCAGAACAGTGGCAAGACCATCTTCAAGCGCACCTCTCTCGACAGGCTCCTCAACGTTCTCATCCTCGGCGTAAGCTGACTGGCTTTTTTTTCAATTGCGCTAAGATAGATTTGGACTCAGCTTACATCTACTGCCTGTGTCTTGTCAATCACCAATGCTAGGGCTTGTAGACGTGTATATTATATTACTTTACATAAGTGGGCTGTGAATAGCATGACTGGAGCTGTAAGTTAGTTTAGCTAATTTGGATTGCCTCGCAGCAGTGGGACATTGGTCAAAGAAGGATTTCCTTTTGTTTTGTCTTTTTCCACAGTCATGAATTGTGAGACAACTTCAGCATGACTACAGCTTAACAAGCAATTTCTTCATTTTCTTTTACATGCCGCAGTGCAAGGTTTTCATTTAGGCAGATGTTTATTGGGTTATTAGACAGGCAGCACAATTATAAGAAGAATGAGTGAATATGTAATGTCATATATGAACAGTGCATTGCATTATGCCAGTGGTCTTTCCGGATGGTTCGTGTCATTTTTTTTTAACACAGTTAGACACAATCTGTTCATAATAAGATTACTGAATATAGCTTCTGCGCAACACCTTTGCGCACACTCCGCCCTTTCTGGACAGGACTACACATATAAATGCAGTGCAGCTGTCAACTTTCTGACTACATTACAATGTTTTGGGCTGTAACAATATGAATGATAAATAACAGACAATGATGCCAAGGAAAGTATAGGGAATGTTATTAGAAGTACAGTAAAACCTTAGTTCATTCAAAGTCGCTGGGGTTGCGAGTAATCTTCGAATCAAGCAGGTTTTTGAATTAACGGAATATACAAAAAAGTGTGATGCAAGGAACTTATAAATATTCAAAGTAATCAGGGCTGGCCGTTTGCTGTGCCGGCTATTTTGCAACTCCAAAGGTCATGTTTTTCCAGCAATGCCTAGTCTTAATTTTGCCTCAAACATGTGTAACAGTAGGCCTCGGTGGTGCCACAGAAAAAAAAAAAAATCCTGCTGTCATGATCAATTGAAATGTGTGCCTGAGGAAAACAAGATCTTCACTGCAACACAGTAGTGACACACGGGCAGCATGTCGCCAGCTCCTCGCAGCGTCGGCAAGTCATGATACGACCTATTCGCCCATTCTTTTCTCTTGAAATTAAGAATTTAATAAAGGGCAGTGTGACAAAATTCGCTATGTGTTTTGGCTGCAAAACATGTTCTTGAAACCTTCGAACTTAGTTTTCGAACTAGGTGTTGCAGGCAAGAACTCCGCCAGCGGGTTAAGTGCGCATGAGTCAAGAGGTTCGCATACATTGCAAATTCGGCCAAACTGTCCTTTATTAACTTCTTTACAATTCCAGATAGAATGGGTACATCATGACTCGCTGATGTTGCGATAAACATGCAATAAGCATGCCCGCGTGTCGCCACTGTGTTGCAGTGAAGCATGTCTTGTTTTGTGAAGGCGCACGTTTTGGTTGATCACAAGATTTTTTTTTTTTTTTTTTGCACTGGAAGTAGTGAGACTGGGGTGCTTCAGCTGTCATTCATCAGTGTCGCTTCGTTGCATTGCCTTGTGCCTCTTAAGGGCTGTCGTTTTCACAGATTTGTCGCAACCTCGAATAACACGTCCAATGCTTTGGTAGCAGTTATCTCAGTGTTCACTTTATAGGATATATATGTTCATTTAAACGTTAAGGCATCAGTCAGCGCCACCAGTAGCCATTACAGCGAGTGTGGAACACTCTTTTCTAGCCTGTTGGTGTCACGTAGCATGTGGTTTATTATGACCTGGCAGCGGAAACTATAATCCCGCACGTACCACATGAGGCCATTAAGTCTGCCAGAATTGGACCCTCGCTATCAAGAAGGAAAGAAGTGTAGATTTAAGGGCTCATTGAATTTTTAAGCACTTAAATTTACACTTTTATTTATTATTGTGCTGCAACATAATATAGGATAACAGTTTTGTTGCCATTGCTGATCTGTATTGAGTATAATGACTCCTCACCACTTTATCTCTTGTCTTTAGGCTTTTTACACGCTCAAGTGATGTAACCTATGCAGCTGTTGTCGGCTGCCCGCTCTCATTGATACCAACTTTGTTTTAGCCTCAGTTACTGTCGCTAGCATAGGCATGCTGGTTTTGTGTGATGTATCACATTCTTCCAGTATGTTTTGTTGACTTAGCCACGTGTCTTGTGCTAGCGTGTCATCAAGACTGATGTCATTATATAGACCACATGTCATTTAAAATGATTGTCTCAGTTCACTGAACTTATTCAGAAAAAAGGAAAAGCGTAATGTTACAACCATATTTTTGTGCCCATTAGATATGGAAGCATTGTGGAAGACCAAGCACTATGCTCACAAAAGAAACAAAATAATTTTAAGCGGGGATTTCTTTTTTTTTAGAAGAGCGGTTCCTGAGGAGTTCTTTTTCTGTTTTCCCTACCAGATTGTGTTCTTCCTGTTCAGCATCTGCCTCTTCTGCACCATAGCGTGTGGTGTATGGGAGACAGTGACAGGCCAGTTCTTCCGTGTCTACCTTCCTTGGGACAAAGTCATCCGCTCGGACAATACCGTGGCCGGTGCCACTGCCATTGCCGTTCTCATCTTCTTCTCCTATGCCATTGTACTCAACACTGTCGTGCCCATCTCCCTTTATGTCAGGTGAGCTGAACGACCACATTGAGAATCGCAGAACAACCAGCGACCTCTGTTCACATAGAGCTACAGCATTATCCGCTCAGTTTTTGGCCTCGACGCACTTCACTAAGAAGACTAGAAGTAGTTCTAGAGGTCTGTCAGTATGTCATGTTTGTTCTTCTGCATCAGTCTGGTTGATTAAACATGCTGAAGCTGTTGCTTAAAATTGTGACAGAACTAAGCTGGAGCAACAATGGAAGTACAAGATTTCATGTGCAAGTGTATTTTGTGTTTATAGACACCTCGCTCTGTTGTCTTCGTTGCTTTGTGCAGTAGCTTTAGTAAGTTACCTTTACATTCATAAGGGATACTGCAAGGCTTAATGATATTGAATTGTAAGCTCTCTTTTAAAGTGAAATCAGTTACATAAAATATATAAGTTAAACAATTTTACAGCTTTCAGTTTCCTGTAATGCTTCTACAATTGTTCTATGGTGTCTCCAGTAATGCTTCTGCAAGAAAAATTGTTAGTGGAAAAATTCGTGCCTCTAAAGAAACGACCAAAAGTGTTGGCTTTGCCAGCACTTCTAGTGTTTACTTGTTTACCGTAAAGCAGTATCAATTCTCTCATTCTCTGAGCTTTGTTTTCTTTTGCCATCACGCACCACAAGCCAACCTGCGATATGTCCACTGTGTTACATTCAAATACATAGCAAAAGTAATGTCAGCAAATCACTAAATGAATGTACAGTCTCTTGAGTTGTCCCTGCTTTTTCAAATTTAGCGTTTTTGAGTATTTACATAGTGTAGCATTTTTTTCGTCTGTGCAATAGTAAAAAAGAAAAGGCCTAAATTTCTATATTCATTCAAATTTGCAAAAGAAAAATTTAGTGTAAATATTTCGTCCAGCAGAGTGAACTTGATGTATGACAGCTAATCTCATTCGTAGACTTGCACATCCTACTTATAAAGAAAATAATTCAGCTTTATTATGTTGAAAAGGGATACTGCAAATAAATGTGACATGAAGTAAAATTTCAGTTAACGAAAATCTTCTTTAATGAAATTGTTGCTTAAATGAAACAACTGCCTCTAATTTTGTTAGTTTTGCATTTGGGTGCTATATAAATGTGCATCTTCCTCATTTGACGAAACTTTTGTTACCATATATACTCGCATAATGATCGCACTTTTTTTTTTCAAAAAAAATTGACTCCAACTTCAGGATGCGATCATTACGCGGGGTAAATTTTCCATGAAAAAATGTTCTGAGCACCGGTAACGCAAAAAAGTCGCTAATCAGAATTCTTACGGTAGCTATTCATGAACATAACCAAAAATAAAAGTAAATTAAGACTTACCTTTGTAATAAAATGCACGCATTACGCAGGAGCTACAGTGCATGACGCACTGCCCTTTTATTTTTTATCTCTCTGACCCTCTAACGTTCATTCAGACTCTGAAGCACCACTGGCGTCAGTGTCGTCGCCTGCACCGATTCCCTGTCGGAACCGGCAGTGTCTTCGCTGTCCCACAGAGGGTCATCTTCCGTTCCGTCGAGCGCGCTGGAAATGCCAGCGAGAGTCCATTCCACCGAATGAAGCAGTGTCGTCCAGCCGGAACTGGCGCGGAAGTCCTTTGTGGCTATTCCCAGCCTCCGGGAAACTGTGCACGCCTGCGTCCGTATCATGTCTAATGACACTGCATAACCGTCCTTGCGCATGTCCTTCACGTGTTCGAGGACTGCCTTTTCAATGTCGGGGAACTTGCCAGATTTGGATCTGTGAAAAAGCCCATCGCGTTCTGTTAGTAGCCATGAGCATGTCGCGCTGTTTTTTCTAATATCGAATCTGGATTTCGTCGACGCCGAAATGTCTGGCGGCAGCACGATTGCCGTGCTCTAGCGCGTAGCCAAGCGCCTTCAGCTTGAACGCGGCAGTAAAGCTCGCAACCGCCCCATGGTGAAACGGCGCTTCAACAGACGATCACAAAGCACACACACAAAAAAAAAAAAAAACGTGGTCTTAGGAAAAAAAGAAACATTGCTGCGGGATGAACACAGGTCAACCAACAGGCGGCCGCTGCTGTAACAGTGCGGGATGTCAAAACAAACATGGCGGCTGACGGAGCGAAGCACTCCTTGGAGCAAAGCCACTGCATTTTTTTTTTTCTTCTTTGCGTCAATTATTGAGGTTGTGAGTACGTCACGCGCGTCAAAACAGTTTCTTTCATCTAAATAAGGAATGCTTTCATTTAAATCAGTATATTTATGGCATTAGCATAGTGATGCCCGCTTTCAGATGACAGAAACAATGATAGGCGCGTGTCGATGCGGCAAGTTCAGGGTGCGATCATAACGCAGGGAAAAAAAGTCGAATTTAGACGACAATATTTAGGGATGCGATCATTACGCGAGTAGATACGGTAAGTGGAACAAATATTCCAGGTTTCTTCAGTTCACATTAAAATTGATTCTAGTGAATTCATAAATTAGAGATACCATGAAACAATACATTGTAGATATCAGACTTTGTAGATTTTTTAAGGAATTAGTTAGTGCATACAGAATTCTTTAATAATGAAAACGAACTACAGAGTGTTCTAAGTGAGCTAGAGAATAAACATGAGTAGTGTTAGGAACTTTTTTTGGGCCAATGAGGCAAAAAACAACAACAACAAAAACTTTGAACATACTTCTCAATACTTTGGTCGCACTGTCGTATTAGATTTATGGTTTCAGTGCAAAATTAAGATGTTGGAACCTCGCCTTTTATTTTCTCTACTGTAATAAACATGTGATCATGAAATTAAGAACACTGTAATTCTTAAAGAAATAATTGATCAGTGTAAATATGTTTAGTGTGTTATATTATTTTGCATTTATTGTGAGCCAGTGAGCTTTAGTGAGGCGATGGTATTTGGTTTACCTAATAGATGCATTCTCGTGTGCATTGCAGTGTGGAAGTGATTCGCTTCTGCCACAGCTTATGGATAAACTGGGACGAAAAGATGTACTATGCACCGAAAGACGCTCCAGCACGAGCACGCACCACAACATTAAATGAAGAGTTGGGACAGATCGAGTACATTTTCTCCGACAAGACGGGCACCCTGACACAAAACATCATGGCATTCATCAAGGCGTCCATCAATGGCCGTCTCTATGGAGACGTCCTCGACCCAGCCACAGGGGAAGCTATGGAAATCAATGAGGTGATTGCATGCCTCGGCACTGTATGTGTGTTGCGGCAGGGTTAGTTAACACACTGGTTCACTGGCATCAATTCAGTCTCCTTTGAACTGTTTCATTCTAGGTCAGATGATTACGTTTTCTTCTATGAAAGTCCACTTAACCATAAATGACAAAAGAATGCGTGCTGAAGCTTTGTGGAATACATTTACTACTCAGTAGTCCCATCATTTGTCCTGGCACTTTTTGGCCAAACATGGCCCTTGCACCATTCAAATCCACATAGCAACATTGTTCAGCAGTGATTATATTTTTTTTTCTCAACACATTGAGTTCTCAGCTACTGGCAGGTTGTATCGTCCTTACAGCAAGAAATTTGGGAACGCTGAAACAGTGTGAATGTTACATGTACAATTACAAAGGAAATGAATTGAATTACTGTAAGCATTTAAAATGTTAATCAATGGCAATATGAGTAGTTAAGTAAATTTGCAACATGATCACTTGTATGTGGTTTACATCAGTCGGATCAGTACACGTGTGCATACAATTTAGCAGTTTGTAGTAAACATTGCTTGTCAGTGCACTTGGGATACTTAGAATTTGCTAGGTCTCTAAGACATCCGTAAATTGTGGTGCTGTTGATGTAGGAGTTGTAAGTTATGTTCAATGGCACATTTAAGATTGACGACACTTGTCTGTATTATTGTGTCTGTTTGCGCTATAGCAACAACATGGCACATGTAAGTTATTTAATCCAATGACCGTATAGTCAACTGCAGTTAAGTTTCCCCTCAATCAGACAAAGAAAAATTAGGATAATTGTATGTTTCCAAGAGATGATTACTTTGTAAAGGCACCAGAGTCTCTTGGGGCTTTCACATCCTGTCAAATGAAAAGGCAATTCCCAAGAACCAGTGTTTTAATAAAATACTTGTTCTATCATTGCTGATGTTGTGTGGGAGGTGAAGGGAGCGGAGAGTTGTTTTTGTGCGCTAATTCTGTTCAGTGCAACTGAGACACTCTTCTCGTTGTTCTGCTAATTTTCCAACATGTAATATGCAATGATTTTCATTGCTGTCACTGCAGAACCTGAAGACCGTGGACTTCTCGGAGAACCCAGAGCACGAAACAGCCTTTCGTTTTTATGACCCATCTCTGCTGAAGGACGTAATGGCTGGAGACACCGATGCTCGGGAATATTTCCGTTTGCTGGCTTTGTGCCACACCGTTATGTCGGAGGAGAAGGATGGTGAGTTGACTCAGAGGAGCAGACGTTGTGAACGCAAAACAGCGCACGAGTCCAAACTTGATTCAATTCAAGTTGCCATCGAAAGTTTGTGGACCACTGCACTTAAAAAGTGTTGAATTCGGAGCGATTTGTGACCGTAGCTTCTGATACAGTACACCAGTATGTCATTTGGATACACAGTCCAGGATACACATTTGAATATACAGGGCTTTTTGTTCGCCTAGCCTGAGGGGGGGGGGGGGGAGACAAGGGGATGGGGTGTAAGTAGACTGACAGACTGTAGTCACAATGCGTTGAAACCCCACTCAGTTTTCAACCATCTTGCAGGCCGTCTCGAATACCAGGCGCAGTCACCAGACGAGGCTGCACTCACATCGGCAGCTCGAAATTTCGGATTTGTTTTCAAGGTAAGTGCAGCAATATTTGCTCTTTAACTAGGCCACAGCTGCTTTGAAGCATTTGTGAAGTTTACAATTTCTAATTTTTCGTGTCTGTCCAGAACCGGACACCAAAAAGCATTACTATTGAAGTTTGGGGCCAGGAAGAAGTCTATGAACTCTTCGGAATTTTGGATTTCAACAATGTTAGAAAAAGAATGTCGGTAAGTACTGCCACTTCTCAATACTGTAGAAGTTCACTCTTTTACAGCATTGATTTTCATCCACCGCTGTAGGAGCTGAAATATGGCGAAGTGTCAATAACACGAATGTCTTTCAAATTTCTGTTTTTTGGTTGCACGTTGTGCAGGGCTGCCGAGCGTAGTAGCAAACTCTCTGCGCCCTTAACTTCAGGTGATTGTGAAGAGGAATGGTGTCCTTAAGCTTTACTGCAAAGGTGCTGACTCTGTCATTTTTGAGCGCCTTCATCCGAGCAGTGAGCCTCTCAAAATTAAAACAGACGGAGCATTTGAATGTAAGTGCGATTCAGATTGGTCGTAAGCTGCCTTTTTCAAATTATGCTTTTATTGTTAGATTTTTTTTGCAATTTCTGACATACATAAGTGTGTAATAGGAAGAATATCTTTATTGCATGCTAATGCGTATAGTGGAAATGTAGTGTAGGATCTTCACCTCCTGTCAGTTGGTGCAGTAGGTAAAAACCAATGATTTAACTACAAAATAGCAAACAAATGTGAAATAATTGGCTCTGTATAAACATCGCACGCATATACATATGTACTACATAGACAGGTATACTATCAGAAGAAATCTGACTAGCAAAGCCTAATGCGATGGTGGCATTTTCTCCCTCTGTGGCTGGCTATGCTGTCCTATAATGAATTTAAAGCAATCAGTTGCCTGACTGCTTTCAAACTAAGGAAAAAACTTATATTGGTATATATTGCACATTCCCACTGCATGAAATGCCTCAGGCTTCTTCATATGAAAGTGCAGTTCAATTATTGTAAGTATCTGAGAACTGTCTGCATGTGCTGCATCTGACTACTTTTTTTTATACATTTGACATTGTCTGATTTCAGAAATATGCTGGTGAGGGCCTGCGGACATTGTGCCTGGCCTACAAAGACCTAGACGAGGCATATTTCCAGGAGTGGAGCTGAGAGGACATCATGAGGCTGCGTAAGCTTTTTGCTTTTCCATTTAGTACTATCTCTATGGTCAGGGTGATTTGTAGCACAGTGCTATAGAGTAATTATCTCTATCCATTAGCAAACTATGCATGAGCACGATGGCAGCTCGTTAGTGGCTGCAAACTAAATGCATTATTAGTTTTGGAAGTGAAACTGATGTGGCTACACGCATATATCACAAGTGTCACTTCATACTTTCAACGTGTACGGCAGGGCAATCAAGGCGCAGTTACGATGCAATTGTACACTCCTTGTGAAAGTTTATAATACACTCAATAAAGCTATCTAAGCTAGCTCCCAGCAATCTAAAGATTTGAGGACAAGAATCACACACCCTTCTTTTTTTATATCACATGCTGGAAACTCCGAGAGCAGACACTTGCTATGGAGCTTGTAGTCAGCATTGATCCTACCCGCTTAGACCCAGGACTTGCCATATTGTGCACAATCTTTAAAAATGGTAGCAATGTCTCAACTGAGAGCAAACAAGTGGAAAGGGAGGCTTTATAACAAAGTACAGGTGCACATGATCCAGAACATGATGCAAATACAAGTTATTTAGAGTACTAATAGTTTTCCTGGCCTTGTGAACCTTGAAAAGCGCTATAGCTGGCCAACTTTAAGTGCCACGCATTATCTATATCGCAAGAAACACAGGCACAAAAGAAGACAATAGACGGCACACGAGCGCTTTGAACTGTGTTTCTCGCGGTACACATCGTTTCTGATGTACAACACACAGGCCCAAATCACCATAATTCTGACGTTCCACTTATGAATTTATGAGAAGATGAGCAAAGAGGACTTGCACATTTTCATGCAGAACGTCTCTGCACGACCGAGAGGAGTTGGTGGATGCCGTGTATGACGAGATTGAACAGGGCCTGACACTGATAGGTGCCACAGCCATTGAGGACAAGCTGCAGGATGGCGTGCCGCAGGCCATTGCTAATCTGGCCATGGCTGGCATCAAGATATGGGTCCTCACAGGTGACAAGCAGGGTCAGTCTGACGTGCGATTCCTCAATGCGATAGAATTTGACACTGTTAACGCAATTAGCGTGAATCTGTTGCTTCTCAAGTCGGAGATTGTCATCAGATTGCTGCTCATGTTCAACAGCCGCACTCATGATTTGTTTGATGTTCGCTGCTTAGTATTCCTTCGCTTTGTCGTACTGGTTTTAGAAAAGCATACTGAACTGTATTGCTGAAACAGTGAGCACACAAGTATTGAAACTGCCAATCACTACTGTTTCCTCTGACATTTGTTGAATGTTTTAGCGTAATCATATTGAAGAAAACCTGCAAACTGAAGTGTTATCTCGCAAAAAAAAAAAGCTTCGGGTACGAAAGTCTACCTTTCATGAAATAAAGTAGCATTAAAACTTGGTTTATGCTGTGACTTGGCAACCAGTGCATCACAGTTAAAATGGCATTTGACATTTTAAAGTATGACAGTAACAAATTTAACTAGACTAAGCACACTAATAAGAGGCACTGTAATTTATTTTTAGACATTTGATTGTTGTGAAAGTAGTTATATTTTTATAGAAATTATTTAATTAATTCATTCATTGAGCTTGCCATCAGGGCTAAAGCATTAGAGTGGAAAATGCATTACATGTGAACAGAACATAGAAAATTTTTTTAATGAGTTAACACACAAAATTTTATTTTTTCATTGTTATATAAGGTGTTCTTGAACAAGTAATGATCGACAATGGAAGTTACTTGTGGAGTACGGTGACTCTCATCCTCTAATATTCATGATAGCGAGCTCTTACTGCTTGGCATTAGTAGGCAGCGAGTACCTGTTCAGTTCACAAAGTGCTAAACATCCCTGACTTGCATGGGAGATAGGCTTTATGTGCTATCAGCAGTTTTCACCTGCTTGTTTAGATGTCAAGTGGCGTACTTTGCATTTATGATACCATCACATTTTCGGCACTCCTAATATATTTATCTGTCAACAACATGTAGACACTCAGTGCACGCTTTTTACTACTTTCTTTAGCTTCAGACCATCTCCACACAAGACTTTCCTTTTCTCTGAAACCACAGAAACGGCCATCAACATTGGCTACTCGTGTCAGCTGCTCACAGACGACATGGTGGACATCTTCATCGTGGATGGCATGGAACGCGATGAAGTGTACAAGCAGCTGAGCTCATTCCGCGAAAGCATTGCAGGCATCGTTGCGCACGGCCGAGGTGCTGGAGACTGTTCGGTCGTGCGTTTCAGTGACAATGAGAATGGCCAAGCCTGGGAACTGTCTGGAGGAGAAAGCCTGGGTGGCTTTGCTCTCATCGTCAATGGACATAGTTTGGTGAGACACATTAAATGTTTGGCATTTCCACTGGCAGTTTATGTGAAGCAGAAGCTGATTACAATTTGCAAAACTCATTAGCATTTATGTTACAAAGTGTCTACATATTCAATGTAAAAATACTAGTGGGCACTCTTATCAAAGGCGAGTCATAGTACTGGCAGTAATTTGTCACTGTACATCTCCCTTTCACTTGGTTAACCTTGTTGCTCAAGAGATGCTTACAGGAAAGGTAACTTCTCAGCAAACTGCAAGAATAATGCTGTGGAGTTGAATAGCGAAGATCTAGCAGTACATCTCAGGATCTGTAATAAATATCCAGCAACTGACAGTTTTGTAGGCAGCCAATTAATTAAGATATAGGTTTGAAGCATTCTGCACACATTTTAAAGCTTGTGTACACTTCAGAAAGCAATCTGCCTGCTGGTATTACATTCTTAAGGGACTCTAAAGTTAAATAACAATTTACGTCAGAGTTAAAGCTCAATGTATGACAACGTCTAAAACATTATTAACAGCAGTGCCCTACTTGCCAGGAAATCAAGTAAATGCATAAGAACACATGCACTATGCGTAGGACATTTGCAAAATGATCCCGATGACGTGAATGGTACTGTCTACAATTACCCTAATCACTAATAATTGAATTAGCTGCCCTAAATAGATAACTTTTCATGCATCAAGAGGCGTAATAAAATGCTGCTTGTACGTTTATGTTTGATTTATGGATAAAGGAACCGCCCGTCGTTACTATGGGGAATGGCGCAAGTGGTTCAAAAGTTCAATGTTCGCCTCGTCTACCTGGACTGGTTGTGCCATCTAGCGGGGCCCAGTTGAACCAAGCATGTCTGCCATCTCAGAAGCCATGGCAGGAAATTGTTCAATGTCCGTTGATGCTGCTGTGGCTCCCGCTACTTTCTCTATGCGGCTACTAGTGTTGGCGGCCGCACAGTAAAGCTGTTCAACGTTGTGAACAGCAACAGTGATGCGATACGTTTCGCTTGAGGCAGGTAATCTGAAATGCGCTGACCCGATGCGGACCCCTAAAACGTGACTTTATTTAAAAATAATCACTTCCTTGGCATAAAAGTAACATAGAGGTTTCCACAACTCAACAATCAATGTTGACCTAATAGTTGCCTTTAGTGTCCCTTTAAGCTTCGTTGCTTTGCATTCAACCCTCACGAATATAATTTCTTTGTTCTGTATGCGTGACATACTTTGTAAATGCAGTGTTTGTCGGTGTGTCTGTGTTTGCACTGTAGGTGCATGCTCTGGAAGAGGACATGGAGCTCCTGTTTCTGGAAGTGGCCAGCCGGTGCAAAGCAGTCATCTGCTGTCGCGTCACTCCTCTGCAGAAGGCCCTTGTCGTGGACCTTGTCAAAAAACATAAACGTGCCGTTACTCTTGCCATTGGGGATGGTGCCAATGATGTCAGTATGATCAAAAGTGAGTGCTCCCACGTCACCCTTGGTGCTCGTGAAGTGAAATCCTTCAATATTTGTTTAAACATACATTTAGTGCAAGGGCAGCATGAGCTGTACTGCATCTCTCATAACCCTATGATGGTTTTAGGACGTTAAACCTCAGCAATTATTATTAATAATGAGCTGTACTGTCAAATACTGTGGTGTTTCTGAATATGTGTTCTTTTAATACTTTTGGTACTCGTTTTTAAATATTTTTTTGCATAGTTTTTAATTTTGAGAGACTTAGCTATTTCTAGATGCTACTTTAAATCTCTCGATGTAACCTTCCTGGTCAATTAGTGTGTCTCGCCACCATGTGCATTTTTTCTCTCCATGACTCTTAATATGATTACTTTCTTCTTTTATGCGGCAGTACTTATGAAGTTTGTCTTAATATACCCAGTCAGTGTTGGTGACTCCTATTCAGTGCTTCATTTTTATCAAATACAGGCCTGCTGAAGGAATAATGAAAATTTGTGGTTTTTTCACTGAGAACAAAATTCAACATGAAAGCAAAACTAAGGCAGACCATTTTTTTTTTTTTTTACCATCTGCACTGCTGTTGAAAGAAAGGTAGTATTTTATTTTGCTCTAAATTTTTTGAGCTTTTTCTTTTAAAGAAGAAAGCTTGCAAAATGTATTTATGAAGGCAGCACTTGGGCATGAATGTCCATGGCAGATGCCATTCATCTTTACCCATGTGACCAAGACAGTATGGGGTGGAGCCCATGATGAAGACATGCGCCACTGTTTACTAACCGGAATATCACTCTGTATACAGGGGCAGCTTCTCAATGTCCTCCTGTTACAGTGCACAATAAGTGTGGCAGCACTTATCATGTCATAGCTGTTATCCTTGTTTGTAGCACTGTCTGTAGATCTCAAAACCATCCTGTTCAGCATACGAACACTTACACTTCTTGTTCGTTGCTGTGCAGTGGCACACATTGGAGTGGGCATCAGTGGTCAAGAAGGCATGCAGGCGGTGCTGGCCTCGGACTTTTCGGTGGCCCAGTTTCGCTTTCTCGAGCGACTGCTGCTGGTGCACGGTCGTTGGTCCTACCTGCGTATGTGCCGTTTTCTCCGGTACTTCTTCTACAAGAATTTCGCATTCACCCTCTGCCACTTCTGGTTTGCGTTCTTCTGTGGATTCTCAGCACAGGTGAGTGCTGGGCACGGCAATCGAAAACTACTTGTGTTTGACACAGATGTTTTACCCTAGACAAGTGACAGAGTGCATTGCTGCGTCCTTCCATCTCCACGTTCTTGTTTGTTTTGCACTAAGTTTCTGTTATGAATAAGTGCAGAATAGTAGTTCACTATACCATACTAGTGGTAGCACATGTAGAAGTGAAACGAAGCCATCCTGTCATTTGCAGATGCATGTTTCTAGTTTCATCGCCAGAGATTTATAAATTCGTTCACACGAATGTGATGCTTTCCATGTGTTGAGCATACAGTTATGAGGTATTACTCAGCAGCAGTACTTCTTGTGATGAATGTGCAGCTTTGTGACGGCTTTTTAAATTGGTGGTAACGGGGCGCCGTACCTATGCACCTAGTTGTTCTTTTTTTGTCTTCATTCTTCATTGAAGCTCTATCGCGAAGCAATGTTAAAGTGAAAGTCTTATTGTATTTGCAATAAATGCCAAGTGTACTCGTTATGATAAATTTAAAAACAAAGGGCTGTTTCTGGAGTCGACGTTTTGACAAGCCGACTTGTCTTTTTCGAGGCTGCAAGCCTCAAAAGAGACTAGTTTACCTGTCGAAACATCAACCTGGGAACTCACCTTTTCTTTTCTTTAATTTCAATTTCTCCTTGCAAGCTTTCATCTTCTTCTTCTCGACTTTGTTTTGGAAACATACTCATTGGTATTTAGTTTCAGCCTGGCCACACAAACCACCTGGTGGTGTGTCTTTGCTAGGCTGTTTCTTGAAAACATTGTTATTCTGTGTTCTAGATTCATCTAAACATTTAAAAGCAAGCTCTGTCATTATACTTGTTTCAGCTGTCACGATGGTTTTGAAACAAATATTGGACAAAATATTGGACTCATAATAAAATAATATCTGCTGCAGATCATTTTTTCAGACCAAGGAATGCAGAACATATGCAGTGAATGATGCCGAATTGTACTATAGTAAAATTAAAGATTGTGAAGAAATAAAAATGCCAGTTACAATTTTTTCGAAGTGACACAGGAGCTGCTGCTTATCGCTTTATGCCCATTGTAATGTAGAGTGACGTTTTTGCTGAGAGTCGGTAATGTATAAAAAAAAATTTAATGAAAAAATATTCTATTGAGCAGGCGGACAATTTCAGTATGTGCACATATCAACATGAAAAACTGACAAGATTCGAGTGCTGTGAAAATGGCTGATTTTCCATGCAGTCTGGATGCGTGTTTATTTTGATTCGCCAATGCCTTATTTTGCAAGTCAGACATTCTTACTGCCTTTCACATATGACTGGTGTGAGCAACAGGCAGTGAAGCAACATGCAATTTTAATCGTTGTTTCTCCCTATACTCTCCAGTAGTTTCATTTTTCCATTTATGTCACTAAATGTTAAGAGTACAAGTGGGGATATAGAGCACGAAACATGCTTGTAAAACATTCAGTACATCAGGAATTTTACAGCAGCCAAATTCTATTGCACAAAATATGTATTGCTCAATAAATTTGTCACACAGGCAGGCACCAAAACACCGACCCTCTGAAAAGACTGCACTTCTCTCTTGTCATATAACCAAATTTTTGTATGTTTGAATATCGTAATTTTAGCTGGTTTATGATTTCAAAAGCTATTGTAAGGAAAATAAGCAAATAGTTCGAATTACCCCACACAAGACAGTGTCATCATTCTTTTTTAATCTTTGCCACATTTCTTTTGTGCATTTGCCACAACTGGAATGTGCAGTGCTCTGAAGAAGTCCAACTTTCTTTTTCTTTCTTTCAGACCTTGTATGATCCAGTGTTCATCTCTTTCTACAACGTCTTCTATACGTCTCTGCCTGTATTAGCGCTGGGTGTCTTTGACCAGGTATGTAGGTGCTCTTGAATATTATTGTGAGAACAGATGTGCAGTTGGATTTTGCACAGCATATAGGAGCAACCTTTGCACACTGAGAACCCTAGCAAACTTTCATGGCAATTCGGTAAGCTTGCGCGAATATTTAAATGTTTGAACGAATATTACAGTATTCCAACTGAATTGTCAAACACTTTGAATTGTTGAAAATTTTGAAGTATTCGAAATGAACGAATCAATGCATATTATTCCGCTTGCAACTTTTTGTAACGCTGGTTTCACTGCAGTGGAGGGATGCTAAGCCATGCAAACACTATCTAAATGTATATTAATCAGCATGTAATCTCTTGTAAAGGTGTTTTCACTGCAGTAAAAGGATGCTAAGCCTTGGAAACATCTGTTCAAGAGAGATCCGTACTGCTGCAAAGCCGCACTTCAAGGTTCAATAAACATGTTACCTTTCACATCAGTTCATCATTTTCAAGTTTAAAGGCTTCTTGTACCATCTTATGTTCTCCAAGTGTAGTAAATTATAAAACCCAACATATTTTGCTGGTTATCACTTGTATTTTACTGAAAGTCAAATCCTGCTACTATTTAAAGCTGTTTCCACTTTCTTTCAAAAACAAAAAAATGGCATTGGCATAGGCTTTATTTAAGTTCTTTTACTATTGTCCAGATTAAATTAGGTGGGTCATGACAAATACACCCCTTTTTATTTATAAGATGCCATGTATACTACTAAATTTGATTTGAAAATATTTGACTGAAATCATTATGCTCTTCAAATTCGCTTTGAACCTGAATGTCACAAACGTACAATTTACGTAAGTGAAGATTGCCCACACAAAAGTGCGAGGACCTACTTTAGTTGTGGCTTTTTCCTATTCATTGTGAGCCCCCATGAATGTACTTGATGGCACAGATCACACCTCAAATTAACAGCGAACAAGAATTGACATATAACTTTTTGCCAGCTGTATCTGATAATATTGACGGAATTCTCTTAATGTGCTTCCTGCACACTTCTCGATCCGTGCAATTTTTAATGGCTGATCTAGTCTGGCAAGCTAAAATTAATGACCAAGGCTACATACAGTTCTCATTTTTTACAAGATTCATTCTTTGTGTAGCGAACTTATCAATGGTAGCAAACTTCAAATTGCTGTGTTCATATTATAGTGATATGGTATATTTTCTCTAGTCCAGAGCTTGGCAAGGCAACTTTTAATATATTCTTTATGAATTTACATATGTAGTGCATGAATTTTGTTGTGCTTACAGATGCATCTTTCCTTGTTCTTAATGCCGGGGGTTGCTGCTCACAATGAATATTATATTAATGCAATTAAAGTGCAAATCTTTTGCTTCTTGAAATTTGTGTCATTGTGCTATTTCGTGTATAAGCATACTTGTATTGCGTAATAACAAACGTTAATATTCATCAGAAGTGATATGCTTTTTTACATTACAATGGTCTCTGAAGTTCTTGCTCCTAGTACGTCATTTGACAATTAAAATTTATTACGTGCACAGCCTGAAAATTTTGAGTGCTGGCAACAAGCAACAACATTAAATGGCTTGCCTCATTTTGATTTCTCTTTCAGGACGTGAACGACGTGAACTCTATGCGCTATCCCAAGCTCTACACGCCAGGCCATTTGAATCTGCTTTTCAACAAGGTTGAGTTCTTGAAGAGTGTCGCGCACGGAGTGGTCTCCTCCTTTGTCCTGTTTTTCATCCCGTACGGTGCCTTCAGCAACAGCATTGCACCCGATGGAGTCAATTTGGATGGGCAACAGCTGCTGGGCACCACAGTTTCGACCATCCTCGTCATCGTTGTGAACGCCCAGGTAACAGCACACCCCGAAACCACGAGTATATCTTTGTCATGACAGTCCGGAGGTAACCCTGGAGTGCAATCACAGAACGATGCCTTTTCTGGGGCCAGTGTTTTTCGTGCTTCTTGCGCTTGGCCAGTGGTCAGAGCGACGGTCTGTCCGAGTTATCTATGCAACTAGTCAGTCGCGAGTGATTGATAACAAGAATAGCATAGTATTAAAGCATCGCTCTGCAATAGCACCCCAGATTCATGACATGAGAGCATGGATTTGATTCCAGCATGGTTATCTTTGATGCCACATTCAAATGTGAACAGATGTAAAGAACATACTACGATTTGTATTTAAGCTGTACTTGAGGAGTCCCAAATTCCAATGATTGTTCAGATGACTACTCATGCTAGTGGTTCAGAGGTTTAGGGCACACGGAGCTCCTGTCGACTATTGTAGTAATGTTCTGAATAGTCTGGAAACGTTCACTCAATAGGGTTGGTGTCACATCTAGTTTATATGTGCAAATGACGTTTTGTTTACCTGCCACGCTGGCTCAGTAGTTGCAATAACGCTGTACTGCTAACCAAGTGGTCGCAGTTGTTTTAGACTCGTAAAGTATTGACTCAAAAGCTTGTGTTAGTTTCGTCGTAAGAGATTGTTTTTTTATATATGCACACTCCTTTTCTTTTTTTTACATATTTGGTTCATTGTGGCTAAACCTAAATTTTCAATGTTCTGTATCTTGCCTCTCCAGTATACCACTCTTTTGTGCTTGTTTTTTTTTTCTTCAGCTCATTGAACTGCCTCTCGCAACAAAATTGGCTTTTATGGTATTGTATAAATATGCTAATTTAATGCTCCATCTAAGTTTCTCTATAGGGTTTTTTCACGGTAGACCGGGTAGTCAAAACTAACCCAGAACTGTTCACTACACTATCCTTAGGCATGTATATAGCTGTATATGGCTTTGACAAATTAAGCCCTAGAGAACTTGGAGGTATTTCAACTTTGCCTTCAAGAGTAGAACGCGATAGCGTGATAGAGCCCTGTGCATAGCGCCTTCAACCTTGCCAGAAGGGAAGAAACGTTTTGTGCGTTTAATGTTGGCCATTACAAGTTTTCCTAGAAAGCCTTCTGTCAGGCAAAGTTCCCAGTACACCATAGTTCTTCCTTTTGTTAATTGGTGAAATTGGTACCCATTGTGCACCTGTACGGTGCCATGCACACCTGTGCAGCTGAGCACTTTGTAACGGGGGCCCAACTTTGAACCACCCACTCGCTGTACTATTGACGTGTTTGACACATGGTGCAATATTATGATTCTGCCACACAGTATTACATGCTTTAAGGAGGTAATATTACATATTCTGCCACACAATATTACATGCTTTAAATTATTGGAAATTTCGAAGTATTAAGAACGAACAAATAGGTGTATACATATTAATCCACATGTAACACACCTGTAAAGGTGGTTTCTCTGTAGTAAAGGAATGCTATATTGTGTAGTAAAGGAGTGATGTAAAGTTGGTTTCACTCTAGTTAAGGAATGCTACACACATTCAGCTAATGTGCCGCTACCAAATTGTAGTTTTTTTTTATCATCTTCATGATATTGCATCTGTCCGCTCACTGAAAACACTTAGCACATCCTAGCCTCCTAGGGAGCAGGGGTATAGTCTGAAGCATTGAAGGAAAGCCCCAGGACTTTATACGAAGTGGAAGAAGAAAATAGTGCATTAGAACAGGGGTATGTTGAAGCATTAAAGTAGAACCCCTGGCGCTGTCTGCTGAGTAGCAGAAGAAATGAGTGCATTAGATTGTGTGTATATTGAATTAAACTGGAATCCCTGCACTCTAGGTAGTGCATATTTTGAAGCATCAAAATGCAACCCTTGGCACCCTCTAGGAAGTGGCAAAAGAAAGTAGTGCATTAGGGTAGGTGTATGTTGAGGTGCCCTCAACCCCTGGTGCCTTGTGGAACAAAGTGGTGCGTTAGAGGAGGGGAGAACTCAGTATGCCTTCTATCGTATGTGTTTTGCTATGTCAGCCGAATGTAGGCACTGTGTTGGCACAGTCGTGTGTGGCAACTACGAGTCGACCACACAATGTGACAACGCCCTAAAAGCAGTGCCATTTCGAAGAATGGTGATGAAAGTAGAAGTGCGAGTTCAACCGTCGGTATCGCGCTAGGCCTGAGTTTCATGAAAAAGATGCTCAGTGCAAGTAATTAGCAAGAGCAACACTCCGCAGAATGGCAGCAGCGAGGCACACATCAGAAACTAGCGGTGTTTTTCACATAAACGTGCAGTTTTGAAGTTGAACTCTTCTCCATACAGCAGACAAAAATTTCATGCTAACAGTGTGGTGTCTTTTTCATATCTCCACTTGTCATCAACGTTTGTAGGGTGAAATGGCTCCACGTTTTTGTGGTTCTAAAATTTCATGCGTGGCATTCTTGTCGGAATTGAAGTAGCTTTCTTTGAGTGCCTAATATATTTCTCTGCATTTAAATTCTTATGGCCTTTACAGTACACTTGTGGATTCCCTCTTGCAACATTGAGCAAATGCCTATGAAGTCACTGAACTTTTGATTAACACTTTCTTCGGTGCATGTGGCACAATGTACGGCGAATGCATCAAATCGTGTAAGCTGCGCACCACAGTGTGGTGTCACTCCTTAATATATTTTTTAGACCAAGAAGTTCCTTTTTTTCTTACTTTGGGTCCTTTTATAGTGTATTTTCAGATAAGGCAGTTTCCACACCATTTCGCTTCTTAGTTCTTTAGAATTAGGCAAGCAACCACGAAACAGTGACAAGCGGTAGTTTTTGTGTTGCCTCAACTCACCACTCAAGATGTCATTTAGCGTGGATGCACTCATTCTTTGCCAAATGTGAACTACATTTTAAGCTCTTTTTTATTGCTTGATGTTACAAGGATGCATGAATATTCAGACACGTAATACTAATTATCGTATGTTTCTGCTTTTATCAAAGTGCACTGCTTCTCAATGTGAAATTTGAAGGCCATTCTTGCAACTGACCATTGCAGTTGAATGCGTGCTATATATGTATACATTATAATTCTGGTTCTGAACTCCAAAATGTGTTACCTGTTTAGCGGAAGTTTGGCTCATCCTTCTTATCAACTATACTTGGCCACCTGAGTTGCTTGAAAGTTAGAATAAAATTTGTCATTTGTACATTCATGTAGAGTGATTGTCTATAGAAGTAAGAGTAAAATAGAGTTAACAAAATGTGTTCTTTCGTTCTTGTTTCCATCAACACATGCAGTGTCATCATGATTTCAGCTTTCATACTGAAGTAGCTTAGGTTTTCTAAACCATGTTTGACTGTGACACAATTAACAGTCCAAGATAGCACTCTTGAGTTGCTGCTTGCAAAACCTGTTTGGTCTTCAATTTCTTGTTTTTGTTTCATTTGACGATCATGACATAAGTGCTATTGGTTGGAGGTCAGGTGCAGCTGATGAAATTATTGTTTCACCCCTTTTTGCCCATGCAGATTGCTCTGGACACATCATACTGGACTGTGTTCAACCACATTGTCATCTGGGGCTCTGTGGCATTCTACCTGGCTATGACGTTGTTCATCAACTCTGACATTGTGGGTAACCAGTTCCTTGGCTCGCTGCGCATGACGCTTGGCTCGGCGCAGTTCTGGTTTGTGGCATTCCTCACGGTTGCCGTACTGCTGCTGCCTGTGATCGCATTCCGCTTCTTCTACACGGACGTCTTCCCCACACTCTCGGACCGCGTGCGACTCAAGCAGCGGCGGGCGCGCCGTCTACGCCGCGAGGGTGCGCCCGAGAGCGGACTGGGTCGTGCCACGAGTGTGCGGCAGGGAAGCCGGCGTCGTTCGGTGCGTTCGGGCTATGCCTTCGCACACCAGGAAGGCTTTGGCAGACTCATTATGAGCGGCAAGATAATGCGGCGTGCGCGCTCTGGTGGCAACTGGAGCAACTCTCTCCACGTCCCTCCCACATTGCCCAACCAGCCAGACGACACGAGGTCTCCGCCTTTGGCGTGAGGAGTGACACAGTGTCGTGTGATGCTTCTGCATTTGTGCTTCGCAAGAACATTGGAGCCCACAGGCAAGCAACGCGCATGCCATCCCATTGACATAATGTTACTATAGTGCAGCCTGATCTGTTTTGCACATCACCACGGATGCGTGCGAATCGGTCCGGACCTTCATACAACACAGGAAACCCTCCTTCTGTTGGCCTGTCCTGGCCGCGCATGTCGCAAGTGCTGCAGCTGTACAGTCGAGATTGCGATGGCTTCGTCGCCGTTGTGACTGTGATGAAATTACTGCAGCATGCACTCTGGCTAGCCCACGGTGATGATGATGGTGGTGGGGGTAGTGCATGTGCCGTCTTTGGTACATGTGGGCAGTGTAGCGTTGTTGCACTTCGCGTATTGTGCGACTGTGCACCAGTACCGCTTCAGCACAGGTGGCAATGAGTCTTCTTGCTTCATCGCTGTTGTTTCCACTGCTGTGCTGTAAGATAAACCTACCTCCCTGCCTGTTATATGCCTGTCACTGTTCATTCTTAACACGCTGTAATCGACTGGAGAGCTTGACTTGGTCATGTAATGCAACAGACCACTACGAGGTAAGCAGCAAGCCACGTTTGACATTGTATCTTTCATTTGTTTTCTGTGCCTCTAAAGCTTGTTGCATTCGCAATTTTTGCAAAAAAAGAATACTCTCCCGCTTTTTTTTTTTTAACTGGAATTCTAATTTGAACTTCAGTGCTTACATTTCATAACTGTAGAGGTTGATCAAATGTTTTCGTTTTTTGCATAAGCTTGTACACTTACTTTTTTTTAAATCTCTGGCTTTCTTTTTCTTTCTCATTGTCTCTGTTTTCGGGCATCATTTTGTACAGGTCTGAATGGCAATATCAAGAGGATATTTTTGAAGAGAGCAAAGTTGCCAGCATTTTTATAAGGGAACTTGGGGTTTATTGGGGATTATCCGCAGACTACTACTAGCAATGTGCACTGATATGTGACGCTTTACTGCCACAACGCTTTGATGATTTTTACTCTGTGCATTTTTGCACTTTACAAGCACCCTCTTTCGTTTTCTTGTTTTTTATTAATGAATTATCGAATAGGTGGGAAGGAAAGTTTACTATATTATTTATTTCTTGTTACACATTATACCTAGATTGTTTTTCTCTTTCTAAGCTGTTATATATACATGTGTTCGTTTTCTTTGTGCCCCAATTTTACACTTGCTTATCAGTCGATGTAGCAGCCGGACTGTCTGTGTATGTTGAAAAGTTCTGTTTTGTGCTGGAATGTCCCGAGTGGTGCCGTTTGTTATTTTAACAGCCAAGTTGTGGGTGCAGGCCTTCTGAAGGTAATGTGATGAATGTGCTGAGTGGTGACAACAATTGTGCTTGAAGGAACAAAAGATTTGCCCAACCGTGAATGTCACGAGCTGCATCTATTCTTTCTTATGATAGAGTGTGAAGGAAGCGAACTCATTATCGTGTTAAGGCCTTATAAGGAAGCATTTTAGTTTCTAAAATTATCAGTTAAGTATACATTTTCACTGTATCACCAATTATGCATGGTGACAAGCGACCTGCTATTGAGGTGGACACCACAAAAGAGTCGTGCCACTTGTTATTTACCTTCCTTTGCCAGTGTTGTCATGCCACTATACCCGGTGACGTCATACAAACTCGCAAGCATATAAGTTCAAGCTGGTAAAGTCGTCGGTGCTGTCAAACTGTGTTGTTAGTTCATGTTTTGTTTCCATTTTGTTTATTGTCACAACATTTTTATGTAATCAGTGTGAGCGTTACAAAATGTATGCGGAGTGTTTGCAAGGTTAACTAGGCGTGATCGGCTAAGAGAGTTGGAAAGACCATTTGTGGATGAATGCTGGCTTTGTATAGCTTGTGTTGTATGCTGAAGAGTGAGGCTTCTACTGTGACCTATGCTGGGATCTATACATCAATATTTTCTTCTTTTTCCTATGCAGCCCTTTGTGAAATCGCTTGGAGCTGCTGGCACAGGTAGCTAGTGCAGAGCAGGCCAATCAAACCCCATTGTACCTGCATACATTTTTCTTATGCTGAAAAACATAATCACTTGGACTTGGAGGACACTAGTCTTTAGTAGTGTTGTTGATGATGATGAAGTTGTAATGTGAAGAAAGACATTTCAAATCTGCAGAAATGTTTGTACACTATCCCCAGAGCTTTCTTTTTAGACCAACCATAAGTCAGGTGGGGAACCAGTAAATGCATTTATTAGTCTCTAAAAAAATGATAGACGAGCACCACAGTTTTCATGAATTTCACCTTGAAAACACAGGAGAATGTTTATGTTGTAAACAACATTGTCAACAAAGTACAAAAATGTGATGCAAATGTGTGTTTCACAGATTACAGTGAAAGTGGGGAAAATACTGCTAATCAGAGTGCAGGTGGAGTAAACAAAAATTAACTAGAGAAGATATTGTTGTGGCTTCACCGGAAATGAGGGCAAAAGTTAATGTGCTTATCCGAGGATTTTTGCTGGCATCTCGAACTGTGAATACTAATGAAACTGTCCTGCAAGTGGACAAAGTGCACGATGTTGGATCAGTAGAGCACAACACGTGTGTCACTGGCTCTGAATTCTATATTCTGGTTTTATGACATACTATTAGCATTCAATGAAAGGTCTTTAGTTTAGAAGGACACAGTTTACAATATGGCAGTTTTATTTTTGCATTGGGTCTTTGGCATCTTCTAGCTGCGCAGCTTGCCTGATTTCAGTGTACAACTAAACATTTCGACGCTTCTTCTATTTCTTGTCTTCTAGTGGTGGTGGTTTGGCATCATTCAAAGTAATGTACCAACTGGCTCAACAAAAAATTCTGGCAACCTAAATATTGAACATCTTCGTTAAGAATGGGGCAAAAAACATGGGACACAAAATGATCAAAACACAAGGACAGGCACCGGTTCTTTCGTCGTGTTTTTTGTGCCGTTCTTAACTATGCGCCCACACCAACTTGCCCAACTGTCAGTGCAATTGAACATCTGTACCATTAAAGTTTCGCACTGGTCGCACACTAAAAAGTTCGAAAACACAAGCTCAGTTTCAAAATGAAAAATGTGCAATACATGTTAGTTGTGGTGCATATGTCATGCTTTTATCACACCAATGTTGTTTTCTGATGCGACACTTGGCTGAAACTCGCCAGACAGAACTTCTCACACACTCTAATCTGTTTATTAGTAGTGAAAAAAATCTGGAAACTGCCAATCATATCCCCCCCAAGGTCATGTGATCGCAGTAATGAGCAATTTCGTGTACCTTCCAGTCCCCACGCTTGGCAGAAAAAATTTTACCTGTGGTAGCAAGAACGATAAAATTAAGCCAAGAAAGATTCCGATGTTCTGTTGGGTGCATTTTATGTGCAAAGCACGTTTGCATTGTTCCAATACATGTGCATTCTGCAACGATTGCACTTGTGCCTGCATTTTTACACATTCCTCTTGTGCACACTGGAGGTCTTCAGAAAGTAGAGCGCCATACTATACCTGTACGAAATGGTCGCCTTAGTTCAGTGGTACCTTTCAATGATTCCTGCACACATTGTGTTGCTAAAATACTTTCATTACCATGCTTTTCCTATGTTCACTTGCAAGGTGATGAAGTGGTAACGCATCTTTCGAGTATCTCTCTATTGTGGAAATGGTCTAGGGGCTCTACTGAACTACAGTCTCAACTTCAGGAAATGAACTGTGGCATATTACACTCTGACAAGTCAAGGAAGTGCTTAGAATTGAGGCTCATCTAAAGGTACAGGGTTACCATTTCAAAGGTGCTGCAAAGATTGCATGCCTCTGTTTTAGCGCGACACAGATTTGAAGCACCGAGTAACCGTTTACTTCAAGTACACCACGCTGCCACGATGTATTGTCAGCCTTGTGAGCTCTGTGTACCACCTCAACATTTTCCCCAAGCATGCCAAAGTGTGCTCTTGGTGTGACTTTGGATGATGGGTATGTTCATTAGCCCGAATTTTTATTACTCCACTTGTTCTAATAAGCGGCAAAATGTGGTTTTGACAGGACCCAAGGTTTGATTTGGACAATGGGAGGGTGTAGCAACTGAAATCTTACTTGTCGAGCAATAATAAGAAAGCATGTTTTGTCTATTCTCTTCTTCGGCTGTTTGATGAAGCCTCTACGAAAAGATGACCACATGTTTAGCACCCTTGAAGTATGCTGAACTCTGCTCTGTCTGACACCATCCATTATTTTTAGAAGTGCTATGTGGGGTGTTGCAGAGAATGCAAGCTTTTATTAAAAATAGGTTCCAAGCGTTTCACTTAACTCACTTTAGGTCACACTTCGTAGTGGTTTCAGAACGAGCCCATCATTCTTTCCACCTCAATGGTGAATAGCAGCAAGTAAGTTTTATGTTGCATCTTGGTTGTCATATAAGTCATATTTGAGATTAAGCTATCGTTATGTGTGGTATTCATTACATAAGTGAGAATGTAAATGTTAACTTGTTCTGTTTCACCCATGTTCACATTGTCAACCATCGACTATAACTATTGTGTGTCGAATGCAGGCACTGCATTAAAGAAGTACAGACACTTTTTTTGTGTGTGTTTTGCTTTGAAGCTCTAACAAGTTTGCTCATACACAAGCAATATTTACTAGTATCTGCAGCAATTTTCCAGACTGCATTGTTAAGTTGACATTGTATACTTACACCCACAGTAATGCAAGCTTTTGTTAATGCAAGCAGTTGTTGCTTTCTGTGTCTTATGTTCAAAATGGACAGGATGCATATTTGAGATTGTTCCAAATGCACAAGTGTACAGCTTCAGAAAGCCATTTATGATTTGCAAAGCCTGTAAGTGCAGTCTATCAATACTGAATAACGTGGAGAAGTTTTACTACATTTTAAAGTGCCAACAGGTACCGGTGCTATTTTTATACAGTGTCGAAAGCCGTACCAAAGTCTAATACAACATTTAAGGCACTTCCCTTAATGCCGTTATTTGCAGACCAGGAGATGTGTATTTGGGCTTAAAAAGTTGTGTCTGTACTTCTTTAAGAGGGAATGCACACAGCTCTAATCTATAGCACAATTTCCTCTTCTGCTGTTGTCACCTGTATAGTGTTTGTTACACCCCCCAACCAATGCTGTGCTATTCATGGTGACATAGCAGCTAGGTATTGTAAACACTGCTATCGCAACTTGTTGAAAAAGATCCGTATTTTGGACATCTCGTTTCACTGCATGTCAGACCCAGCAAGAGGCATCTTACAAGTTTGAATGGTGCACCTTGTTGCATTCAGCCTTGGATATTGGTCTATTTTTGTCGGAGTAGTTATTTTTGAAAATTGTCTCTCCAGCTAGTAGGTGTGGGCCTCATTAATGTTTGGGATTAGCAAGGAAGCTCCAGAAGAGAATGTCTTTGTATTTAAAGCACTATGAAACAAGAGCACAAATGGGAGTGCAGCCTTTCTTCAAAGAGCGAGGTAACACAGATGTGGGACCACTCCAGAAGACAGGCAACAGGGAGAAGACTGGTAGCATTCCTCATTGTGTGCAGCCTAGAGGAGCTTTGCATGGCTTAAATCACCATATCATGCAAGCCATTCAGGCATCGCAGTGTTTGATTTGTACTCGGTATCCCTGGTTGCAGATTCACGCACCTGCAATGTTTGCCGTATGAACTGCCCCTGTTCATCCAGCCCGTGCTCTTTAAAGTCTTTTGTTTTCAAATGACATAACAGTTAAGTCATTCATATGCGTGTAAAGAGGTTAGTGGATGTGAGATCACATATCAGGTAGTACATGCAGACCCTTCTAAAAAATAAACTGTGGGGAAATGATAATCGATTTCGGGTCTTCAGTCTGGGTGCAGCTGGGACAAAAGACATCAGCGGCTTTGTTCTTTCAGCTCGAGGACCATGCAACAGTTCGCTGTTTCGCTGGGAGCTAGCTCACCAAGAAATGCACTGTCAAGGGAGCATTTGGGAATCGTGGTTCTCTGAAATACTGCCAAGTTGGGTAATAAACTGGAATAGACCAGTACACGTTTTCAGCAGTTTTGTTTCAGTGGAACATTGGGGCAGTGAACCTTCCAGCACTGACAGGTTTGAACACAGTCTCAAATGGTCAAAATTGTTATAGCTGTTTAACTGTTGAGATAAACCAAATTCCTGCCTAAACTTGGCAGGCACTCTGCTACAAGTAGGGTTGATGAATATGGAAAAGCTTTGCAATATTCTATTGGAAGTGAATGTCTTCTTTGGCCCATGTCTTGTCTTTGCAACAATGGAGTGCCTTAGTGAGTGCCGCTAGCAAGAAATGTTCACTGTACCAAGGCCTGCGCTTGTGTGACCTCGTTACCCAGTGTGGACTGCCGAGTGGGGAAGTGTTGAGTGGAGTCTATCTGTGCTGATGGCTTTGTTGGGCTTGTGTGCATCATGGTATTTCTGCAAGTAAACAACACAAGGAAAAGCAAGTATCTGTGTTGTTTTTCTTTCATTTGCTCTGACTGCAAACATATTAAAAAGTTATTTGCTATTCTAATAATAATAACAACAAGAGATGTTCTTATTATTGTGTTCTGAAGAGTATATGCAGGGCATTGTAATAATCACTGTAGCCACTGTGGCTACAAACCACAACCAAAAGCTCAGTATTAGAATGCCGCAGCTGCAATGGCAGCTTTCTCATCAAGATAGATTTCGCAGCACACGAAACATCGATAGGTCTGATAAGTACAACGTGTGCAATACTTTTTATTTGCTGAACACCAGGCTTTGCTTTGAAAATCTTGGCTGCCACTTTAGGAGGCTGCATTGTGCTCATAACAACTTCCATGAAACTGAGCAGTCGGTGTTTGTGCCATGATTGCCTACTGGACAAGGCCCCTTTAAACGAGCAATTATTTAATTATATCTAACAAGCACTGACACCAGTACAGAGAAGTGTCAAATATCTTTGACAAGCAAAAAGATCAGCTATACATAAATCAGTTTCACAACGGCTTTGCACTTATATAGTGTAACAGATGGGCTCACACATGAGGCTCTGTGCACTTGCACTTCTATAGCAATAACTTCTATATCTCCTCACTTATCACTGATATTTCGCAAACAATATTATTAAAATAAAAATTGCACAGATTTACTTTTATTTGAATCCAGTTTTATCACTTCTCAGATGAATTTATAAAGGTGGAATCATGGGTGAGTCTGATGATAAATTTTTAAAAGGTGATAAATTTTTAAAAGGCATGACGAACATAAATGAGAGGTTGTGACAGGAAAGTATGACACATGTTATGTAAGCCATATGATTTACACGCCGTGCTTGTTCGCTATCTTGACACAAACAAAAATTGGTGTGGCGGGGCGTTGCTAAATGACAAACATAAATGATAAGTTGTAACCAGAAAATATGATATGTTCCTTATCCCCACCTCTCATTTATGTTTGTCATTCAGCAGCGTCCCGCCACACCAATTTTGGTTTGGATCAAAATAGGGAACAGGCCGTGAGCATACCATGAGCGTGGAATGCAAGCTATGCAGTAGAGGTCTTTATTTGCTTGCCATTATTTGCTTGCTACCACCTATCTTTCATGTTCGTTGTACAGTCACGTCACACAATACTGTTGTTAGTGTATATATATCCAGATAGCGAACTGGCCGCGAGCACACTGTGAGAGTGGTGTTTACAACATGCAGTACATGACATGCATGTTATAATTTTCATGTTTACTCTTGTAATTTGCGTCATACAGTCCATCATGAAATAACAACGTAGGTGTATATCAAGCTAGCTAACCGGCCGCTTGCACGCCATGGACATAGTAATTCGTTAGTTGATCATGCCATACATCACATAAATCAATAATTTCATGCTACCACTTTTCATTTGTGTTTTTCATACACATATATCTCATCATATCAATTATTGCATACATGATTAAACGGCCCCAATAAGTTTGAGACCGCTTCTTATACGTCGTGCATGTTGTACATGACATGTGTGACACGACTCTCGCGTTAAGACCAGTGTTCATCATTCACTTTTGTCAGGCCATACTAATTGTGGTATGAATAAAGTTAACAAAGCGGCCGCAACAGCACCAAGACAGTGGCGTAAAATCGTGCGGTTCATCCCATGAACATTAGGATCTTGATGTTGTGACTTGCCGTTTATATTCGTAATACAGTCATCTTATGCCGTACCAATTTTGGTGCAAATCGTTAACCAAACAGCCAGGAAAGCATGAAGTTGTAGGTGGCTAGACAGAAGGACAGACAGATAGAGAGACAGACAGATATAGATAGATAGAGAAGTTCGCTAAGAATGAATTCTGTGCAGTTCGCATTTTTTTATCGTGTTAGTACGCGTGCGCGCAGGTGTACGCAATAGAAATTGCTGCTATTCCTTTCGTAGTCGGATAAAGAACATTGGCACGTTTCGTTCAGGTCTGCAGAAGCGCGCGCAATGAGTAAAACATGCGTTACTCCACGTAAGATCAACACTGCTCCGCCACAGCTTCTGCCGCCTTGGACGGTCGCGGTACTTTCCCCGTTCCAGTTACTTTATGCTTCAGCACATGCCAGCGCCCTTCACTGAACTGCCAACAGCTGGGCTTTTCGCAGCATCACTTACAGTCACCTCTAGCTGTTAGCGTGCCTAATTTGTTCGCCTTTTGGGAGAAAGCCCATTGCACGCTGGTCACGTAGAAACTATAAAAAGCGTCATGAAGGGTAACTTCGAATCACCAGTAAAAGCAAATAGCTATAAACTAGCAGTTGTTCCGTGTACGAATACAGCCGATGAACGAAGCTTCTCGGAGATGGCACGCAAAAGACTACGCGCTTGATCTTGCTGCTGGCTTTCATGAAAGCAAAAAGGGTGAGGAGTGGGTGGGGAGAGCATCTGCTGCGCTCTGTGGAGTGAGTGAGTGTGGGTAGAGTGCATCGGTGCCCGCTGAGCGGGCACATGAGTAGGGGGCGCGTTCCATCGAGGCACCGCAGCGCGAGCCATCTGCCGCCGCGCCTGCGCTCACCTGGAGCGCGCACTTGTTTTGCTCGGCGCGCTTGCCCGGCTCTGGGAACTTCGACGCATGTGAAGCTCTCAGCTGTACGCTCCGCTAATTGGTTCTTACTCATTGTGTCAACTGAAAACACACGTGAACTTTCAGTTTTTAGTGCTGTAGGCATCGTGTCGCATTTTTGGAAGTTGTGTCGTTCATACGGAAGGACAATAAACTTTTCTAGTTATCGGACTAAATGTGTATGTATAGTACGGTGTGCGCTCGCTGCGTGCTTAGCTGTGCGCACTGGAATTACACACGTGCACGATGTCGTATACAAAACAGTGGTGCCTTCTTACCAACATGAATTACGTCAAGTACTAGGCTGGCGTTGCACGGAATAGCTACGAAGCAAGCTCTCTAAATCGTGCATTGCCACACTGATACTATATACGAGCAAAGAACTGCTAATCGGCCCGTAGATATAGGAAATCTGGCTATGAAAAAAAAATAAAAAAGGTCTTACGGTGAGCAGAACGCGTCACTGCCGGGTGAGTTCGAATACGGTGATGCAGGGGCTGAATGATTTTGATTACGACACATACCAGTGCTTTCTGTGCTGTTGCACAAAAAATGGCAGCATATCCACAGGGTGATTGATGGAGAGTGGGGCGAAGCATCCGTCTGTCCATGCGCCAGTCTGTGTGACCGTCCGTGCGTCCATCCATGCGTCCGTCCCTGCGTTCGCCCATGCATCCGCCGCTGCGTCTGTCTATGCGTCCGTCCATGCATCTGTCTGTGCATCCGTTCGTTCATCTAGTCAACACTCCAAGTACCAGCATCTCGCATCTTTTCATCATATATTCCGCATATAGAAGCACCGCCCCAGCGAACATTCCAAGGACTAAACGAGATGGCACACGCACACTCTCTTACGGCTTGCGCTTCGTGTCTACTTCCCTCCTTTAACCACCTCGAGTTCATGGTACATACTAGTTCACTGTATTCATGGCACTGCGATCCAACGCTCGCTAAACCTTTCTAAAACCAAGGATGTTACGCCCAGCGAGTATAATGTAGCAACCACGGAGGAAGGAAAAAGGTAAGGAGAGGGCATGCCCACCCAGCACAGGGCATAAAAAATGTGGCGGAAGTTACGTCACGCGCGGCCATATTCACTAGGCACAATGGCGGGGTTTTGTTATTATTGATGTAGTGTGGTGCGGCACCGTTCAGGCTGGTTCAGGCGGTCCAGTGGCGGTGTGCGCGTTTTCATGGGCCTCGCACCTAACCGTGGCGTACTGCAGGTGTTCGACAGCATCCATTCTTTGTGCCGCATCGTTAGCTACGCGATTTTTTTCCGGTGGTGGTTGTAACCAGGTGTCTGAACTAGAAACCACGGAACGAGCGCGCGTAAACGTACTCCGAATTTGCAGCTTCCGTCAAAATTATGGTGAAAAGCCATCATAGAAGATAACGACTGTGCTCAAGAATTCGTTCAATGAATGCCTTGCAGGTTAGTGACAGTTATGCGGTGTTGCTTCTTATGACAACAAACGATGCATTTGCGGTCCACAGGCCCTTATTTAGACTGTAATCTAATCTTGCTTTTCATGTTCCTGTACAGTTACCACATGCTTCTGCGCAATAAAGTTCCTGTTCTGCTTCGCTTAAGACGCTCCCTCTTCGCAATATTGTCTCACTCTCCGCAATATTGTCTGTATTGAAGCAAAACTCGTTAAAATGTCTACACGCAGCTGCACAAGGTAACTAGGTGCACCTCACTAGATGCGCGTGCTTGTGCATTCAGAAGCTGACAAAGCCGTTCGAACGATGTTGACCAAGTGATTTGAGAACTCAAATATAACGAGTAAAACAATTTTAATGACACTTACGACAATAGCAAGTATGTGGTAAAATTGTGAAGTACACAAGGAGCAGTATATGAACAATTCAATGACGAAATATTTTATATAAACAGAAATATTTCACCGCAAATATTTGTGGCTACAGCAATAAAAAAAATCTGTCGCGTTGTTTGTCTAAGAAATAAGACAGAAAAACTTTTGTCTATGAGCATTACCAGCATGTATTTCAAGTCTTCTTTGGGGAGAGTCTAGGTGTACCATTCAAATGCAAATCAGAGACTGAACAATACAGATGTAAGAAACATAGATCAGCAAAACTTGTGCAGCCCACTGAAACTGACTTATTAAATATATTTTGCGCTTAGGGCTCACTCGGAATCACACTCGCGAAACTTTTCTTCAACCCACTCGAATTCACCTTAACAGCCTCATCTGATTTAGAGTGAGTTGTTTCGTGAGTTCGTTAGCCTAGAATGAGCTTTTTCAGCCATGCTGTCGCTGCTCTTTAACATCAATATCTCACATAATTGGTTCTCTTCCTGGCACCTATTGATATAGTACCTTCGAATACGAGTTGTGAGTGCTCGCAAACTAGTACGGTAAGTTTTCTTGAAAGCATGGCAACATAAGATATGTTTATCAAGAACTTCCCTAGAAGAATTGGAGAGGTGGTTAGGTAAAGGCATGTCCATCTGTTATTCGCGCCTCCGATCAATAAACAGTGCAATGGGGCATGAACGCCGCTGCTTTGGAATACGTTTATTAAACAGTGCAATGGGGCATGAACGACACTGCTTTGGAATACCTTTGAGAATACATGAGTTTAAACGTGAATTCAGGTGATGCTGATAGTAATGCTGAAGATTAGTTGATAGCTTGGTAAAAACAGTAGAACTCACTTAAAAAATGTATCTTGCACTTTTTGTACTCAATCAGACTCAGACTATTTTTTCTGGACCTACCTCACTCAGACTCACACTCAAAAAATTTTTTATATTACTCCCACCGACTTACTCAGACCATAGACGACTTACTCAGACCACCTATGGTAGTAAGTTGAATGAGTTCAAGAAAGGGGTGTGCAATATAATTACCAATACAATTGCGAGTACACGCAAGTGTTAGACGTATGTGTACGCTTAATTCTGAGAGAAGCATTGAAGGGCACATAATCATCTCAGCGTAATGAACATAAAGGGTACCAAAAACACAGTTTTGGTTCATTTCACCCATTTAGGTATGGGATGGTAGTCATTTTATCCAGTTATAAACTTATTCATTGATTTACTGAGCACTCAAATGAGAGGCAAACACAGAATGCAGCAGAACAAAGTGGGTGTGTGCAAATTTGCTTGTAAATATCACATAGATGCATAAGAGAAGACATTTCAACCGGCACGGTGTGGACAATGTCATCGAAGCAGCAGATAAATAAGAGTCAAACACAGAACATCTGAGTATACTCAGCAGCATTTATGCATTAGGGCAAAAACTTGCAACGTCACACATAAGGAACGTTGATCTGGACTACAAGAGCATATAGCAAAGACATTGTGAAGATTGTTACCATGCAAAGTAAATGTTCATATGGAGTGCTATTGCCCTTTAAATTGGATCAATTTCGTGAACATTTGGTGCACTTGACTGCTATGAAAACTTTGCGTTGTCTGCTTACCAACATGATATAGGCGCACATTAAGGTAATACTCTGCGACACTTCTTAAAAGATGGACATAGTGATTCTCCAGTGGAGAATTATCAAACATGTGTGAGTGCAGTTCTGCAAACAGTTTTTTATGCTGCAGTGATTCAAGGACTTGTAGCACAAGATCCTGCAAGAGTGATCTTGATGCTAATTTATTCATGTGCACAGCCCATCGAAGAAGAGATTCTGATTTCTTGCAAATTTCGAGGACACTTTTAGATGGGTAGTGAAGCCCCCCATGCTTTTCCTTTGAATGAATGCAGTGTCAGCTGCTCTGGATGTGCCAAACAATGCTTCAGTACAATGGGCACACATCAGCTTTGAGCCCAGCTTGTGAGCCACATAGCCAGCAATGTAGGTAACAGACTATACCGAAATCACTGATGTGTTCGAGTGATGCACAGTAATCATGTTCGCTGACTACATGGCTCTGCTCAATACACTCTTCAGATAAGAGCTGCCTTCTCTGAACAGTGGCATTCAGCAGAAGTGCTGAATGCCTCCTGGTTGAGCTACATGACAGTATAGTAATGTGGTCCAGCACTTGACAATTTCCAGAAACAGCATCAGACAGTTCATTTTGGACTATCACTTTTTTAAATGCTGCTTGAAATTGTTGGGCTGTCGGGTGGTCATTGTGCCCTCCATGTGCTCTAATTAAGCCAAAAAATAATTCCAAATGATCCTGGCTAATTTTATGCCCAGGAATATATTTCAGTATCTTCTTTTTACAAATGATAAAATCGTACATGGCTAACAGACTCTTCATGCATACTATGAAGCCCAAAAAGCCAGTTTTCCAAGCTGTTCCTATCAAATGTCTCATATTTGCAGGCTCTTTCAGGAGGGAAAGGTATTGAATTGTGCTGTCAAACAATGTTTTGATATCATTTACATTCTGTTCATTGACTTGTTTCTTCCACCCTCCCTGATGCATGCTACGGGAATTGAGTATGTCGAAGAGATTATTAATACTTAATAAAAATTCCTCAGTTGGCTCAGAATTTATAAATCCTCTCAAGCACATCGCCCTACATTCAGCGATAGCTGTTGCCACAGACAGGCTCATCACCTGCGCTGCCAGGCGAACCTTCATTGGTTGTTTTTGCCACTCGATGTGAGTCCTTCGCAACTTATTTGCCAAATGTAATCCCTCTTTATCTTGCAAGTCATGAAGTGCTTCGATGTGTGCCCATGATACAACTTTTCCCTCCTGATTGATAAAATATTTGTGGTGTGCAAAGGCATTTCTCACCAGCTTCAGCATGTGGCAGGGATAAAAAAATACGGCTATCGGTTCGTTAGTTGCTGGGTGCTTGAAGGTTGTTTGAAGGTTCTCAATATTTGTGAAATTGCAACCTAATTCTTGAAACATTGCAATGTTAGCAGGTGCACCATCGCATGTAACTGAAACAATCATGGCCCCTGCCTCATGAGCTGTCAGCAAGCTCTGCCTAACTAAGTTCGCTCGCTGCTCACCTACTATCCCGTCAACCTGAAAGTAGCCAAGAGGAACTTTCCAATGGCCATTAATGGCTACAACCATTATCACGAAGGCGGCTTTTGCCTGTGGCAAGCAGTCACCTTCGGTTCCTGTGCCCATGTCTACATAGCCTTCAAAGTGACCACTTTGCCACTGTACCTGCTGTCTAATTGACATCTCATCAATTATGAGGCTGCACACAGCTTGATGTCCTCGATTGCACGTGTCTAAGCACTTCAACTTTAATGCAGTCACAGCCTCTTTGGAAAACCCAGCTTTTCCATCAACACTCTCGTACCATTTTCTTAATGTTCGAGGATGTGGCAGACATGTGTCAAAGACTTGCCTTACATATTGATATACTCGAGGAGAGTAAAAGTTCAAGGTAAGAGCAAAAGTCCTTAGCTCAGGTGAATACTTTTTCAGGTGTTGTCTTGTCTGTTTTGCTATCTGTCGTTTTAAAAGATGCTGATTTGCTGCGCCCAGGGTGTCAAGCACTGAAACTTGCTCTCTGAGCAAAATGTTTTCTTTGGTTAGTGTTTTCAAAACTGATTTCAATTCAGCATTTTGTTTTTTAAGGCGCCTCTTAAACTGCTGAAGTTTTTTCATTGCTTTCCTTGATCTCTGCTGCTCCGAGGCAAGTCTTGCTGGGCGAGCTCGCAGAAAAGCCTTCTCTGGGGTGTCGACCTACAAAGCAAAACCACATAGAACAAAACACTCTCATTTGTTGGGTGGTAAGGTGTGTCACTTGTAAAAGGCTGAACCACTTCTAATAACAATGTGACTAAGCCAAGTAACTTGGACTTTAATTCATAATTTTTCCTTATTCCTGCTTCTTCTGTTGACACTGGTACTTATGGTATTTAAGTTTCATATTTAGGACAACCTCGTACTAGTATATTTTGGTCAGCTCTATGAAGACCCCATTGATATTTGCCAACCATTTCCTATAACTTGGAGCACAGCTCAAATTTCATTTAACATTGCAGTTATTAATTGATTTGTATCTCATGCTGATAAACACAGCATGTATAATTTACATGGATTGCTTTGATTGCACTTTGACTTCAACACCCTTCTCTTGTCTTGTTTTATTATTTACTGAAATAAATATTAGGACTGATTGTGTTACCCTTGGTGTATACAGGTGCATTGCTTTGATCTGATAGCTTGCATTTGTTGATCTTTTTTACCTTTGCCTGCTTTCTTCTTCTTGGTGTTTCAAATGTTGCCAGCATGTCTTGTGGCCTTTGTAATTCCTGTGGAAGTAGATCATAGCATCTTAATAAAAAAACTGTTATTTGTAATTTTCACAATGCTGAAATTCGCATGCGCTCGCCTAGCCAGCTGTCTTAAGAGGAAATGCTGCACACTTAACAGCATTTTGACTAACTCACAAGTGTCTGGGACTGAACAAGGCAGTTGTGTGTACATATTCCAATTATATATGCTGGTACATTTTAAAAAATGCTCAAAGCTAATAAATCACATTGTAAATATCAGCATTATTCCCATTTGCCCAATAAATGCACAGCTCTAGTCATAAACCAAACCACACACATGCATCCCTCAGGTTAGCACCCCCAAATTAAGGGTGCAGATAAATATTTTGTAAACATTAAATTACAATATTAGGTTTCAAACTCTGTTAACCCTGAAAGACATGATGGATTTAAAATGAACACTGCATTTCGTGTATATAGTCTTTCTAAATTAGGCAGCAGCAGTGAAACAGAGGCAGAAAGCAATTAGAGATTTAAGATACCTCTGTAAGCTCGTTGGTATGCTATTGCAGCAGCCTCAAATTCACCCACTTAAAAATGCTTTATTTACTGAGTTTCTCAGAAATAGGATCAATTATTTTTATTCCAATAAGTATTTGCTTTATTTAAATTTAAGTAAGGTGTGTTTGTTACACATTTGTGCTGCCTTCATTTACTTTGTGATTACAACCAAGCCAAAGTCGCAATGTAAAACAACAATTATTTTAACTATATTGTTTTTCGAAAAATTAAGGTGGGCTAGTACATGCATTGCTTCCCATCAGGACATTACAACAAAAATAAAGAGAAAGTGCATATTACGTTAGTACAGGCTCAACTAGAGAAGATATAACTTGGTATAATGTTCAACACTTATGTCGCATGGAAGTGGTTTACCTGCTCATGGACCGGCTCCCATTGAATACCAGCAGCGTGGCCGGATCGACCTGGTGTCGCGATGCTGGCCCGTGCTTCTTCACTCTTCTCACCAATATCCATGGGAGGCTTTTAAAAAGAGCACGTGTTAGGAATTCTTACTTTTACACCAACTGCAACAGTAGTTTACCTATAACAGAGGACAAGCATGCTTAATGAGTAGAAGAAAGGTAAATTTTCACCTGTACAAATGCCGACACATTGAAATGACTGGCACTTAGGTCGGAGGGAGCTGGGTCGGGTAAACTGATTGGATCTGCACTTTCAGGCTCTATATCCATGGCTTCCTGAAAGCAAGAATACCTATGCTATTCAGTGATTTGCTCTTCAGCTAGGTATTCAAAGCAGTAAGCTAATGAGGTGGATAAAAAATGACAGGGGAAAAGAGATGCGCGCCTCTTGGAGTGTGGACCTTTTCCTTCCTCCGTGGTAGCAACCCTTTCTTGTCACGTGGTGTTCAATGTTCATGCCAATGGCTGCTAATGGGGAATGAGAGACAGGAGAATTCGGCTTTTAGTTAACGCGCACACTGCGAATTTTTTATTGTTCAACAACGCACAGGAGAAATCTCCCACCGGACACCACCTTGCAGGTCAAAGCGTAAAACATGTTGCGTACTACGACGAGGGACGAACGGGTGCCGCTTTAAGGAGCTTCGCCCCTGAAACACTCTACGGAGTACTTCAGCACGCCGCCCTCTTAGCCTGTCACGCACGAACAGTCTCAGAAAGGTGTGCTCGCCACATTTTACTGCATGCAAACCATACAATACGCGTTAAGTTTACGCCGGGGCCTTAAGTCCGCGCAGAAGCGAACCAGCGCTGGGAGCACGTCGCGGAGCGTCTGCTGTTTTGTTTGCTCTATTAAACTGACGTCACTTCCGCTACACTTCTCGCAATGAATTGAAACAAAACCTCTCCTTAGTTCGTTTTTTTTTTTTTCATGACGAAAAAAAATGTTTTTTTTTTCTACATATAGCGATGCGAATGGCCCAGCCATGTCGCTACCGATGCCAGCGCTCTGCTTATTGGGATGTTTTTATGGCAGAGCTTACAGTCATAAACCTTTCTCTAAATATACTTGTATTTTTTTAGAATTTAATATAGCTAAGTTACGTTGCGTTGATTTTCTCGTTTTATTGCATAATCATAAGCATTGTTGAAATGCTCGTTCACGTTGTAAAGGAACCAGCGCGATCGCTAAAAGGGCATCAAAACCGAAACCGCGTGTCTGAGACCACGGTGTGCCACGGTCACCGCTTTATTTGCTTGAGCTTGTGTACAGACCGCATCGCAGGAACTTAATGAAGTTTCGCTCTCATCACGCTGTTCTCACCCTGTACTGCTGATTACTAAGCAACAACTCTACTGCGTTTCGTCTCCGAAGCGTGGTTAGTGAAGCGAAAGCTCAAGTACACTTGTGTCGTAGCTGTCTTCTCATCTCGGCCATCAGAGTGTCTACGCTCTTGTTTTGCGCTGTCCGAAGAAGCGGAATTCAACATGTGGTCGTTGAGGATGCACGCTCGCTCGCGTGTGATCCTCACGCTGCACAACATGTGTCGGTGGAAGCGGTCCATGTCTGAGGTTCGGGTGCGGTTTGCGCCCAGCCCTACCGGTGAGATGCACTTGGGAAGCCTTCGCACTGCTTTCTACAACTACCTCTTCGCCAAAAAGTACGGCGGCAAGTTTCTCCTCAGGATCGAGGACACGGATCAGGTAACCGTCTCAGCTTGGCGCTTTGAAGCCAGTAGTAGTGGTTCTAGGAGAGGAAATATGCTTATTTCTACTACCGGGAATCGAAACCACTAGTACCTCCCGCATTATAGGTGGATGATGAAGATCCATTCGCCGTCAGTACGGCGTACTTGCATTCTCTCTCACACTTTCACTGAGTATCCACATGGAAAGTGAAGGGTGCAAGGATTTGGGTATAAGCAACGACCGTTTTTTACGATTTTTGATCGCGTGAGGGCTCTAGAAAAAAAAAAAAAAAGACGACTTAAAATAACTACCAAGGAATTAATGGTTGTACGGTCTGTAATCCAATGTCTAGTCAAGTCTGAAAACAAGGCTTTAAGTTGATTCTATGTGGTAGAACCAATGAAAAACTTTCTCTCTGAAGTTAAGGTCCTCCATGAACACGACTAGACAAGGCCTTCTGCTATAGAGTGCAAAATCAAAGCTTTTTCACCACATTTCCTAGCAGTCGATGCGCAAATCTGAGAAGAATATTTGCCAATCATATGTGATCGTGTATCAATGTAACAAAAATTCATGTGTTCACATACTCATGTGGCATAATGTAATACACTCCGCATCACAGGTAAAAGCAAACTGCTCAGTAAATGCGTCAATGAAACAAAAATTGTTCTCGTACTGGGAAGGGAAGATTGCCTAATATTGGAGAAATTAATGTGTCATTGTGTGCCACAAATTCAACTTACTGATCAAGTGTGCAGAAAAAGAAAAGGGGTTATTGCCCTTCACATGAAAGTACTTTTTCATTTATTCTGTATTGTTATCTTAAGTTCAGTGTTACGTGTGTACAGACTGCATAGATGGAAGCCAAGCGGTAAAAACACATTGGTGTTCTAAGCTCGGCTAGTTGGGATTGGCTGAGTGCTCCTGTATTGTGAGCGAATACACACAAGGAGTACAGAGAAAAAGACAGGACAACCGCTGGCCAAGATTCCGATTAGTATAATAATGATAGCAATAATGACGTAGGTTCTTATTTATTTATTTATTTTAGTACCCTCAGGGCTCGAGGGCATCACGGAGGGGAGTGGGTTACAGTTTTAACGCAACGTACTTAAAAAAGCATAAATTTTGGGTCACATAGATACAATGAAGGAAACCAACAATAATTAGTTCGCAGTAAAAGAACAAAAAAATAGCTTATTAAGAATTGTATTACATAACAGGGCGTATCACAAAAAGATATCAACCTAAATGAAATAGTACTCGAGTACAAGCACGTGCCAGTGAACCAAAGAATGCATCGTTGCAGCGCCATATGTCAAGATATAGGCATGTTCAAAAAAAAAAAGGAAGATAGAAAGGCTACTCAAAGATAAAAATGTTATAATCCTACAAATAATACCATTATGACAACAACGTGTTAGTTACAGTAGCCTTAAGCTTAAAATCATCAGTAATATTGACGACAGATCGGGGAAGGCGATTCCAACCTGCTGAATGAATTGTAAAAATGGTTGGTGTGGCATGTGGGAATACCAACCTTCTGACGATGGTCGATGCGGGCGGATACGTAAGAAGAAGGGGTCATCACATTATTCTTGAGAGCTGGATTGTCCTAATGTACCTTGCAGAACAGGCAGAGACGAGATACGTTTCTCCGTTGTGAAAGCAGAGGTGATGACAAAGTTGTTTTCATGGAAGTGACGCTGGAGGTGCAATGATAGTTGGAAAGAACGAAACGAACAGCTCGACTCTGGATGGATCGAAGCTGATGAATAAGCGTTTCTTGACTGAGGTCCCACATAAATGGCAGCATATTCCACTTTGGAATGAACTAATGTTTTTTAAAGAAGTAATTTTACAGGACTGAAAGAAAGATAAAAATTATGCCATATAAAGCCCACCGTGCAATTAGTGTTATTGGTTACATGATCTACATGCATCTTCCAGAAAAGATAAGCATGCCAAGTTATTTGTAATAGGACACCGGTTCTAGGTTAGTGTTATCAAGATGATAAGCGGACACTGTTTTATGGTGACTCCAAATGCGCATGTGCTTGCATTTGTTAGTGTTTAATTTTACATTCCACATGTTAGTCCATTCACTAACACAGTCTATATCAGACTGAAGAAGATAATGTTCAGAGTCACTGTTGATAAAACGGTAGATAATGTAATCATCAGCAAACAGGTTCATTGATGAACGAAGATTATCAGGTAAGTCGTTTATATATATGAGAAAGAGGAATGATAACTAGTAATGTAACTATTTTTGCTGTATTCTTTTTATCTACTTTGCTGCATGGCCAATAATGGGGATAACAGCATGTGATGCCTTGAAAATAGTATAAAGAAGGAGTCAGAAAATGACTTTGATAAAATATTGCCCCCAGAGAGCATTGCACGATTCTCGAAGGGGGTATATAGCTTGCATGATTTAGCATATATGAATGCCAGCGGCCCTGAATAGTGTTAGCAACTTGGAAATATAATGTAACATAAAAAATAGGAGGCCAGTCAATTTTTAATACCAGGTTGTTTTGTCATAGCTTGTACTCATGAGCTAGTAACATTGTGCCCAGTATGTGAGCTTCACAACTTCTATGTTATTGTGATTGTTTCTAATTAGCTACTCTTATGGCATTTTTATCTCTACAGATAATGTCAAAATGTAAATTTAGCTGATCACACTATTGCAGTCAACCCAGTTGTAATGAATGCAAGGATCACAAATTATTCCTATGTCAGGCATGTAAAACTTTGTACACGAAGTAAAACATTTGCTTGCATGCTCTTGCAACATATTAGCCTACCTAATCATATTGGTTGATTGGCAACAGTACTCATGTAAAGTAGATGCCATAAAACGATCTGGATGTTAAATATCTGGGATTCAAAGCAGCTACGAACAATACTCGGTGGATTCTCCCGCACACACATGCTCATGTGTTTCCTGGACATGTATTTTCTTTTCTCAATTTTTTTTTATCGTGTTACTGAGCCTTTTGACAACAGGTTTGAAGGCTTCCGTGGTAACTAGTTGATGTGCAATATGGCACATAACCTAGTAAAGAGATACCAGATTCCATCAGGTTATAGGTTCGCTTTACATATACTGCTTCGAAAGTTAGCCATGATGTAATTATTCACTGAAAAGCCAAAGGGAGAGCACAGGAAACTTCTCAAGGGGATCTATCATGACACTGTGTGATGCAGATCAACAGAAAATGGTACACACAAGATTCATATTACAATATGGAATGCATTGGCTCTTTCGTTAAGTACGAAAGACCTTTTTAGTCATTGTTTCTTTACATTGACATGTAGATTATTTTACTTTTCCTAATCAGTAGTGGCATGGATAATACAGTGAATATAGCATCGTGTCTGAGCACCAGTCTGTATTATTAATGCCATGTGGCACATTTTAAACACACTAATCTCATGCGCTGTCATTTTAGCCATTTTTTACAAGCCCGTCAAATTTCTATTCTTAATTGCTTCCAAATATCATGTATTCTTTTCCGCATAGCAATGCCTGAACACTGAAACACTGCCATAAACTTATGCATCTTTTTTAATAAGTCTTTTTGCTCAACTGTAAAGCAATATAGATGGTTTAATATTTGGGATCAATTACTGTCTGTAATTGTGAGGACATACCAGATATGTAAAAATACTAATGCCATAAGCTGTATTTAGAATTATGCATTGCTCTTACATGGAAAGTGACATTTTTCTGCCAGCAAACTGCAGTTCAAAATAAAGAAAGATAAGTTGAAAATTTTTGTTTGTTTTTATGATTTTTTTCTGCTGTGTAGACTTTCCAGGAAGCTGCTGCCTTTGTACTGCACACATTGATTTGCAGCTGCTACAGATTGGTACCCATCCATAAAAACCTGAGCCATTTAAGCAGCCTTGTTGCATTGCAGTCACGTGTGGTTCCTGGAGCAGCAGAGAGAATTGTCGACACACTGCGCTGGGCTGGCCTTTGTCCAGATGAAGGTCCTGGTCTGGGTGGCAGTGTAGGCCCCTATGTGCAGGTGAGCTCTTGCATGCAACATCACAGACATGTCCTTTGCACTACTTCACAACAGCAAGGTAAATTAGCAAAGGTGTTTTTTTTTTAGCCATACAAATGAGTTGTGTGCGCTAAAGAGATTATGTAACTTACTTCAATGGCTTCCTTTTTTAAAATGAAGTCATACTGTTAAACGAAAATGACATTACATTTTTTATTTGTGAATTTGAGCATTTCTAAGCCCTGCAGACAACATAATACTATGTCTGGTTCTCAGTAGTGCAGATTACTGCATTGTGTGGTTTTTCACTCATAAGAGAAGTTTATGACTAATATTTGTATTTTTGCAGTCGCAAAGGTTAAAATTCTACCAAGAGCATGCACACAGGCTCCTTGAGGTGAGCACGCTTCCTTTCACACCTTTTGCTCAATTAATGAACATGTACCAATCATATATGCTACTAATTTATTAATGTTAATGAATACTACAAATAACAAAACTGGCTTGATAAAAAGCTTTGCTCATGCCTCTACATAGTTGACTTTGAGCTGCCAACATATGTGTGTGTTGGATGTTCAGAATGACATTCTTGGAGGCTTTTCTGGGTTACTGCTGTTAATTCTATCAGTTTTTTTTATGTGTCTGCATTGATAAGTAAGTTATAAATTTGCATATATTTGCATTCAATCATTTACAAGCTATAATTTCTTGCGTTTCTGTAAGTAGGACTTTTTCTGTCAGTAACATCATGTAATGCATGATTTGTGGGTGCTGCCTTACCCACAAAACAAGATGCAGAGGTAGTGAATGGAAACCTGTTGGTGCAGCTTTTAACAGCATTATGGGCACGCACAATCTAGTCGCTTTGCGCGACACAAACGGGGGTGAAGTAAGGAGTGCACACGGACGAGCACTTGTTCGTGTCACGCACAATGTGGCTGAAAGATGAATTTGCACCAACTAGACCTGCTAGCAGTTTTGTTATCATGTTGCATCATTAATTGAGCGCTCCAAAGCCCGAGAGAAGCAAAAAAAGTAACACTTTTATTGTGTCCCTGAACAAGTGAAGAAACATCTTCACTAAAATATGTGCTGCGGTAAAAATTAGCTTTACACAGTAAGCACATTTCAGCCCTATTCACAACATAATGAGGTGTTCTCCCGGTGTTGTATACTTGGCGGCAACTTTTCTTGACATTGGAGTGAAGGCTACGGAGCCAAATCGCGTGCATCCTACCGCCAGCAAAAGTAGTTCCACAATAGCGCATGAAATATAAAAATTCCTTCATTATTTTTTTTGTGGAGCTATCTGAGACAGGACGCAGCTCACACCAATAAGATATTCGTATTTCTTTTAATTTTCTCTCTGTGACTTCACGTTTTTGAGCCCGCGAGAAAGTCCCGCCTTTTTACGTGTACTTCAAACGCTGAGCGGCGTCTGCATCTACATGAAACGCTGTTGGTGCTCCCTCATCGCTTTCTCTAGCTTTAGGAAACGCGCGCCACATCGGACTACTTCGCGTAGTGCTACATGTGCAGAAGCTCCGCCCCCGTAGCTTTCCCCTCAGTGCCAAAAAAGGTTGTCACCAAGTATAGCAGCTTGTACCTTTGTGACCTCAGTGATGCATGACGGAATCTGTGTACCACTGTGACACTGCTGTAGAAAAGGCTTTTCACTCAGTTAGGCCACTGATACAGTGTCCTGTGTTACCTTTTTTTGAAGCAGTGATTGAGCCAGTAGCTCACCTTTTTGTCTTTGGCATAACTTTCTTTACCAGTACCATGTCTCTAATTGGCAGCAATCTTTATCATGTTTTCTTCATGAAAATATGCATAGCTAGAGCAGTTTCTACATGCTTTGTTATATGCTGGTGCCTTCCATTACACGTATCTTTAACGTACAGCACTTCTTAGTTCAAATAGCTGCATGTTTTCACAGCGAATGAACCTCTTTAAACTCGCACAGCATTCTGTTGTACGAGTTTGAAGACATGCTCTTGTAACACAGTCCATTCACACTCGCATTGTTTGAACAACATCGCATTGTGCCTCTTTTGCTTGTATTAGATCATGTTCATGGACATGAGGTTATACTATTGTTCACTGTTATGAGACGTAATGTAATACCTTTTTGATGTAACAAGATTATGTATATTTTGAAATTAGATATGAGATTTATTTTGGAAATTGTTTTCCTTGTTATCATTGTATCCAACCAATTGATTGTTCCTTATAAGAAATACTATCTTCCAGACATCGTGGGCAGTTTTACTCACAATTTAGTGCTCTTACCAAAGGTTCAAATTTGTGACATGTGTACATGCTGCTACGCTATTATATTGCGACTTTTGTGGTCACTACTACGAATGTGTGTTTTAGACTGGTCATGCCTACCGGTGTTACTGCTCAGAGGCACGGCTGGAAATCCTCCGGAAGAATGCTTTACGGAACCAGGAGGTGCCTCGTTATGACAATCGGTGTCGTTCGTTGGAAAAGAGCCCTCCAGGAAGCCAGCCTTATGTGATTCGTCTCAAGGTGGGAGTATCGGGTCTTCATTTGTAGTATTTCGTTAGTTCGTATTTTTACCACACCCATAAATAACTGACTGCTTTGGTTGCAGGAAACAAATAAAAGTTGTGGAAGAACATTGTGTGTTGTAGATACCATCAAGTGATTGCCTACACAACTTACGCAATGTGTTATCTTACTGCTTGATAAAAGCATTATTTACTGCATATTGTGTATATCTGAATTCACTCTGTGTCCTGAAGAAACAAACTTTATTGAAAGAAGGCTTATTGTGGTTCTTTAAAACAGCATTTCAAAAAGCTTATTGCTTTCTCGAACACTTTCATAACTTATTGTTGTAGTTTTTGCTCACTCTCTGAAAATAATTCTTTCTTATGGTTCATAATTGAAAATTTTGTTGAAGTGCACTGAAAAACAGTCGGACAGAAGAGGTTGACAAGGACAGCGCTTCCTTGTCAGCCTCTTCTGTCCGTCAGTTTTTTAGTGCGCTTCAACAAAATTTTCAATTATGAACGTATTCAACTGGACCAGCTTGTCACCTTGCTGCTTCTTATGGTTGTTGGTATTTGAAAAAATATTACCATTGTATCTCATGACTGCAAATTTTAATAATGAACTTAGTAATGATATTATATTATGAAAATGTTTGCTATCATTATGTCAGTTAATTAGATTAAATTTCTTGATAGAGCATTTATCATTCACAATTTCAAAAAGCAGTAGTAATTTAAGTCCATTGTTAAACAAAAAGTATTCTCTTAAGTGTTTTCTTATCTGCTCAATTGAATTTAAATATTGATTGCTAGTTCCCGGTTCCACTTCTGTTATGGCTGATGCATAATATTTTTTGATTGGCATGCAGCTGACTGACGGAAATGTGACATTTCACGACGGCGTTCATGGGCCAGTAACCCTCAATTTGTCTCTTACGGAAGGAGATCCTGTGAGTAATGGCATCACACCTTTATGCATGATTGCATGTATGCTGATTTTCTATGTGCATCACTTGACGGTTAAAAAAAGCATTCAAATATTTGTACTGTTCACCAACTTGATGAATTTCTCTTTTGGGCACATTTGTACATTATAACTTAACACTGTGTTCGGGACATGTAGAGATTAACTTTAATACAGTAGACGGTAACTTTCCCTCTAAGTCAAAGCTACATATTCCTAACAGACTTTAAAGATATTATTTGGTTAACAGTGTGCTCACATCTGTACCTGTATATCAGGTATGTGTCGTAAATAATGCGCACTTGACACAATACATGACTTTTGGAGTACAAGCTGCCAAACTCATTTTTCTACTTGCCAAAAAAAAAATGTGTTCTAGCATCTGGCATGAGAACTACTTTGGAGCATCTTTCTATCAGTGTGCTCTTGACTGTAGGAGACATTCACTTAAGATAATTTTTTGCTACTTTTCTTCTTAGGACTGAAGGACCATGTATAAATCACATTTACTACAACAGCAGTAAGAAAATTGACATGGAAGGTGGTTTTGTTCTGTTGATATACCTGTTATGGTATGTCGTGGCATGCAAAATGTAATACGCTTGGATGAGCTTGGACGGGGCTGCAGGAGTGTTGCAAAAGAAGGTAGTTAGTGTTGTGAGGAATTTGGGACAGTTACTGCTGGTACAGTGAAGGAATCGCGTCGTGAAAAATTGCCTATTTGTTGGCTTTCTCGATGCCGTTCTGCCGCTGTCCCCAAATTTTGCCATTATTTTCATGCAGCTTCTTGCTTTGTGCGAACCTCATAGACTGGGTTTCATTGTCATTGCAGTGGAGTGTGTATTTTGTTTCAGGTGATCCTAAAAAGTGATGGTTTCCCAACATACCATCTGGCGTGTGTGGTGGATGACCAGCTGATGAAGGTGACTGATGTACTGCGAGGTGTTGAGTGGCAGGTCTCAACGCCCAAGCACCTGATGCTGTACAGCGCTCTTGGCTGGGAGCCTCCCCGTTTCTGGCACCTGCCCCTGCTGCTTAACAAGTGCGTTTGCTGGGCTTCTTCATCATAAGTAGGTAGCTGGTGGGAGATGTGGTTATAACCAGGAGCAAACTAATCCTGCATCATAAGACAAAAAAGCGGTCTCCTCGTCATCTTTGGACACATGGGGGATGCTTTGAGTGTAATTATTTTACCTTAAACATGCGCTGAATAAAAAATTTCGCCGCTTTTAATTGAGTAGTGCTTTAATAAAGGGACACTTGAATGAAACAGCAAGTTAGTTTAGGCTAATAAGTTGTACTGTGAAAACTCTAGTGTTGTTAATTTTAACCCCACTGGTTCATTAATTAATCAGTAGATCAATGTAAATATTGTCACTGCTATATTTCCCGCTGAAATATTCTATGATGATGTTACAGATTTCAGAGTGCTTTTTCGTATTGTGATGAATCAGGAAACTATCACGCTTCGTGATTTTTTTCCTGAAGTTTGGGTTACATTTACAATTAAGGCAGTGTTGAGCAAGATTTCCCTCTTCCCTTCCCGATTGCAAGCCTGCATTGTTAATGGTTACATTGTAAACGTAACCCAAACCTCAGGGGAACTACTGCTTTGGCAAACAGCCAAGACAAAATCAAAAAAACAATCTTTGAAGTTTACAATATGATGTCGGGGAAGTTTGGCACATGCATTAGCTCGCCTTCAACAGCACTCACAGATAAACAAGTGGCATGCTTAGCGAGACAAATGTAAATTTATCGGAACACTAGTGCTATCTTTGACACAGGTACAAAGCCGCGAAAATGTTATTATTGAGCTTGATAAATGCACGTATTTTAATGCATAGAGAGCACCCCTGTAGGATCATGTATGTATGTCCTTTGTATGTCAACCCCCTTTTTTGTTTTGTTTTTCTTTTCGATAAATTCATTTGTTGGATGCGCTCTGTCTGTGTTAGTCCAGTTTTTTCTGTCCTCAACTTTGCAGGGCTGCTTTTATTTTCAGCATGTTCCAACTAGCCCCTTCGCGAGCTTTTCAGAATATGTACGTTTCTGTTAAAGTTGAAAATCTGCCCGTTTTCTTGCTGTTTGCTGGCAGTATTCCGTTACTGGGTGATTCTTTTTTCCCTTGTCTGAAGTACTGGACAAAATTAGAGCCAGAGAACAGCGATGAGAAATGCCAAGTGAACTCGAGAAACCACCAGCCAATGATGGTAAAACAGTGGTTAATGTGCTCGGCTACCATTACAAAGGTAGTGGGTTTGATCCCGGCTGTGGTGGCCACATTTTGTTGGAGGAGAAATAGTACAGCCCTGTGTACTGTGCTATGTCAGTGCATATTTAAGAACACCAGATGGTCAAACTTGCCGGGACCCTCCACTACGACATACCTTATAATCATAACGTAGTTTTGGGACAGAAAACCTAGATACTGTCGTTATTAATCGAGGAACCACAAATCTTGCCCTCGGTGTTCATTATTTGAAATGAAAGTATTAAGCTCTGGTCTCATGGTATGTTATAAAGTGGGAGTAGGCTTTTTTGGTAGTGAAATCGTTCCAGCTAATGTTGTGCAGGGATGGCACCAAGCTTTCCAAGCGTCGGGATGACATCCATGTGGAAAAACTGAGAGTGAGTCGTTTTGCCTTGCTTATTTCTCATGTAGCATGAAGTTTTTGCTATTGTTCATTAGTTTAAGCTGGGGTAAGATTGCGTTGTAGCTGAGCCAGTGCTACTGCCGGGCAATTGAGATTTTGTAACTTGTGACATGGAAAAAACTGATCGTTCAAAGAACAATTATAAATGGCTCACAGATAAAATATCTATTCATGACTGTTTTAGTGACAGCAGTGAAATGACCCCACAGGCTTATCTCACTACTCGCTGTATCACCTGGGGACATACTTAGATTCTGCAGCTGCTCAGAATGGTGTGGATGAGGGCTGAAGCCTTGAATTTCGGCTACCCACTTTGCGTGTGCTAGGCGATTGACATTTCTTCCCCCACAGTGGGCTTGCATTATCCGCTGCCACAAAAGTTGTCACTGCGGACACCTTTGTGTTACTGCTGACAAAATGCCTCACTGAAGGCTCGTAGTAGCGCTTCCAGTGACGTAGCGTGACATTTTATTTACCCGTCGTGTTTGTTGGGCAGCTAGAAATATAGTGCAGGCTTTTGCACAGATGTGTCAGTTCAGTGGGACATGCCTATTAGTGATATTGGCCTAAAATAATCATGATCGTATATGCTTTGTATGTTTCATCTCTTTGTGTATGTGGGGATTCATTAGAATTGACTCATTTCATTGGGCTGTAGTTTTGTTCGAAGTATTGAATTTTGATGCAGTTTGGTGCAAAATATTGAAAGAAGGTTCAAAGTTAATAGCCCATCTTTCTTTTTGATGTGCAGCGTCACAAAAAAATAATTCATCAGAAATAACCAAACCACGACATTCTGCGAAATTTCAAACGAGGGGGATGAAGGCAGCGCCCGAAAGGGAATGCGTCGAGACGATATGGTGTGGGTGTGCGCGGAAGTGTATAGTGATCAGTTTTTGCATGACCGTAAAGTGATGAACCTGGCATTCTGAACTTCCACTATGACTGGCTGCTGCTAACGCTGCTTCAGACTAGCCATTCCTCTTTGTATAGCATTTCATGGTCTTTAGTTATGGCATATGCCATAAAATCCCGAGCATGTGCCCGTTAGTGAAGTAAGCAGCCCCTTATCTTTTTCGGGAGACTTTAAATATGCACTGATAGTTGATGTTTTAAAAACTACATACTGTATGACAACAATAATTGCATGCTTGAAATCAGTGCACAAATATTCGTAACTTTGTAAATTTAGCAAGTTTCATTAAAATCAATCTGGATTTAAAAACGCCTTCAAGAGCAGGGTGTCCCCTTAGATGGGGGCTTTAGTATATTAAGCAGATGCTGCTTTCACTCCAGGAGCAAGGCTTTTCACCCGAAGCTGTGCTCAACCTGCTCGTGTTGGCAGGAGGCGGGTTCGGCAAACAGCTCAAGGACCAATTCTTTCAGCTCCACGAAATGGTTGACAAGGTAGGCTGTGCATTTTTCTGCCTATAATCTTCCAGGTGTTGAGGCTCGCACTGACCTCTTTAATTTTCCCTGTGCCCAGTTTTCACCCGATGACTTGAAGGCAGGCTCGTGCCGTCTGGACACTGAGCGGCTGCAATCCCTGAACAAGCTGCACCTGCACTCGTGCCTTTGCTCAGAGGATGGGACACGGATGCTCGCCAGGCAGTTGCAACAGCTCCTGGCTGAGAAGCAAGGCTCTACAGTCAACGCTTCCTTCTCCGAACAAGATGTCATTCATGTTCTACATCGAACTAAGGTACCTTCTAGCTCTTCCGGACCAATGCCTTAACATATATATTACAGCATGACTTTCTTTTTTTCTATGCTGTAGCATGGTATAACACTGCACCTGATCAACTAGGTCAAGCAAGAAGTCTGACCTGGCTTTTGCATGGCACATCAAATTATATAGGAACATACAAGCATAAAGCTCAATTTCTGTGCTGCACCACCTGCCCAGAATGCTGAAGGCATACTGCACAGTTGTAAAGAGTGCTGTATGTTTTACTGCTGCTTTGTTATCCAATATATTGTGCCAAATGCTACCTCATTTTGTGTAAGGAAGAATTGACACACTTATCAATGGCAATTGTTGCCTGCTTGTAGCACCTGTGGAATCTGCCATATCTTTAGCAGTGGTAATGTACCTTGCTGTGTGAAGTTTTTGAATTTGTGTGTTTACATGCATTCACATGTACAACCTTTTCTGCATATCGAAACGGTCGGATATTACTTGTACAGGCAAGAGAGAGAGAGAGAGAAATGTCTATAGGAAAAGAAAAAGGCTGGCAATGTGTGCGAAGAAAAAAATGCCAGGTAATTTGAGAGTTTACAGGATCTAAGAAAAAGTCTAAATGAATGGTGTGTAATCTATAAATTGGGCAAGGTGTCATTTGTTTTCAGACTAAAACACAAGGAAAGCAAGATCCTATTGCCCAATGCAGCACATAGGAGTTTTTTTGAATGCAGTAGGTTGTTATCATTTATCTTGTTCACGTGCATGCTAAAGGGCTATCTTATATCAGTTTAGAATGAGTATTTATTTTTCTCTGACCATGGTTTCTAGTGGCTATTTTTTTATTTCTTAATTTTTATTTTTCCAGCTTATATTAGCGGCACCCCCATCATCCTAGATTATGCTTTTGGCAATAATAGCCATTAACTAGCACAAAAAAAAACTATTTTTGTAATGGCAGTTTTGAACAACTGCCGTCATTAAGAAGTGTCAAAGCATGAAAGTCTCAAGTACAACAAACAAAATAGAACTGTCAGAGGTTTCAAAGTTGATTAATAAGCGTAAGGTATCCGATGTAAGAAGGTACAACATGGAGAGAATTGAACACGCTCTGAAAAACGGAGGAAGCGTCGAAGCAGTGAAGAGGAAACTTGGGATAGGGAAAAATCGGATGTACACACTAAGGGACAAAGCAGGCAAAATAACTACCAATATGGATAGGATAGTTAAAATAGCGGAGGAGTTTTACAGAGACCTGTACAGTAGCCGGGACAACCACGACCTTAATACTATAAGATCTAGCAGTAACCCTGATGACATCCCACCAGTAATGATAGAAAAAGTCAGAAAAACCTTGGAGAGCATGCAAAGAGGCAAAGCTGCTGGTGAGGATCAGGTAACATCAGATTTGCTGAAAGATGGAGGACAGATTGTGTTAAAAAAAACTAGCCACACTGTTTACGAGGTGTTTCTTGACGGGAAGAGTACCAGAGTCTTGTAAGAATGCTAACATCATCTTAATACATAAGAAAGGAGATGACAAGGACCTAAAGAATGACAGGCTGATCAGCTTGCTCTCTGTAGTATACAAGCTATTTACAAAGGTAATTGCTAACTGAGTAAAGAAAACATTAGAATTCAATCAACCAAAGGAACAAGCAGGATTTCGAACAGGCTACTCAACAACCGACCACATTCATACTATCAATCAGGTAATAGAAAAATGCTCAGAATATAACCAACCACTATATATAGCCTTCATAGATTACAAGAAGGCGTTTGATTCAGTAGAAATATCAGCCATCATGCAGACACTGCGGAATCAGGACGTAGATGAAGCATATACAAACATCCTGGAAGAAATCTAGTGGGGATCAACTGCTACCATAGTGCTTCATAAAGAAAGCAACAGAATACCAATCAAGAAGGGCGTAAGGCAGGGGGATACAATCTCTCCAACGCTATTTATGGTGTGCTTACAGGAGGTTTTCAGAAGTCTAGATTGGGAACAGTTGGGGATAAGAGTCAATAGAGAGTACCTTAGTAACCTGCGCTTCGTCGATGACATTGCATTGCTGAGTAACTCAGGGGACCAATTGCAACTCATGATTACGGAGTTAGACAAGGAGAGCAGAAAGGTGGGTCTTAAAATTAATCTGCAGAAAACGAAAGTAATGTACAACAACCTCGGAAGAGAGCAGCGCTTTGAGATAGGTAATAGTCCACTTCAAGTTGTAAAAGACTATTTCTACTTAGGGCAGGTAATAACCGCGGAGCCGAACCACGAGATTGAAGTAACTAGAAGAATAAGAATGGGATGGAGCACATTTGGCAAGCACTCTTAAATCCTCACAGGTAGATTGCCACTATCCCTCGAGAGGAAGGTATACAACAGCTGCATCTTGCCGGTACTTAGCTACGGAGCAGAAACCTGCAGACTTACAAAGTGGGTTCAGCTTCAATTGAGGACGACACAGTGAGAAAAGGAAAGAAAAATGGTAGGTGTAACCTTAAGAGACAAGAAGAGAGCAGAGTGGATTAGGGAACAAGCGGGGGTTAAGGATATAATAGTTGAAATCAAGAAGAAGAAATGGACATGGGCCGGGCATGTAGCTCGTAGATAGGATAACCGCTGGTCGTTAAGGGTAACTAACTGGATTCGCAGAGAAGGCAAGAGAGTTAGGGGGAGATAGAAGGTTAGGTGGGCAGCTGAGATTAAGAAGCTTGCGGGTATAAATTGGCAGCGGCAAGCACAGGACCGAGTTAACTGGCGGAACATGGGAGAGGCCTTTTTCCTGCAGTGGACATGGTCAGGTTGATGATGATGATGATGATGAACAACTGATGAGGCAGCCTACACAACTCTGGTGTTTTACGAAGCCTCTGTGTTATACGTGTTAGCTTTAGCCTGAGATTAATGTCTGCAGGAGCGCATCGACAGTTTACATGACCTGCTCACTCCAGAGATGGCATTCATCTGGTCTGATCCCATTCTCAGTGGAGTAGACCAACATAAACCTGAACTTGGTAAGTGAACCTCTTTATGGTTGTATAAACTTTTTTTCTTTTTTTTTTAGATTTCCTAGCATTTCGTGTATTTTTGTTCTATATCCTTCTGTAGCACACTGTGCACGTTTGCATAATGGTGAATTGCTGTGTTGAATGTCATTAAAGGCCTAAAATATGTGTTTACTTTCCCACTGAGCAGCTGAACATTTTATGTACTCGAGCTTCAATTTAATAATGCGGCTGCAGAAATGATGCAATACAGGAAGGGGTCTGGCTGTCTGCTTATTATGTTTCTAGGCTAATATTTTGTATATAATGTACATTGCAGGTAGATCAGAGCTCTAAAAAAACATTATTGTTATGTCTAAAGTACACATTATTGTTATGTCAAAAGCCTTGCAAGTGCAACTTGCCATTTTTTCAACTATAGTAGAAGTTTTTAATGCAGGTAGCCATTTTATGCCTTGTTTTTCGAAGTGGTTTGTGTTCTCACATTTCCTGAAGTTCTGTTTTCATTAAATCAACAATTTGAAATTGCTTCTTTTTCGGCATGGTGATATTCAAGGGAGTCGCACATTATTTGGCAGCTGAGCACATGAGGAGGCACTATCTGGACACGGGTTTTCCCGCAAGCCGTACACGCTTTAATGACATTAAGGACAATAGGACCGGTCTTAGTCAGTACATAGCAGGCACAACATCTTAATACAGAGGTCGTTGTCTTCAAATACATCAGCTAACTCTCACTAGTCAACCTGAATAAATAATTGAACTGAATTTATTGGTGGGGTTTAATGCCAGTTGGTGCAACAAGCATCACTTAGTTTTAAGGCCATAATCTTGAACTGGATGCAACAATTTAATGTTGACTGTCTTAGTCTGTTCATTTATTCTTTGTTGTCGGCAACTGGTCAGTCGTCTCAAGCTGCACATGCAAGGTAATAACAGTCTGAAGATAAGAGTTTTGTGCTGTATAAAATGTTGTACAACCATCCCTATACTTGTTATCAGAGACCCCTAGAAAATGAGTCCTAGCTTGTGGATTTATCATGCATGTTTCTCCCGTGAGATGTTATAATACATTGTACAAGTAGTGAAGATTTCGTGAGCACAGGGTGTAGATGGTGCCCACGTTTCGGCCAACACACTTGTCTTCTTCAAGCCTTCGTGAATACAAGTCTGTTTGTCAAAACATCTGCTCCAGTGACATGCTGGGTCCACGAATTCCCCATTTAATTTTTCATGAACTTCGGCCTGATGATATTATTCTCCTTCCTTTTGTAGATGCAGCGGTTCACCACTTGTGCAGCCAACTGGAACGCCTGGACAGTAGCCAGTACAATAGTGACTTCTTGAGCCAGCTTCTAAAGTCATTGGCGTCTGAGGCTGGGCTCAAGTACAGCAACTTCATGCACTATTTGCGACTGTTGCTAAGCGGGCTGAAGGTGAGCTACGTCACTAAATTGTTGTAGAAGCGCCATCAGCAAGACTGGAAGCTAGGTGGAGCACGATAACAATGAGGCCAGCTCATGCGTGTCATACTCCTCAAGGAGATAAGAAAGGCTCTTCCAAAGCAAAACATTTTGAAGCTACTAACTACAGCTTTGTAACTACAAATGCATTGTTCCTAACTACAGATGCCTGACCAGTGTATATAGCAGGCATGAGGTACTCATGTGCACCCACATGATCCATTAATAGTAACAGTTTAGTGCATTTCGACAGGGCTGTTGTAGGACGTTTTCGGCACTATTCAGGTGTTCATATTTGTGTGTGCCATATAATTCATACCATTGCTCATAAACTGCAAGGGCTTAATTCTTTTTTTTTCCTGACACAGTTGAAATCTTTTGCATTGAACATTCTGTGAATGCAATCTATGCTTGACCTAATTCGAGTGCACACACCAAAAAACTTACACATGGCATAATCGCTTGTGCAGCAATACAATCACTCGATGACATAAATCTTCCAATAGCTGTCATTGTATACAGCAGTATTTTCAGCTACATCTGTGAATGGTTAAATCTGTGAATTGTTTTCAACTAAATCTGGGATGCTTAAACTTTCTGTTTCAACTTTCTACAAACTATACAATTGGCTGCAAATTTTTGAAGGTGAGTTCTTCATTTTAAGCTTAAGTTTACTGTAAGCTGTGCTCTGGGAATGAAAGACAGTCACAGGCTTACATAAGGATTGATGGATATTTATAGGGAAGGGAGGATGACAGAAACTTTAACAGATATTTCCTGCGGTATACTTTTGCGTCCAGTGTACGGCACTATGCATAAACTGTGGCTGAAGCGAGCTGCCTGAAACGCTTGCATTTCTGTCTCGCAGCAAGGCCCAGGTGTAGCTGAAATGATGCTGCTTCTCGGAAAGGAACGAACGCTTCACCGCCTGCAGCGAGTTGCAGGCAGCGAGCTCCACTCGGGCAACAACGCCAGTTTGGGGGCTGTAAAAAACGCTTAGCCTGGAGTATCTCTTATGTACCAAGTGAGCTGTTTGGCAACGCAACATGCTTTTGGCATGTTGCCAGCTCGAAGAACGTCACCCCTGGAGCCAGTTGAACTGTAGAACTTTGCATTCGTCGCATCAAAGGAAATGTCCCGAGACAGTCGTAAGCAGGCTGGCCCATGATATTTTTATTGGCATTGAGGTTGAGTGAAACTGTAATATACTACAGGTACCGTAAAAAAGATGAACAGAACGTGGCTAGCATACTATCAAGATTCTCTTGTGTGATATTCTGACACTATTTACAGTTTCAACCTCCGTTTTTTACGACGGCATGATACCCTGTCAGCTGTAGTCTTGTAGGGAAACTCCTTTTTTTGTTCCTGCCATGTTAGTTTTTAAAACATAATGTGTGAAAAGGGCCTGAGAGAGTTTGGAACATGAGTGGCTCAGCACCCTAAACGACTATTGTGCATAAACTGGTTAAGGGCTAAGAATCCTGGAAACAGCTTTTTTGAAATTTTTCAGCATTCAGGCGACAGCATTGTCAAATTGTTTGCGTTTTAAATTGAGCAGCACTCCTTGTATCAAGCCAGCTGCTGGCAATCAGATGTTATCCTCCTTCTCAGCAGTGCTTTTTCTGTCTAACTCGTTAGACGCACAACCGTCGCGCCGGCAGTGACTGTGCACTTGACAAATTGAGCTGCATGATGTTTGAAATCAGCAAATGTTTGAAAAATTGTTTCGCTGAGCCACTGTGATCTGTTGTGATTTGTAGACTTAGAAAGATTGGCTAATAATCATTGGGACTTGCTCTACTGGCTCGATGCACATGTACATCATCAAAGGCCTTTCATGGTCTGCTTAAAGGAAAGTGTGCAAACAAGTGGTCATTGCTTTACCCGGCGTATAAACAATGACCAATTGGCTAATTATTCATACAGGAACAAGTGGTCCTCCCCTCTGTGCACATCTCATGCCTCTACTATATCGCCTGTGCTGGTCATCTTACATGTCACGTGCAGGTTCTAGATGTCAGCCAAGAATACTTTGCCTCTATTTTTGATGGTTGTGGTTGTTCAAACCACTACCCTGACTGTGGTTGTAGGCTGCTGCAACACTGCAAACACAGTTTTGGTTTTATATCAAATTGATTATGCACAGGCAAAAGCTATGGTGTGTGAATATTTGAAAAATTTGATATTTTTCTATTGGTGTTTGCTATTTGTTTCGATTCACACTGCTATTTTACTATACCAATCAAATTTTGAATGTGTTTCATCCCATCACATTCTCGTATTATGGCAAAGCTGCCTTTCAAGCTTTGCTACGGTCACAAATTTATTGATTCAAGAAAATGCTGGTTCCAACATGCAGATAACAGATGTGGCAGAGAGCAGAAGGGGAGGGGGGTGCTTAATTTAAAGCTGTTCTGAGCATCGAATTTGGGCAGGAAGTCCAAAAATTGAACGCTGTAGGTTTTTAGCATTGAGAGCTTCAGATGTTATTATATATTGACGTCTATGACGCATATTTGGAACTCCAGACTCCAAGAAAGCACACCTTTGTTCTCCACATTCGTTGGGCTTTCACAGAATTTGAAAGAGGTGGAGAGGCTGAGAAAGTAGCATCTTTGCTTTTCACGTGTAAAGTGTTGCCAGGAAATCTTTGGTAGCACCAAATCATGTATGTAAATACAATTCAGCTTCTTCATTGCCTCATTCTTTATAGCACAACTATGAAACACCACTCTTCAGCACTTCATCACTCCAACCAAAAGAAACTTTCATGTTGCTGTCTCTTAAGAATATAATTGGGTAAATACTGTGCATAGGTCGGCAAACTGACTCGTAAGTGAACTCACCAGACTCGAATAAAGCCTAGGGTCCGAGTCTGAGTGAGCCCAAGTGAGCATATTTTTTTATAGTGTGTATATAATGTACAGAGCACCAGTTTCATGCTTGTTTCCTTTACCATGGGCGATCCTGTTTATACTGTAGCTATGAACTCCACCACAAACTTAGTCGTACGTTTGTCAGCATCATTCCTCATGATTCGCACCTTGTTTGCGTTTTTCATTCATTCATTCATTGTTTATTTGGTGATTTGTGGAAGATGAAAATAAAGTAAAACATTGTGCACATTATGTGACAACTGCTTAGTGTTTTGTCTATTTGCAAGCAGCATTTGCTTCCATAAACATGAAGAACAATGACTAGGTATGAGCAAATAGTAATTTTGAGGTTCAAAGAAAATAGTGATTTGGCCAAATAATTTCTGATATGCGTATCACATAATATAAGTAAAAAAAATTGGCAGATCCCACATACAGTTAGAATCGATGATATGCGAAGCATAATTGAGAAATGTTGATATGTCACTTTAAAATCAGCACAACGTTACAAGGTGGAGGTAAATGATGCCGTACATGACTTCCGTGTCATGATTATACATGTTTGGATATGTCCTTTACATTCGTCATCTATTCACGTCACGTGATACCAAATTTAGTATATGTGGACCTAGCGAAACGGCCACGAGCATGCTATGAGCATGGTAGGTTGTCATGTTCTTACACGACACGCGTGTCAGGATTATCATGTTTGCACCAGTCATATGTTTTGTCATCCATTAACGTCACGTAACACCAGATTTGGTATATGTGGAGCTAGAAAAACGGCCGCGAGTGCATCATGAAGGGCCCATTATACCCTCATGTAGCGTTGATGCGTGTGCACGCTGGGCACAGTGACGCTGCTACGTTAGCAAAACGCGAGCAAAACGCAAGCAAAACGTTAGCAAAACACCAGGCGCGATTATCGTCTGTCTGCGCGGCCCGACGGCAACCGGCGCGAAATGCTGCATTTCGCACCAATCCGTTACCCAGACAACACTGTGTCTCCCTCTTTTTCGTGATGGAGGGACGCTGGACACGCTGAAACTCGCATGCGTCAAAGCAACGCAGCGCAGCGCCCACCTGCGAGTATATGGCAGGACTGGCGCCTGGCGTGGCAACGTCGGCGTGACGCGACGAAACGAATGCCGGCGAGCATGTGCACCGCGTCACATCGAAATGTATTGGCGCCTTGACTGTGGCATGTAGTCATGTTCTCACATGACACGCATCTCATGATTATTATGTTTGCACCAGTCACATACCTTCATCATCCATTGGCGTCACGTAATACCAAATTTGGCATATGAGAAGCTAGCGGGTATAAATTGGCAGCAGCAAGCACACGACCGAGTTAACTGGCGGAACATGGGAGAGGCCTTTGTCCTGCAGTGGACTTAGTCAGGCTGATGATGATGATGAAGCTAGCGAAACGACTATGAGCACATCATCAGTGTGGCATGTAGTCCTGTTGCTACATGATACACATGTCGTGATTATCATGTTTGGATGTGTCATTTACCTATGTCGTCCGTTCGCGTCGCGTAATACCGAGTTTGGTACATGTGAAGCTAGCAAAACGGCCGCGAGCGCATCATGAGCGTAAGATGTAGTCATGTTGTTACACGACAAGCATCTCATATTTTTCATGTTTGCACAAGTATCATACCTTCGTCATCAATTTACGTCCCTTAATACCAAATTTGGTGTAAGTGAAGCTAGCAAAACGGCCACCAGCACATCATGAGCGTGGCATGTAGTCATGTTTTTACATGACACACATCTGATGATTATCATGTTTGCACCAGTCACATACCTTCGTCATCCATTCACGTACTGTAATACCAAATTTGGTGTATGTGACGCTAGCGAAACGGCCGCGAGCGCATCATGAGCGTGCCATGTAGTCATGTTGTTACAAGACATGCATGTCATGATTATCATGTTAGGGTCTGTCCCTTGTGTTTGCCATGCAGTCATGTCATACCATACCAGTTTTGCAACATGCCATGTGAACGAAATCACCGCAAGAGCTGCAGGACCATGAAATGTAAATCATGACATACATGTCATGATTTTCATGTTATGACTAGTCAGATATGTTCTTCATACAATCACGTTATCCCATACCAAATTTGGTATCGATACCGTTATCGAAACAGCCAGGAGAGATAAAAGTCGTAGGCGGCTAGATAGATAGATAGATACGCTCAAAGTCGCTGAAGTTCGCTAAGAAATGCTTCGCATTTAAAACGGTGATTTTTGTCATGATGCAACTTTCTTGCATAATACTTTTAAGAATTGGAACTAGGTGTGATCAAATGGCACTTTTTGGTTCAAAATGAAGTGGAAACAACTTTGAATAGTACCAAAATTTGAATAGCTGCTGGGTGCGAGTTATAAGTGGCAGAATGTGTTGTGCTTTAAAATTTGTTATACTTAGAGCATGTAAACTCATATAACAATCTTTTAAATCTTAAGTAAAAATAATCGAATGTGGGAAAAGTGAAGTGTACATTTTACCTTGAAGTGTGGCTTTGTGGTAGCGCGCATTTTTCTTTGATAAGTGGTTTCACGGCATACTTTTTCTATGCTGCAGTGAAACCATGTTTACAAAAGGGTTACATGCTGTCAAATGTATAACTATTTGTATATTTCGAGTACTTCGAAATTTCGAATAATTCGTGTGGAACTGAATCCGAGTACAGAAATATTATTCTTACAAATATTTGAAGCGCTCGAATATCCGCCCATGCCTCACAATAATATACTGCAATGTTTTGGCACATATCATATATCACAAAATACACAAACATAATGTTTTAAGGTCTGAGATGTGATTGTGGCAGTAGGAAATATTTCAGCGTTTTAGTTGTTACATGTACACTTCTTTCCTTCATCCCTTTCTTGTTGTATGCCTTGCTTTTATTATGCTAAAGAATATGTGGTAAAGATGCCAAACAACCGCTGAGTGCGTTACATGTTTCACAATAAAAATGCAATTGGCATTGTAGTCAGTTCATGTGTGGTGTTAATAGCGATTTTTTTATCTATTGTAGCACATACATGTTTTTATAGCAGCATCGTAAACTGCGTCTTTGTTCAGTAAGCAAATCTGCACAAACACTGCCTTCATAAACGTTTCATATTTTCTGACATACTAACCTTGATGGTTTGGGTAGTTCTCTGTGAATGATTGTGTGTTAAAAACTGTTGGGCACAACACAGCCAGAGGAAAGAAGTCTGACAGTTCACATGACATCTTGGTACCTTCCAAGGCCTTTCTTTTTGTCACAAAGAATATGCTACAAAAGTCTTTGCATCAAATTCGTGTGTGATTCACACGTCTGAAATGGAGCGCTCAGGCCAGCACTTGCTTGGACACAGACGTGAGGTGGAGCTTTACAAGATCATGGTCCTAGCAGGAGTTGCCTCCTAGACCACACCTTCCATGGACTCCTCATCTTCCTGCTGTGTAAGGCAGTAAGAAGACACAGAATTCCCCGACGAGTTGTCAATAATTGCCCGCATAAGCATATTTGTTTTGTGAAAAGTTTCAAAAGTAGTTGCATGTTGCATGCTGCATTTGTGCACTGCAAGCAACAGCATATTCATTGCAAAATACAGCTCTTTTTTTTCGCGAGTACATGACTTTCCACATTTTACAACCACATAAAATCTTGACTGTAAGTACAGTGGCTTAGCACTTTTATTCTACACTTAATGACAAATGTTCGCAAGCAAGTGGCTAATGCTTTATTGTTGTTGTCAACTTGAAAAAGCTACCTGTCATGAAAATTTGCATACAAAAGACGATCATGGATAGATGAGTATAAATAATTGGCTACGCTGTTGGCAATGTTAAAATGATGTATCTACACTTGTACAAGTACGATTTTGCAAACAGGTATACAAGTGTGTTTAACTGTAAGCTTGCATAGATACTTAGGTACGAAATAGAGATGACTGCCTTGTCCATTATAACAGCATTGTCGCGTGACTTGTCACGCGTGATTTGTCGCAAGCACAAAGGCTTGTGAAATTTCATGAAGTCTCAGAAGCATGCTTTGGGAAGATTGATAATCTCGTGCTTTATGTATTGTGGACTTAAATACCGGCTGAACGAGTGTATGCATCAAAAAAGATTTTAGCTTGCAAGGATGCAAGAGATGATGGGATAGTGAAGTTAGCAATGCTTACAGAGAAGTACAGAACATTGCAACTATGATGTATTGCTGCAGTGTGTGCCTGCAGAGTTTGCACAAAACTTGCAGATGCATTACTGTAGGCTAATATGTTCTTTTCCAGGCTGGAAAAACATGTAGTCACATCGGTAGTTTCCTGCTGAAGATATTTTTTTAATTTATTCTCAAATTTTCTCTTGCATAACTAAGATGCCTTATATTTGCTTTTCCTTATTTGTGTAAGCCAGGGGTTGGCAACCTTGGCCCACGAGGCTTTTTTCTCTGGTCCCTTGTTTTTGCATTTGCAGTGCACTGTATCGGACTATGGGAAAATAAAGTTTGGATTAGATTGGAACATGTTATGCGGCCCATAACACGGTGTCAACCCTTACCCCCCTTTCCTGCGTCACTTTCTATCTGAAGGCCAGCATGGCAGTTTTGACCTAAATGGGATTCAGCTCTGAAACATGTGTACTGAAACAAACATGAATTCCAATCCAGTTTTTCTAATTTTTGTCAATTTGCCAAATTTTTAAGCTTCGCCTGTAAAGCACACCCGCACAGCTGCTAACAAAGACTCTTTATTGCAAATATTTAAGCGTTTGGCATTGTCATTTGCATGGGTTATATAATCATAGATTCCTTCATACTTCCGTAGCACCATACTTAACTGTTTGGGTTATTAGCGCAAAAAATATGATAGTGTCCTGGTGTATTGCACACGTATTTATAAAAAGCTGTGTGCTTCACTACGTCGGTTCAATTCACAATTAGTGACCACAGTGCACACTTTAATGTTATCACTAAGGCATCAGCCTTGACAAGCAAGTGAGATCTTATTAGCACATTATAGCTCGAAATGGGTTACAGAGGCGATGTCCCGAAAATAAGCTGTACTTATGAGCCCTCTTCACCTGCTGCATCAGAGCTGTTCTGCTAGGCTGCATCATGCCTAACGTGTCTGTGTGCTGAGCACATCACTTTCGTGGCTTACTTCTGTTTTTCTTCAAGTCACCCCTTTTAAAAGTGACTTTCCTAGCTGTCACAAATTGGTTCTGCAGAATCCTGCAAGGTGATAGGTGAGTTAAAGGGCCAGTCAACAGGCTCCGAATTGAGCAGGAAAAACTCGCGCATTTTTCCTGTGCCTGGCCAACCTCCTTCCACACACAGTGACATCAACTCGGCGATCAGCGACGTGATGCAGCACGGAGCTCGTTGATTGGTCTAAACCAGGTCTCCACAAAGAGTAATGAAGTTACATCGCCGATCGCCGAGTTGATGTCACAGCACGTGGAAGGATATTAGTAAGGCGTACCAAAAATGCGCGAGCTTGTTTGAGGGTGTAAAAAAGTCAAAGCCTGTTGGCTGGAAATGGAAATTAGCAATCACCCTTTTGTCTATTGTCATTTGTCCCGGTCCAGGGATCACACCCGGGACCAACGCCCTTCCGGAATGATTGCTCTACTAATTGAGCTAACCAGGAAGATGGAAATATGATGCAAGAGGGCGTATTAATTGACAGCTCGAAGCACATGGACGCAGAATACTGCTATTTGGCTGTGTGCAAAACTGTGAGGTGGTGATAGGTTTAATAAACGCAAATGTCTTTGAGTTGTCAGTTAATTTGCCTTCATGCTGCCAATTGTGAACTTCCTCGTTTGCTCAATTGGCAGAGCAATTACCCTGGAAAGGCATTGGTGCCGGGCTCAATTTCTAGACCAGAACTAACTTTTCAGAAACTAAGAAGCTTTATGAGAAATCTGTATAGATTTTCTCATGGCTTCGTGCTGCAGACAGATGGTTGTTAATCTCTTTTTCCCAACCTGGTTGTTGCATCCATGTAGTGCTGACTAATCCTCATCCCATGTGTTGTCTACGATGGGTATTTGATTTATTTTGTCGAGGCATTCGTGTTCAACCTTTCACAATATGGTTGCCACCTTTCTATAGAAAAGCATGAGTAAACACAAAATTAGGCACAGTACCCTGGAATTCTTGGTCCTGAGCTTGCGGTCGTCGATGAAATTGTTGTTCTGCTTGTTGCTGTCTGTGGGTGAGGCCGATGGCAGGCTGGGGACGAGGCCTGCATAAGTACCATATTAAGATTCTATAGAATGTGTGCCAAAACCCATTCACAGAAAAAAAATAGCATGCTTGGTGCACAAGAAAAATAAAAGAGAGAGAAAATTTCAGCCTCATAGTAAGCTCATTCACTAAAAGCAATATACATAGTAGCAAGGTTTAACATTGAATTGAAGGCCTCTTGGAATGCTGAATTGATGAGGTGTGCCTTGACGAGATGTGGCTTTCATAACTACAAATACCTGCTGCAACAATGTTTGCAGAATGATAATTATTGATATCTGTGTTGACTGGCGACTACGCCGACGATCACTTTTCCCACTTGATCAGGCATGAAGAGCCTTGATAACTCGCCATCACTGTCCATGCTCACCATATGTGTGCATATAATATACATATACAAACTAATCAATTACGGAGGCTATGTGTTGAGCAGTGTGAAGAACCAGAGCGATCAGTTACCACTGTTGATGAAGTAGTAGAAGGAGAGATGTACTCAGCTGTTCACTATAATTTTGGTGCTAAATATTTTTGAAAATTGAAACCACTTTTTTATTTTTGTGGTGTCACTCCGCGAGCATTCTAACGAAGCCTGCCTCCTGGTAGCAAGTGTTTTTCAGAAGCCGGTCATACCTGGCGCTTTGACGCACTGTGTGAGCTGCTGGTAGACCTGTCGGATACGCTGCAGGTTGACGTGCGAGGCGACCTGGTGGTTGACCATGGGCAGCGGATAGTCACGACCCACGACGCATCGTGCGGCCACCTGCACCGACTCCGGCGCAGTCCACGGTTCGTGGATGTAGTTGTTGGGAAAGTGCTTCAGCACATGGCAGGTACTTCCTGGGTATAACAACATTTGTGAGGCCAAATGGCCCCATTTAACTGCAACTCAACTTGTGTCTCTTGAGCGTTGACGTGGTTGGCATTTATTTATACATTCATGGCCTGCATGAATTGCACAAATAAGACACTCAGCTTTTGGGCGATAGGTTCCTATTTGTGATAAACACGGCACTAAGGGCACAATATAGCGATTTACCTCTTTCACTATGCCACAGCATGTGTCCCTTCCCCTAGCAAAACGCATCTTGTTCGCGGGGCTTCTTTTGTTGACAATGCAGCAGAGGACAACATAGAAAATAAAAAAGGTGGATTGGAGCACAAGATATGCTGTGCCTCGATTCTCAGCCATGGTGGCAACATTTTGATGGGGGCAAAATGCAAAGAACACCCATGTACTTAGATTTAACTAGGTACTAATGAATCTCAAGTGGTCGAAATTGATTGAATGCCCCAATAAGGCATGCCTCTAGTCATGTTCAGGTCTTGGCACGTGGATTCCCAGCAATAAATTTTATTGCCTGGGCAAAAGATATATGCATCAGGTTGTTTTGAGAATACTGGCCTACTTTGTTCGTGAAATGCATTAAGAAGAGCATAATATAACTGAAATGTTGATTTCTGAACACGGCCAGTGGCATAAATCCTAAATTATCACAAGGGAGGACAGATTTTGCCATGATAGCCATTATGTGTATATCAAAATGTTTCTTTGATTTTTACTGATATAAAATTGAAATCCTGCCTTTAAATCATATTCAAGAATGAACATTTACTTCAAAATCGTGTAATTGTATTGTTCTGTTGGGCCTCCTCTGAAACCAATCGTGCAACAGTTGCGATTTCAGTAATCTACTCTGCTGAGGGGTACGTATTGAATACCGGTTACACGCTATAAAGAAAAAAAATACTTCAACCATCTCCCAAAAATGGGATGCAAAGCAGCAGCGTTGTGCAAGGTGGCATCACGTGTTGACGGCGCTAATGCGGGTGTTGCGGTGAGCGCTGAAGATTCGATTGAAGCGATGGCGGGCGTATGTCTTGTAGGTGACACGTACAGACATGTTTAAACGTGTACGTTAGACACACGTCAGGTATATTGCGTGTGAACCGACGAGTCGGTGGTGTAGCGAAGCGGTGGTCGCTGCAGGTGTTACGGGTGAACGGACGAGGTGGCAGCTGCGGGCGCCACAGCGAGCGTGTCGCAACGAGGGAGAGAGTGAGCTCAGCGCACACTGAGAGGGGAGTGTGACTTCCACGCGCAGCAGCGGTGTGACCTACTTGGCACTGTGCCAACACCTGCGGCACGTTGTACAGAGGGACAACGTTACATAGACTAGTCAAATGCTGCTTTGCATCTAAAACGGGCACTAAATATTTTGAACGTACAATACTTGACTGTCAAGTCATTCACATATATTATGTCTGTAAGATAAATCTCGAGGGAGTCTGAGCACAGGTGCGTGTGGGATCAAGACTCCCCTTTTCCCCTCCACCATGATTTCTCACAAAAAAAGAAGTTAACTTCTTTGGCGCAAACAATACGGAAAAAGGAAAAAAGAAGGCGAAACACGAAGGAAAGAAACAGATTGACGCCAAACTAACAACTGCTTTATTCTTCACACAGCAACGCATATATATGCCGAAACCACATACATTGCATGCGCACGCACAGCTTCGTATCGTATACGTAAAAATGAAAATTCCTTAAACCTTAATACGTCACACCACACACCTGAAAGTACACGCGTGTTGTCAAATTACACATGTAGAACACGATATCTTAACCAAGATGTGTACGCAAAAATTCATATTCGATGGCATGCAAAGAAACGGAAGTATCACTGATACAGTCAGCTCCGCTTTTCTTAATATGATAAGCCTCCAAAGCAAGTCTTGCATCTTCATTCCTGCTCCTGCCCAGAATCATCGTATCATGAAACCGTGGCGAACATCCAATGCAGGACTGCAAGTGAGCAACAAGATGTGCCCCTTTGTCTACCTTGTTAACTATTTTTTGCGCATGTTCCCTAAGACGCTCGTTTATGCAACGTCCCGTTTGCCCGATGTAGATCCTGCCACATACCAGAGGAATGCCATATACCACACAGGTGATGCAAGAAATAAAGCAGACACCGTGTTTTATTTTGCACCCAGTTATTTCTTGCATCACCTGTGTGGTATATGGCATTCCTCTGGTATGTGGCAGGATCTACATCGGGCAAACGGGACGTTGCATAAACGAGCGTCTTAGGGAACATGCGCAAAAAATAGTTAACAAGGTAGACAAAGGGGCACATCTTGTTGCTCACTTGCAGTCCTGCATTGGATGTTCGCCACGGTTTCATGATACGATGATTCTGGGCAGGAGCAGGAATGAAGATGCAAGACTTGCTTTGGAGGCTTATCATATTAAGAAAAGCGGAGCTGACTGTATCAGTGATACTTCCGTTTCTTTGCATGCCATCGAATATGAATTTTTGCGTACACATCTTGGTTAAGATATCGTGTTCTACATGTGTAATTTGACAACACGCGTGTACTTTCAGGTGTGTGGTGTGACGTATTAAGGTTTAAGGAATTTTCATTTTTACGTATACGATACGAAGCTGTGCGTGCGCATGCAATGTATGTGGTTTCGGCATATATATGCGTTGCTGTGTGAAGAATAAAGCAGTTGTTAGTTTGGCGTCAATCTGTTTCTTTCCTTCGTGTTTCGCCTTCTTTTTTCCTTTTTCCGTATTGTTTGCGCCAAAGAAGTTAACTTCTTTTTTTGTGCTATGTACCAACTAGACCCAACGCAAGTTTTACCATGATTTCTGCCACTGAACATGAGTGCCTATGTGTAAACATTGCGTTCCACTGAGGTAGTAACTTCATGTCAAAAATGATGATTTTGGTATGAGCACAGGCACATGAACACCTGCTGTCACAAACGAGCGTTCAAGAAAGGGCACGCGTCTGATTTCTAACAGCTGCGACAATACCGAACGCCGATAGCAGACTTTACAGAAGCCGGCGCATCGAAGGAATAAGCAGCAGAAGACATCGTGCGCGCTCCTCCTCTCCCCCTTTAACGGCCCCAGCCCACCGACAACTTCCTTGGATCAAACACCGACCGAATTCTATAATCATCGGGAAGGAAGGGGGAGACGCACTGCAGCGTTACGTCACGGGGTGCGGAAACTACATGAGCAAGATCTCGCCCTTTCCTCAGCTTCGGCTGTGCTACGCGCCGATGAAAAGCCTGGAAGCTTCGAGAGCCCAGTGGCAAGCGGATATAAGCAAGCAGCCGAGGGAGGCGACGAGGAGATTAGTGAGTGTGTGATTCAGCCAGTGGGCGAAGGCCTGTCCTACAGTAGCAGCGCATGATGCCGGCGAAGTTTTGTTGTCGAAGTGCGGTCAGTTGATCTGGAAGAATCGAATGACGATGACATTAGAGTGCGCAAGTTTTGAGCGTTTCCTAGAAAAGGAACGTCTGACGCAGCGGGACGACAACTGCGCTGGATATAGTGTGAGTTTTTCTGGAAGAGAAGCATTCAAGACTTTGGACTGAGGTCTTTTCATGCATAAGTTGCATGGTAGTGCGAGTTGTTTGTGCCCGTTGTTTTGAATGTACCTGAGTAGATTGTGAGTTGTATTGTATTTGATAACTACCGAGCGTGCATACTTGTTCATTGTTTGAACTGCATTATTTGAGGCTATAGTTCATTTTGTTGTATACTCCCAGCTCTGACTCAGCCTTTGGACCACAACAGGGGTTCGCTGGTGCACCAAAGGGACTAGCACTAAATCGTCCGTGCTTTCGTGGCGCATTTCGGGGCATCATCTGACCAATTTTGCCGGATGAACCGGAATGCCAAAGAGGGATAATGCCATACTGTTACAAGACATTCCTAATTAGTGAGGAGGCATTGCAAAATCAAATCTATATTACTTTGCTTTGTATGTCTGTGGAGTGCTCTTTCAATTATAACACAACAAGCACACATTGATCAACAAATGTCCAAGAACTACTGAGATCATTGTTGGAAACAGTGACGCTAATTTTGGTGTCTGCTGGGGTATGGCAGTTGCACAGAGGCAACTCAGTTTCATGGGTCCATTTGGCCAAATTTCGTCACTTTGCGAATGTGACTTGAGGCCGCTTTTTGAAAATTTTAAAGTGGGTGTGGGCTCTTCGAAGGAATGAATTCAATTCTCGCATTTTACTTGACCACCTGTTTCATATACAGAGTTAGCTTAATTCCTATAGTTATTCATGACGGTCAGTACAAAAAAGGTCACAGAAACCAAGAAACTACACGACACAAGCACTATATAACAACTGAGAGTCTAATGGGGGGAAAACGTGGCATATATAAACAGAAAGGAATCCACTAACAAGACCTTATCAACCCCAACAAATTATCTAATCACGTTTGCTGTAGATATGGAACCACCTCAGCATCAGTGAGAGCAATTGAAGACTCGTTAATACACCTATCTTTTGCATTTATTAATTTGAACGCTTCTATGATTTCACACGCGTCCTGGTCCTTGTGCCTCACCATCACTATAGCGGCTTTGTTTAGCTCGGGTGCGCAGCCGATAAGGATTGTGGCATTGAAGCACAATGCAAACTTGATGCCTGCCTCTGCGTCTGCACACCATCGGAGTGTTTGGCCGGGGCAATGGCGAGGCTTCAACTCACTTTACCAATATTCTCCGCAGTCCGACACCCATGTAGGCGTGCGCAAGACGGAAAAGGGATGGGGGAGGCACCCCCTAGTTGTGTAAGGGGGCACCAAGTCGGCTTAATATCTTTTCTTAGTCGGACCTATCTCGTCATTTGTAATGTGCAGGGTTGATTGATTGATATGTGAAGTTTAACATCCCAAAAACCACCATATTATTATGAAAGGCATCATATAGTGACGCCTTGAAGGAAGCCGTGATTCGATCCCACGACATGCGGGTCATATAATGTGCATGGTTACGGCTATGAAGGATTTTAACTATGATGGTGGCCGACGACCCTTAATGTTTAATTTACTTCCCACCTTTAAAGGCAGCCGTTTTAAAAAGAGTGTCATAGATTTATTTTCATGTTTGTGCTTATTGCTTGGCTTGTTTTCTTTTGGACCCGACCGATAGGGGGGGGGGGCTGCAGCGCAGTTTGCCCTCCCCCACCCCCCTTAATGGCAAACCCTGACTTGCACATTCATGGACTCAGCACAGTCACAGCTCCGCTGGCTTCTACCTTCACATTATTGGAAGGGTTCTGTATTAGGTTGCATATACTAATAATTATGTCGCTGGAATACTTTGGGATAAAAGCCTGCTAAAATACAGTAGTTAAGGTTCTTGTTTATGAGAATATGAGCAAATCAGAAACAGTATTCTTGTTCCTTGTTGGCAGCTCGAGGGATCGCGTAGCTGAACGGGCATGATGAAGCAAAGGTATGCATGCATTGTTTTCCTGCATGCTTCCCTACCGAATGTAGTCTCCCGAAGGGTCTGCCTTGCGTCCGAATCGTACGGGGCAGTAGACGTGGAAGAACTGCTGGAAGAAGGACGAGCAGGAGAGCCACATCCAAGAGCCTGCGTTCACACTCCAGTCGGCGTCCAGAAGTAGCTCATCAAAGACCTTCATGCCTTCCTCCCAGGAAAGCCAGAGGTCGCCTCGAGTCAGGAAACAGGCGACCGCGTGCCTCGCCACGTGATGAATCCAGCCTTCCTCGCGTAGCTGTCGCATGATGGCGTCGATCCACGGGTAGCCTGTCTGACCCTGCACAGAAAAAGAAATTGTGCGCACTTTTATATAGCGACCTGAACGTATACCTCTTTCTCACAGTGACAGCTTTCAGTGATAAAAAACGCCCCACGATGGAATCTCGAAACTCAGTAGCGTGTGCGCTGTCATGATTTGGATCACCATTTCGTTCACACGCGTCATTGGAGTGTGCTCGGGAAGAGTTCGTGGAGGGGGGTGGGGGAAGTTGACTACGGGAGGGGCACAATGTCTGCCCTATACTTTTGCTCAGTCGTACTTGTCGCGTAATGGCCACGCCGGTTATCGACGGCCTTTGATGTTGCATTCCAAGAACTGTGTGCTTCCCATCTTAACTCCCGGAGAACCAGGAACCAAAGGCAAGCCATTGCGAAAAGCACTCATCATCGCTTCGTTTTCATTTTTTTTTATCTCGAGATGTTCTTGAGGACTAAAACAAAAAAAACTTGGGGGGGGGGGGGGGCTTGGGGAGCTGTGCGAACGCTAGTGCTAATGCAGGTTTCTCGCCCCCTGAAATGCCGCCGCGTGACTTACATTAGCCCACTTGGCGAGTGCTTCTGCGTTGACGTCCCAGGGTATCTGCACGCACATGGGGTTGTTGTGCATACGGTCAAAGTTTGGGTTGCGCGTGGCTGCGCAGTAGAAGAACTCGCGCCACAGCAGCTGGCCCTGGAGTGACAGCGGCGGGTTCGAGTTCCTGATCTGCATGCAAACATGCATAACGCTTTTGCCAAAGGGCCGTTCAGCAGGCTTCGGACGCCGGAGAGGCATCGTGGTATTGCTCGGGACTTACCTTTCGGTAAAGGTCCGCCAGCTGGTGGTAGAAGAGGCGAGCCGACAGGCAGCCGAACCGCAGGTATGGACTCAAGCCTGTCTGACTGGCCAGCAATGCTTTGGGGGTCATCCTGGGGCTACCGAAGCTCGCCACCCACGCCTGCTGCATCGCGGGTCATTAATGAATCACGTTTCCCAGCAGCATGGACATGCATAGAGAACAGCGGTAACACGTGACCTGCGTACCTTACGTTCCATGTGTCGTTCCAGGCGCGTCAATGCCTCCGTTTCGCCCCCTGGCCAAACGGCTGCCTTCAAGTTGTCGGTGTCGAAACCTGTGGAAAGACTGCGCGTTTATAAGAAGCCAGCCGCCGATTTCGGGGACAATGTATTGCTTGCCTAGCTCTGCGAGCGTGGGCACGGCGAAACGTTCGTCGTGGTCCTCGTCGATGGGTGTCCGCGGCAGCGACTCGGGCGCCGGCAAGGGCTGCGCCGGCGGCTCCATGTCTACCACGACGCTCTGGAATTGGCGGTACGTGAGCGGCGTCTTTCCGCCGTGGCGCTCCAGAATGCGATCCAGCGGGTAGAGCGTGTGCGACGGTTCGCACACCACGCTCACGCCCATTTCGTGCGCCAGCGCCGTGATCTTCTGGTCGCGGATCGCACCGTACGGCTCCGGGTCTTGCTCGAACGTAAGGTGCGTCACGCGCCATTCCTGCACACGTGCGCGTCTGTTATCCCCGCCTTTCGCGCAAATGGACTTTGGAAGAGGACTGGGTGGTCGGGGAGGCTTTGAAGGATGCCGAGCGGTTATTTTGTAGGTATGACGTGGCTAATTAAGCCTGCAGGGTTCGACATCATCAAAGATGGCAAAATGAATTGCTGTGTCGGGTGGTCTATTACTTCCAGAAATTTAAGTACGAGTCCGACACGTTCATTTCGCGCGCTTTTGGCAACTGATTCTCAATAACGTCAAATAATAAAATTTCTGTTCATAATCCTAGAGGACATTAGCCTAATAGATAAACTGTAACGTAACTTGCATCATAACCATCATTTGGAGACACGCATTATATCAAGATCATCATGTTTTCTTTTTTTTTTCTTCTCTTTTCCTGCCCTCCTCCTCCTATAGGACCTTTATGTCCTCAATCCCCTCTTATATAGAGAGTTGGCGCCAAGCTTACATACGTCGGCAGAATTCATGTTTTTCATTATAGAGCTTTCTCTCTTTCTCTAAAGGATGAATGAATGAATGGAGCGAGATACGGGGTCCAGGTTCAGGTCACACGGGGGTGCTTCTAGGCAACCTGAAACGCGTTGAATCATCTCGGGCGCGGCTTTTGTGCAATGGAAGATTAGGCTTTCGTGCTTGCGTAAGACTGCTGTATACATTAGCTGACTGGGTAACGTTACGCAATAGCAAATCTATTTTTTAAAAAGGGCGCAATGCAATTTGAAACTTGTGTTTTCATTTCTTCTGCTCCATTCAAGACTCTCGGCGCTGACGTGTTGACTGAAGTGCGGCCTGCGCATGGGGTGGCTATTCTGATTACGTGTGCGCAAGATGTGACGTTGCCTGTGCAAGTAACTGGCGAAATTTTATTAAAAATTATAGGACTGTTGTGCAAGCGCTAATGCATACCATTGGTAGACAGCGCTGATGTATATCTCTGAATATCTGGTTCCGGTGACATTAGCTATCAACAATTAAAGTCGTCATCACCAGCCTATATTATGTCCACTGCGGGACGAAGGCCTCTATTGTCTACACCCCACTCTGTCTTGTGCGAGCTGATTCCTTTTTTATGTGTTCAGATTTCTTAATTCCGTCGCTCTTTTGCCGCCCTCGCTTGCGCTTTCGGTCTCTTATATAGTGTCGATTCCAATGTTCTAGTCATCTCAATTCATGACGTGCCCTGCACCAGTTATTTCTTCTCCCGATGTCTGTACCATAGATATCAGCTTCACCTGTTCTCCTTGCTGCCTCCCAATCTCTTTGAGTTGAAGGGACCCTGCAACACGTTTCTAAGTAACCATCAAATGGCGTCTCGAAAAAGTTCATTGCCTCAGGAATCGACCACTGCGAAAATTCTTAGAATCGGTCAAGCCACCACGCTGTGCATACTACAAACGCGAATCCCTTACATTCCCTCCTCCACCTCGTATTCCCGGACCTTTACACTATAGCTTCTACTTCCAGTGCTCGAGCACTCAATCGGCTACGCTTCCTCCAATGTCCTTGGAGTGTCCGGCTCAGTATACACACACTAACACACCAACAAGACCCAGGCTCGTAGCTGAGGAACTTTTTTTTTTTCGAGGGGGGGGGGGGGGTATAGAGCACTTGTTTAAGACCTTGAAAAACTGCTATTTTTATCGTTTTTCCTCGGTAAAACATCCCCTCCTTACAAATTTCGGATGGAAGAAGCCCCCCCTCCCCCCTCTACCTGCTTACGGGCCGCGCCAAGACCGTACCGTCGACGCTGACTGTGGCTCTGTGTAGCTGCGTCCGCGTTGAACGGCCCTGGGTAACAGCACGCTTGTGAAGCGGTAGGCAAGCCCATGACGTCCCCTCATGGGAGGCCGAAGCCCGGCCGCCTAAAATTGCTGGTTTCTGCCTATAATGTTAATTCCTCCTCCCCCTTTAAAGTACTACTAAAATTTATCGCAAGCTGCAATTGCTTTCTCTCTTTTCTCATCGCGGCGAATGCCCTGGAAGTTAAGCGGAGAATGATACATGACACGGGGGAAAAAAAGTTAGATCACGGGCTCATCATGACCTTGAGCACTTTTTTTTTCCTTTGAACGCGTGGCTAACTTTCATATGCAGCTCACGATACGCAAATCAGCCAATGACCATGAATTTGGGTATACTGTGCGGTCATTTGAGTATGTTACATCATTTGTCGAGAGAGGAGAAAGCGATTTTTAGTTGACTGAGAATTCATTGTAAATTCCTGGCCGCTCGCTGCGCTATAATGTTTGGCTCGTCTGTCCAAGAGACTCGACTACTGATCGGCAACGCTTTCTGCGAATACTGAAAAGGTGTTGCAGGGCCATCGGAGGCTGGTTGGTTCTCAGCTCCTATAGAGTTCCTTTGTTAGCCTCCGCGTTTCTGTCCCGCTGGCAAATTACATTGGTTGCACACTTTCCGCTTCAGTGACAGTAATAAGTTGTCGGTCACGATTTGAGAATGTCTTCGGTACGCGCCCATCCCATTGCTATTCTTCTGTTGTTCCCTAGGGCCTTTATAACGGTGTCACACGGGCACTTTTAATCGCGATCAGTGTCGATCCGGATTAACCACGATCCAGATTAGGTGCTGCTACACGGTCACCTTTAATCTCAATCAGGCGTGACCAAGATCAAGACTATCGCGATCTGCCTGAGAGATCGCGATTTTGCTGTCATCTACAACCCCTAGCCGAGCTTTTTGAGGTACAGTAAGCAAGAAAATCAAGCATACTTCAATAAAAACACTGATTTAAAGCAGCTAGAAGTTTATAAAAAAGCAAATTTTAATCTGTTTAAGTTGGAACAATATCTGGAGCATTGCATATTTTAGGGTTCGCATCGACCGCATGTACTTACGGGAGAAGCAGACGACAAGCAGTCGACCGTTGCCTTCAGCGCTTAGTTCAACTCTCGCCCCGTCGGAGCTGTTGGAGCACCTCGAAGGAAACTGATTGAGTGTCGCAAGCCTTCTGATCACGTCACAACGTACGCGCATTTCGTGGTCGAATGGAGAGGCCTTTGCAGTGATTAACCGCTAGCAGGAGCGACTGGAACAGACTTGAGGCGCCAGAAGTGACTGGCGCGTACAACGAGATAGACGCTTCACTGCGACTATACACGGCTACGAGCGGGGGCCATAAGAAATAAAAGCGATGGTTAACAATTCCACACAGCAATGCAGGTAAGTGCTAGGAAAATTTCATCGAATGATGTATTTATTAAATTACTATTGTCGTGGCATGCAAAGTTTTTTCACGTTCGAGTGGTTCTTGCACAAATAACATTGCTGATAAGGGGCTCTATAGATATACCGTTCGCCTAGTTTTGTCAGTGGCACGTTTTACGGCACGCAAATGCCACCTGGGGCGTTTCATGTGACCCAAGCTCGAACCGGATTAGCTTGGGCCGTGTAGCTGCGGTCATATATGAAGCGAGGGCCGGACTGGTAAATGGTCATTTTTCGCTCCGTATGCCATGGCGAAAAAAAGATTTTGGGGAGAGGATGGAGCAAGCCCGGTGTACCAACCTCCATGGTGACGCCACTGTTAATATCCGGCCTTGATAGACGTACTCTTCTGGCGATACAAAGTTTCGGTTTCCTGTCGCGATTCCTCACTGTTGCGGGACTGCCCATGACATCTTTGTGTTTGCATATTCATTTCCAGTCTTATTCTTTGGCTATTCCTCCATTCAATGCTCAAATCAGCTCTTCGCATTTCATCGCCGTCGTTGCCGAATAGTACGTGTCATCCGCAAACTGCTTTGAACATTGATAATATGCTCCGTTAATGTTCATTGCTAAGTTCCCCACAGTCTATAGTCGTTCAATTCCAATCCTTCTAGACTAGCACTAAATGGCAATAGCGAGTTGTGTGTCCTCCGTGGGCTCAATCGGGATTTTTCTGCTTTTCTTGAGGAGGAGCAGAGTATATAGCTGTGGAGTCTCTGTACAGTCGAGCTTTTTCATAAGATTGGCAAACCGGGGAGTACTTGTCCCTTGTATGAGGAGCCTCTTATAGGCAGGATACCACGGTTTTATATTTTGATCAACTACATTTTTGATCAAGCCAAGTTGCAGTATACCTTATTAGAGCGTCCGCTCTCCTCTCAGCAAGCACGCAGAAACTCTGCCCGGGAGGGGTGTCTGAATATGCCGTACACAATGCCTCGAAATAGCCAACCACATAATTGTGGTTCTAATAACTCAGGCTAGAACACTCCTATTTCAATCAGTGTTAAATAAAATTCAGTGTGATAAAACATGATCCTCGAGCAATGTGCACAAGCATCAGTCCGGTTGTATTGCACCCGGGCATTGGGAGCATGTCGGGGCAAGTGAAGTGGTATCAGCAGGTATCAACCGTTGAGTCGACAGTGCTTCTACCACATTCATGCTTGCCAAAGCTCTACCTACGGTTGGCCAGAAATGGGTACGTTACCTTGAATATCTTGGGAAACACATCGGCTGGCTGTCCGCGGATAACAAACAGACGTGAGTTGAGTTTCCGCAGCCGGGCGTCCAAGTCTTCGAGACTCTGCAGGAGGAACCTGCAGCGCAATGAGCCAATTAACTCCCGTCATGGCCGTGTCACGTCCGGCGTTGGGAGATGCGCCGCCCAAGTCGTGATTGGTTCTTGACAGTATACACTTGAAGGGCATCGCACATAACTCACCTCCACTTGTTGACGCCTGCGTTGGAAGATCCAGCGAACCATGGGTCCAGAATGTACACGCATCGGCAGGTGCGTGCTCCCTGAAGCCCCATCCTAAGCGCCGGTTGGTCGTGTAAGCGCAGTCCCTTGCGGAACCAGTGCACCACGTGGCGCTCGCCGTTGTTGTTGCCGCCCACTGAATTCGCCTGTTGCTGATGGTGTGGAGGCGCCGGAGCCGGCGCGTGTGACATGGCGGCTATCACTACGGGCTCGTCGCTAGATTCCGGCAGTTGGCCCTGGCCATGAGGTTACGTGTACGGTTCTCACTGGCTGCTAGGTCCCGGTCCTAATGCTGTAGTTCGCCTCGACGTTAAGGGCAGCTTCTTCGCTCAACCAGTGTTCGAGGCCGCGACAGTACCCAGCCGCAGGGCTGCGTTGGGAGACGTCATGGTGGTAACGATTGAAGGCGCTGAACGGCTGAAGAGCGAGCACAGCGATGCGAAGTTCTATGGCCACAGCACGGCGTCTTCAACGTGACCCGGCGCGGTGCGAGGATCCCATTGGAGGACTTGGGCGACGTCACGTGAACGGCCTCGCGCTCGGTCACGTTGCACGCGCCGTGCGCGACGCGTTGCCGTGTTCCTCCCCCGCCAACCAACGGCGCCGGAGTCGGCGCAGTGGCGACCTCTCGCCAGTCCGCTTCGGAGTTTTGGGTTGCATAATGGTTTCGATCAGAATGCACGCTCGGTTGCAGCCTAATCGATACAGACGGCAATGCAACGGTGACATTGCGGCGTCGCGCTCGCCGCGTGCTGCGTGAGCTTCGTGCCAAGGCTCATACCATGGTTGCCCTCCCTCTCGTCACCTGCCTCCCTTCCGGCCTGGACGTTTAGTTCGCCTCCGTAACAAAATCTGAACGGGCCTCTCCTTCTGAATGGTCGCTGTAAGAAACCGATTGTTCACGTGACTAGGTGACAAAGGGAGGGGAAAGAAACGTGTTTCACCTGAATGGACATGCGTCTATTAAACAACAAACTATGGTTCGAGAATTGTCGATCAGTTGCCCAGTCTGTGTTGGCCTCAGTTTGTAAACACGAGAAAAAAATTGCGCGCATGCTTTGTGCTCTATATGTATCTTCTTCGACTGCGTGGTGTTCTCCAAGTCGTACTAACACGTTTCTTTACTGCATTGTACAGTCCACGGTGTCCGAAAATACATTTTTTTTCGTGCCCAATGCTAACGCCGCTTTTCCAACGCTATCCTCGTTTGTGTTTCTGGATTACCTTGTTCTAATAATTTGATATATTTTTTCTTTGTCTATAGCACCGTCCCACACAGTCTTGTTACTTAATCCTTATGTGCTTCATTATAATGCAATGTCACAGGTACACCCTTTTATGAAGTGATAAACTCCACGTAGATTGGAGAAAAGCACTGAGGTAAAAGTGGCAACTTGCCACGGTGGGGCGCGCGGCTGCAGACCCGCAGGTCGCGGCATGGAATTCCGGCAGCGGCGGCCGTATTTTCGATGGAGGCAACAGGTGAAATCAGTTCACCTATTTATAGCACGCCTATCTATAGTATTGATAGGCGTGCTCTCGTCTATAGATCGGGTGGTCGAAATTTCCGCAGCCCTCCACTACAGAGCCTCGCATAATCATGTGCTGGTTTTGAGACCTTAAAGGAGCCCTGCAACACTTTTTGATCATGGTAAGAAAACGCTGCCGATTGGTAGTAGAGGCTCCCGACAACACGCGAGCCAAATATTTTAGTTCAGCACGCGGCCTGGAATTCACAATAAATTATCACAGTCAGCTAAAAATAGCTTTCTCTTCTCTCGACAAATCACAGAATAAGCCCAAAAATCACTCGTTGTGAGCCCATTTATCAGCCATTAGCTTATTTGAACATGGCGTGCTCGGTTGTTACAGAGGTCGCCGCGAGAAGCCGCCACTTGTCCACGCTTGTGCGCGCGATTGCAATGAAAAAGCCGCATATTCGAAGAAAAAAAAAAGAAAAAGGGCTCAAGGTCACGAGGCACCAGTGACGTTTTTTGTTTGCCCTTCCCATTCCTCCCTGCTTAGCTTCCAGCGCTTTCGTCAGGACGAGAGAAGAGAGAATGCGATTGCAGCATGCGACAAATCTTTGTAACTCTACATCGCAGTGGACAGATTCTTAAATTTTCTTCGGCGTTGAATTCGTGAGTCAATAAGCTCTTCCAGTGAAATAATTGCATGGTTACTCAAAAAAGTGTTTCAGGGCCCCTTTAAACCCCATCAATTATTATTATTATCATAATCATTATTGTGATTACTTTGTTACTACTACTGGTACTACTGATACTATTACTACTTATAGGTAAAAGTGCTGTTTCAAAAATTTCCTAGTCAATGAGACTCTCAGAACAGTTACGTTAAAGCTTTATTGCAGGGTTCCTTCAACAAGTGAAGGCCCAGCCGTAATTTTCAAACACTGGTCTGTTCCATTCATTAGAACTTTTCTCCCGTCTCTTACTGGTCCTGCTTTCTTGGCGATAACGTAATGGCGGGCCTTATGGTTGCGCTGCAATGGAATACTTGATTTGATATGCTATATAATTTAAGGTAATTCTTACTGTAACAATTAACATGATTATTGCAGCTGTTTAGTATTTTACTGCAGTATACTATATCTTGAAATGCGGTATTTTGCAGTGTAGGCGTTACCAAAAAAAAAACAACAACTAGTAACTCGATACATCAATCGATCGTTGCATGCAAAAGAAAGGAAGCGTTACCTATAAAGTGAAATAGCGTGGTGCAGTTGTCAAGAAAGCAATGAGGCACGTTACCTTCTCACTATATATACTCTGAATGTAAGAATTTTATGAAGTCCACACTTCATATACCTTGGGTGTTTTGAACGTAATAATTTAATTTCTAGAGGCCACCGTCATCATCCTCCCTGATGCTCTTTTTCTTTGCGTGCGCGCGCGCGTGTGTGTGTGTGTGTGTGTGTGTGTGTGTGTGTGTGTGTGAGTGTGTGTGTGTGAGTGTGTGTGTGTGTGTGTGTGTGTGTGAGTGAGTGTGTGTGTGTGTGTGTGTGAGTGTGTGTGTGTGTGTGTGTGTGTGTGTCTCCGCTGGTCTGGTCTCTTTCCGTCTTACAATACATACAGCCTTTAAAATTTCGAACGAAATGCGTTTACAACTGTGACTTAATAAATTCAACTGCACGAATATGCAGGACCTTATAACTGTCAGTGGGCTAAGGTTGCTAACCAGTATATATATATATATATATATATATATATATATATATATATATATATATATATATATCACGTGATCACTTCTAGCTCTGTGATGTATTTTGAAGCCATTTTTTTCTAAACGTGAAGTATAGTACCCAACTTCATTTAAATTGACAGCTATTAACCACAAAGAAACTCGATGTTTGAAGGGTTCGGCCTGAAAAAGAGCGACCCATGACATTTTGCTGCTGAACGTTATTCCTTATGATTCAAACGTGTCCGCGTACTCAATCACAGTATCGCACAAGTATAAGCAGAGCGATTGCTATAGGGCGTAGGCTTGAAAAACCCGTCACTGCAATAACGAAATGAATTGCCGCTTTCGTTAACTCAGTTATTTTTGAGAAAACCTCTTTAACAGTAGTTCGATATTGCTAACCTAGTTCGTAAATTCGGTTTGATGATAGCACTGAGCTTGTCCCGCCGCGGTGGTCTAGTGGCTAAAGTACTCGACTGCTGACCCGCAGGTCGCGCCATCGAATCCCGACTGCGGCGGCTGCATTTTCGATAGAGGCGAAAATGTGGTAGGCCCGTGTGCTCAGATGTGGGTGCACGTGAAGGGGCCCTGAAACACTTTTTCAGGTAACCATGGAATGAATTCACTGGATGAGCTTATTGCCTCACGAATTCAACGCCGAAAAAATTTCAAGAATCCGTCCCAGCAGTGCGAGTGGGGTTATACAAAGATCAGTCGCATGCTGCAATTGCATTCTATCTTCTCTCGTCCTCACACCCGCAGGTCGCGGGTTCGAATCCCGGCTGCGGCGGCTGCATTTCCGATGGAGGCGGAAATGTTGTAGGCCCGTGTGCTCAGATTTGGGTGCACGTTAAAGAGCCCCAGGTGGTCAAAATTTCCGGAGCCCTCCACTACGGCGTCTCTCATAATCATATGGTGGTTTTGGGACGTTAAACCCCACACATCAATCAATCAATCTCGTCCTCACGGAAGCGCTGGAAGCTAAGCAGGGAGAGATGGCAGGGCCACAGAAAAAACGTTACGCGCGCTTCACGAGCTTGAGCACTTTTTAATTTTATTTCTTTCGAATGCGCGGCTTTCCCAGTGTGATCGCGCGCGCGCGCGTAGACAAGTAGCAACTTTATTCCGTGGTGGTCTCTGTAACGAGCGTGCCTGTCATATTCAAATCAGCCAATGGCTGATACAGGGGTCGTTGTAATTTTCGGGCATATAACGTGATTTGTCAAGAGAAAGCAATTTTAGCTTACTTTGTTAATTTATTGTGAATTGTATGCTGCGTGCTGGGCTATAATATTTGGCTGACTTGTTGTCGGGAGCATACCGATCGGCAGCGTTTTCTTACCATGCTCAAAACGTGTCGCAGGGCCCCTTTAAAGAATCCCATGTGGTTGAAATTTCCGGAGCCCTCCACTACGGCATCTCTCATATTCATATGGTGGTTTTGGGACGTTAAACCCCACATATCAATCAATAACACTCAGCCCTACAGGTATATATTTGAGAAATCGAAATTCACTCGTTAGATCAAGAATTTCGTAAAATTGAGTTTCGTTAGATCGAGTTATGAGGCCATTGCGTCGCAGCCATTTCTTCGGCTTGCTTTCTAACTTTTTAGTGATGGTGGTGGTCGTGGTTGCCGGAAAGAGACGTCGCCGGGGAAACCAGCCCCTAGTGGGTCAGCGTCCCTACAGTTCTAGGTGTAATCCCCAGTTAGGGACCCCATTGGTCGTGACCGCTGTTCTGGCGCGCTAGACCATGCCTTGTTGGGTTGGAAGGTGCTGGCAACCGAGCAGGGCCGCCTCCCAGTACTCTCTGGTTGTATTTGGGTTCGGGAGTAAAGAAGGATTGAGCTGGCATGCCCATACCATGTGGTAGGTGTCAGCCACCTCTGCACAGTACTGGCAGAGGCCGAAAAGGAAGAGTCAAAGTGTTTAAGCACTGCCAGGCACACTAAAGTATTGGTAAATAGCCGGAGAAGAGTTCA